AAACTCTGATGTCCAAAGTATACCGAGTGGAGCAAGAAGCTCTCGTACAGAAAGATGATCTGCACATCGTTCAAGATGTCCAGCGACTCGCAAAATGTCGCGCACGTGTTGCTGGCGTGCAGCAGCTGCCGGCCGAGGGCGTGGCGTTCCTGTTCGGTGCGGTACAGCACAGCATGCGGCGCCCGTAGCTTGCTCACGGCGTTGCCTGCGAGTGCCAGAACCAGGCCCACCGTCTCCCAGCGAAGGTTGCGGCCGGTGTACTTGTCGGCAAAGTCGTTGAGAGACGCCGAACCGTCCACGTCGGTCGGGACTTTCGTGGCATGAAAGAGACGGCGCGAGAGGAGCGACGGTGTGTCCAGAACGCGGCCAAAACTATCCAGAAACGGACGCACCAACAGCGACCCGAGATGCACCTCGAGGCCTTTGCCCATCCACTCCGCAAACAGCTGCTGCAAGATGCGCTGCGTGAAGAGGCGCGCGAGGAGCTCCAAGACCTGCGCACCCTCTTCAATCATGGCCGCACCGCTCATGACCAGCATCGTGCCTTGCAAGGGCGATGGTCCGTCGGTTCCGTGGCTGCCGTCCATTGGATCGTGTCCGCTGCCAAGTCCTGCGGCATGATTTGGTGCTGCTGTGTCTGTGCCAAGTTGCGCGACACTGCTGTCCTCCCCATTGGTATTTGCGTTGATGCTTTGGTCTTCGTTCTCATTGTCGTCGCCGTCTTCGTTCTCGTCCTCGTAGCTCGCCGCGCCGTGTTCCACTGTGTCCAGAATGGTGTTGAGGGACGAGGAACCTTGGAACCCTGGGTTGGGGTACAGCGTCAACTGCAATGGCGGTTGCCCGTCTGCCAACGCAGGCAGTTCCGGAAGAGCTGCCAAGCGGTCATAATCACCCGCCGGCGACACATGCGACCGAATCTGTGGCTCGGGATGCGACTGCGACTGCGGCTGCGTTGCGCTGCTCCTGCGCGCATTGCTGCTATTATTGACTCTCTTGAACGGGTCTTTGCGGTACACACACTGTCCCGGGACGCCTTTGCGCGAGCAGCGAGCGCACACAGGGCGGCCGTGGTCACAGGCCAGCTTGGACACTCGACACGGCTCGCACGACGGGATGCGCGACGATCGTGGTGATCCCCCGGCTGCTGTCCGCGCCGCAGCCGACCGCGACGAGACCGATCGCGCAGATCGTGGACCGCGGCCAGTGTCTGCCATCTGCGGCGGTGGTGCGCACAGCGAATGGTTGTTGGATGAAAGTGCGTTTTTGTCTCTGCAATTGGCGACCTCTGGATTTTGTATTCGGTCACATGGCCGTCGTGACTGCCGTCCCAAGTATTTGGTGACGAGAGAATGAGGAGGAGGGTTGGGTGTGAGAAAGAAGGAAAGAACGACCAATTAATTGAATTAGCACGGTTAGCATTGTGGCGACCAGTGACAGTTCGCTAGCGGGCGGCAGTGGTAAAAGTGGGTCATTCAAGACTGCGTTGAGTGTTAACATGACTTGCGATGGCAGGCACGTGGCAACACCGCATAGCTCTTTCTATTTCTTCTTCGGATTTACAAAATGGTTTTTATGTTCTCGACCATATTGTCCCATTGGCCACTTCTACTATGGTTTGCCACCGCTGGTCGCTCTTGCCGTTTGATGCAGTACGGACAGTCATGCCCGCAGTTTTCGACGGCTCGCGCAGGACTGTGAGTCGCAACTGCGATTTTTGAGCAGAAAGTATTGGTTCCTCCTTCCATTTCTTAAAATGATCCTGCAGAAAGTCCCAAAGAAAGGAGAGAAGTTTCTTCCAGTTACTTCCAGTTTTTTGGGGGTTTTTTTGGGGGGGGGGGGCTGTTTTCTCTTTTCTCCTCTCACGACAATCAACAACAATCACCATCGATATTGGCAACAGCTGATGAGGGGATAACAACGACACGAATAATGCGAAGCGTGAACATCATTTGATCCCACTGGCGCCACCTTTCGTCGACGATGGCAATTACGAAATGCGGTAACAAATAATATATCCTACTCACTGTCTATTTGCTAAACAGGCGCAGCCATATCTTTACACCCACACTGCCACTGCATAACCACGCTCGCCCGTCCAGTGGCCATGTGCGTCCGGGCACGTCTCTGCCCAGAGGTTTGTCTCCGACCCAAGGCCAATGTCAAAGTTGATCTTCGGCTTGGCGTTCCAGTGCACCTTGTTGTCGCTGTCAATCGACCAGCCCGTCGACCCGCTGGCCACAGGCTGCGATGCCTCCATCTGGAACATGTCTCCAAAGTTGGGGTACTTGTCAAAGGCCTTGCCACCACACGTCAAGACGTCGTTGGCGGTGCCGGCAAGCTGGCAATCGAGGGCTTTGGTCTGGTCCTGGGTACCCGCGCCTGTGGCATCGGCCAGGAACCACTTGCCCTTCTTGGGGTCGACAATCTGGAACTTGAAGGTCTTGCCGGCGGCCGCAGGTGAGGCGGGGAGGGCGGCGGCGTTGATGCTGGTTTGTTAGCAGTGCTCCTTGGGGCAGTAAGTCAATTCCTGGCGATGAAAACCTACCCAACAGCCAGAGCGGCCATGGTGACAATAGATTGGATGAGCATTATGGCGAGCTTTTTTTTTCTGTTTCTTTGGCGAGATACAAAGAGTCTGGACTTGATCTAGGGAAAGAATCAACGGACGACGGAATGCCAAGTATGGGCACAACTGTCCTTTTGTATCTATGTCGCTGTCTATCGTCCCCATGGCCTTTGCGTTATTTTGGTATATTGGCACCCAAGCGACTTACCCCGACTTTGATAGCTGGAAAATAAAAGGTCGGATAAAAGTCTCCATATTGCATCCACCGTCAAAATGGAACGGAACTGTCCGGCTGTATGGCCAGCCGCAATGTTGAAATATAAACGTCCGAATTGCCGTTCTAGATGCAGTTGCATTTCGGCAGATGTCGAGCAAGGATAGCTTGAACCGAACTTTAATTGAATTTTGACAGGGACGTACCTTGTCTAAAGGGAGGAAAGTTCAGATGTCTTCTATTGCTGATTCTTTTCGTGAGACAAAGTTATTTGTCATCATTGGATATACTCCCTTCAGAAATTAAAATGGACAAGCTGAGGCCAACTTGCACAACCACGCATATGCCTTTGATAATGATCGCGAATGTAAACTTGCTCCTGGCAGCACACATTATTGAAAACTGCATGCACTTGCTTCAGAAATGTACTGCAGTTTTCAATGAGGCTCAATTTTCCACAAGAAATGAAAACATTTAATAGTACTATACGCCACATAAGGCCTCAAAAATATAAATTTCTAAATATGACGATGAAAATAATCAGGTTAAGCCGACGACGTCGAAAACTGAAGTACCCATGGGTGTTGACGCAAAGGCACGTTGGGGAACCAAGCCCCACCTCAGCCAACCAAGTTGCACAGGCTTGTGGGGAATTTGCCAGTATGGCGATGGCAAAGGTTAGAGGTGCACAAGATTACAGTTACGACAGGCGCGTTCAGCAAAGACGGGACTTTTTGGGCCCTCTTTTGGTTGAAAATACTGGTCTGCTTTACTGAGGTGAGATGACATCTGAATTGGAATCACTTTTGGGCGCCGGCCAGTGGACAGCATGGGACGGCCATTGGGATGGACGGACTAGCAAGTGAGTCACGCAAGGTGGATGCGTCTCAGTGCGGGGATTGGCTGGTTCTTCTAGCTTCTTGATACCACAACCTCCCTTGGCCGTTGAACTTTCACCTTACTCCCAAATTAACGATTACATTGACCAACCAATTCCGACCCGTCACCGAAACAGAGCACGCACAGTCTCAGACAATGGCCTCTGCACGCATCAACGGCAAGACAATTGTCATCACCGGCGCGTCCTCCGGCATCGGCCGCAGCACCGCCTTTGAGTTTGCCCGCGTCGCCGGCTCGGGCAGCACCATCCGCCTGGTTTTGACTGCGCGTCGCCTCGACGTCTTGCAAGAGGTGGCTGCCGAGCTTCAAAAGCAGTTTGCGAATCAGACCGTCCACGTCCTGCCGGTTGTCCTCGATGTCAGTGACCCTTCCGCTGTTCGCAACTTCGTCCCGTCGCTGCCAGAAGAATACCGCGACATCAACGTTCTCGTCAACAATGCGTGGGTCCCCCACTCCCATTGAGTATATGCCGTTAAGTCAGCTCATCGCTCACCTCTGTACGTCCGCAGCGGCCTCGCCCGAGGTTTCGATCGCGCACCGGCCATTGCCGAGGAGGACATGAACGTGATGTGGGACACCAATGTCACCGGTCTCGTCAACATGACCCAGGCCGTCCTGCCTATCTTCCAGGCCCGCGCCGACGGCGGCCACGGCGACATTATCAACATTGGAAGCACCGCCGGCCGCCAGCCGTACGCCGGCGGCGGCATCTACTGCGCCACCAAGGCCGCCATTCGCTCCTTTACGGAGAGTTTGCGCATGGAGCTGGTGAGCACACGCATCCGCGTCATCGAGATCGATCCGGGCCAGGTCGAGACCAACTTTTCCGTGGTGCGCCACTACGGCGACAAGGCCAAGGCCGACGCCATCTATGCCAATGTCGAGCCGCTGACGCCCGAGGACATTGCCGAGGTCATTGTCTTCGCGGCCAGCCGCCGTGAGAACGTGGTCGTTGCCGATGCCATGATTGTCCCGAGCCACCAGGCGGGCGGTGGTGTCATGTATCGGAAGCCGGCGTAATTGTCCCCGGCATATTGTTCAGCTAGTGGTTCATGGAAGTCATAGACTCGTTAAAGAGGCCAGGAGAAATAAAATGACACAATGTGGTATTAAGCGATATTCAGCACTTTTTTGAAAAGGTATCCGCATACGTGGAATCGTGCAAAGAGTAATAGCTAGTGCTTATGATTCTTTTAAGGAAAAATAAAAGAAAATGAAACAATAGGAAAGACGCAATGAGAAGGACGCAATTGGAAGGAAACAAGAGGAAAGAATAGAGAAGAAAGGTCCACGCATCCGCGAGTACCCCGAAACACTCCCCTACTGCCCTATCTGAGTGCGCTTAATAAACTCCAGTACGACAGTGTTGGCCCTCAACCGCTTCGCTCGATACGCCTGGCGCTTTCCTTCCACGGCCGCCTCTTCTCGTCGAATAGCCATGTCCTCTTGACGAAGTTCCTCGTGCCGTGTTCGGAAATCGTCCAATTGTTTTTGTATTTTGTCCAATTCCTGCATCGATGACTCGCCAGTATCGCTTACATCACTGTAGAGCGCGGCTCGGGTCTGATCCGTGGCGTCGCTCGTACCGGCCTGCTCCAGTGTCGGCACCCCAGTGTAGTTGCCAAGTGCCTCTGGTACGATTATATCTCCTCCCTGACTCTGGTTCAGTTTCTGTGAAAAAAGGGGACTTGACGCATCGTCCGCAGAAGAGCCTTCTGGGTTGGTCGTACCAGAGGTTGGAATTTCCACCGATTCTGGCAAGACTTCTTGGACTGTGAAGGCGTCCCCTGTATCCAACATATCGGATGCATAGCTGCTTGTCTCTAATGGCAAGTCGTCGTCGATAGGGCTGCTAGGGGTGTACTGGGAGTCCTCCTCGTCGCCACGTTCACTTATGATGTCGCTGCTTCCGCGTACGACGATGTTATCATGGCTGATAACGTCAACATTGTGTTGGCCATCATCGGACTTTTGTCCCTGCTCATCTTCGGGGTCGTTGTCTCGGACTGAATCACATTAGTTGTGGACAGAAAAGGCTTTATGAGGACGTTAACGTACCACAGCATTTCAATTCCCGGGGCGAGAAATTAAACGGGCCTTTTGGCAACTCCCACCCGTCTCTGCATCGCTCGGCACAAAGTTCCTCGAATAGACCATCGAACGTAAGACCGCGTCGTTTGCCAATGCGGTTCAAGAGCGTGACCTTGTTTTGTGGTAGAGGACCAAGGAAAAGGACAAACTGCCATTGGGGCACACCGAACCTTTCCACAAGTCCTGGTCCATAGGACTCAATCTTCCTTGCTCCTTTGCCACACACCACGTTCATCATTTGCTCAATTGCTGCGTCAGGGACGTTGTTGAGCACCCAACGTGGGAAACTGGGAAGAGTATCTCCGGCTTTAGAAGCCTTACGGTATGCCGTACCCAAATTGTCCCAACATTTCTTGACGATATCTGGGTCGTGAGATGCGAGATCGCTGGCCTCTTGGATGGCGGTCTGCGGTTCAATATCTTGCGGAAGTGGAGAAGACATGATCAGTGGTAGATGGCAGTGAAGTAGTAGGCGCCGGAAAACGATGGCAGGAAGTTATATGATGATGTATGATATGTGAAGGAGCACGCTACTCTGACGGTTAGAGATGGGCTTTAAATAGGCCTCTTCTGCGTGCGTCGTTCTGTTTGCTGATTGCTTACGGTGGCGTTATTATTGAAATGAGCTCGCCTAATTAGGAATGACAGACAGGGGATCCAAAAAGAAAAATAGAGACAAAAATCAACGAAGCGAAATGCATATGGTGAATAGACCAGTTAAAAAAAAATCCCAACGAAGGACGGGCACGATAAGACAAGACGGAGTGCGACGTGCAATGTGGAGTTTATACGGTGGACTAACACGGTTAGCTCTGTCAGGTTTGTGGATCCCATAAATAAGGCTTGTTGAGGCTCTGCACGACGCAGACGCGTGCGACCGCAGACAACGGCCTCCTTCAGCCAATTCCTGCTCACGATTAATATTGAGACAGCGGTATGTGCATTCGCTAATTCGTACATGTGCTTCAATTTTTTTGTTGGCTGTTTATGGTTGGCTCTTTCGACTGTGCTTTTTTTTTTTCCGGCTATCCTTTTCTCAATTTTGTAGTTAGCCGTCCAAGGTCACAAGCCTCAAAAAAAAACAAAAAACCAGCTGGGCTGAAAGCAGAGTGTCAGTGACCATTTTGTAACTGATCAGATCAGGATACCAGTGGGAGCATACAGTATAAAAGGGGCCGAGTTTGCTATGGGCGACATATTGACTCCAAAATATTCGCTAGATTTGTCGTCTCGTCGCCTTGGCCATCTGTGTCGCTAGTAGGATGGTTACTAACTGGTGATCTAGACGACAACGTCGAAGGGTTACATTAATAGAGACAATGGCTGTGGTGAAGCAGGTTTTGTTTAGGGGTTGATGGACGTGGTGAGGTGGACCTTGGTGGACGCGACAACTGGATAGAGCGGAATGGAGCCGATAACAGTGGAAGTACAGGGAATAACATGGAACGTAGAGCGTAGAACACTGTGTTAGGTGCCATTCATCCACCCGACAAAACAAAGACTAAAATATAAATACATCAACGATCAAAGAGGCAAAGGCAAAGACACAACTGTCGTGGTTCGTGGCTTGATTTTAAAGCAAATTTCTCGACTCGTTATTCTTGACCTGTTTGTCTCAATGTATTCAGAAGCTGGACCTACCTCCAACTTTCTGACATCGATGCCCCTCATTCTGCGTTTTGTTCATGACTTTGAGATGTTTACATTTCGAACCATGAGTGGCATCGTAGCATTGGAACTATTAAACGCAGCGCTAAGAACGGCATTCCGGCCACACCTGGCGCGCCACCCCTGACAGCTGAGACAGCCTCACTGAAGCGGACCCACAGAAAATTTCGAGAAATATTACATAAGGCGGCCATTTTTCGCTAATTTCACCCATCCCCACCTGTTTTTCAGCCCACCATCCCGCCAGGAACACAGCCCGCCGAGCCACCCACCTACAGGCGCGTCTAGCCCCCTACATTTTTCGATTTTTTTTCTGTTCCATACTTTTTGTGTACGTCTCACCGTTTCACCGTTTTGGACCTCAACCTTAACCTCGACCTCCCTCCTCAGCATCCCCCCTCTCCCGTCGCCGTCGCCGTCGCCACCTCCACCCTGCGGTTCTCACCAACTTCTCGGTCGCGATTCCGCCACTCCGCCCTGAGTCCTTTCTGTTCTCTCTTACCGACTTCCCCTTTCTCGACTCCTCTTGCACGTCCTCTCTGCCTCGCAGTCACCATGGACGCCCCCAACCACCGCGACGAGCAGACCGGCGCCATTGCCGAGGGCCGCCGTATCTACCTTGGTGTGTACTTTCTCTCCGTATTTCCCGACCACGCCATCCGCGACTGACAATGACCCTTTGCTAACATCGCTCCCTCCTCTCCCCCAGGCAACCTTTTGTACGCCACCAAGCCCAACGAGATCGAGCAGGCGCTTGAGGACCACGGCTTCGGCAACTTCGCCCAGATTCACGTCTCCATTGATCCTGTCAGCGGCCGCAACCCGGGCTACTGCTTTGTGGACTTTAACGACCGCGAGACGGCCGAGACCGCGCTCAACTCGCTCGTGGCTACGGTGCGCGGCCGCCCGCTCAAGGTGGGCCCCTGCCAGCCCAAGCAGCAGGGCCAGCGCCGCGATGCGCGCCCGGCGGACCGCTGGGGCTCATCGCGCGACGCGAGCGCGAGCGCGAACACGAACGCCAACGGCAGCGGTGACGACCGCCGCTGGGGCGACTGGAAGAAGGGCGGCGATCGGAACGGCGGCTACAACAACAGCAACAGTAGCAACAACTACAACAACAACAACCGCGACGCGCCCAACGGCAAGCGCCTGTACATTGGCAACCTCGGCCCGATGGTGGACCAGGAGCAGAACCAGCAGGAAATCGGCGCGCTGCTGCAGGGCTTCGCGCCCACGGCCATTGGCAAGCGCATCACGGCGCGCGACCGCGAGTCGAACCAGACGTACCCGGGCCGCAACTACTGCTTCGTGGACTTTGAGACGGCCGAGGAGGCGAGCCAGGCCATGGAGGCGCTCAACGGCACGCCGTACGGCGAGGAGGGCAACACGCTGCGGGTGTCGATTGCGCGCGGTGCGCCCGAGAGCGGGCGGTTACGGCATGAGTACCAGTCGCGGGGCGGCGGCGACCGGAACAACAACGGCGACCGGAACAACGGCGGCGACGGCTACCGCAAGCGGCAGGACGACGGCCCGCTGCGGTCGCTGGACTCGACCAACTGGCGCAGAAAGGAGTAGGCCGTGCCGTGCTCACGAGCCGTTTCATGCCGTCTTTTCCTTTTTTTTGTCACTCATTTTCTCCCCCTCGTCGTCCACCTCCACGATCATGCTCTTTCACGTCTTTTACATTCATGTATAAAGGGTGCCTTTTTTCTTCGCTTGTCACTTGGTCACTCTCAATTTCATGCTAATGATGATGAAACGTCGTATTCCACGTCAAAACAAAAAGTATTGGGACAAAGGGTTTCTTAAATTTTTATTTCGTGCATTCTATTTTATTTCCATTTTATTCACTTGGCGTCGTCTGTTCCTTTGTATACATGTGGCACCTCACGCTAGATTATGAACTAAGACTTTGATTGCCAGGGGCAAATTTGCGTCACAACGAACTTAGACCAGACACGGCTGCAGGATATTCGTATTCGCCACACTTGCCGAGATCCATCCGAATGTTCGCAGCCATTAGCGGAGGCCGGGCAAAGAATCAGCCATAGAGTTTCCATGGTCTGCAATGGGAAGCTACTCTTCCTGTGACACATGTTCAGAGCTGTCTGTCACGCAACACACAGCACGCATAAACGCACAAACGCACAAACGCACAGACGCACAAGTGTGATTTCACTTGACATGAGTTCTTACTCCAACGCCACGTGACGGCGTGAGAACTAGCATGACGTACGCTCTAAAATGCACGTCGGTGTTCGGCAAGGCTGCGGACGGCTAGTGATCCCTCCCGAAACTGTTCCGCACATTTTGAACTACATCCCGAAACATAATTATAAGCAATCGGAAAAAAATGAACTACCTCGACCAACTTCCCATAGTCTTCCAACACCCGGAGCCGATCTCAAGTGGGGCCTTTGGTCTGTTTTGGCGGAGATATCTTGACGCTTTGAAATCAAATCGGCGATAAGCAAAGTTCGGTCCCCCACACTGAAAAACAAGAGTTCCTCTTCAAAATTTGCATGTCGGCATTGTGTATTCTCTGGAAAACCCCGTCGTTTCACTCTCAAGTACAGCTTTGCCTTCTTGTGGGTGGAAACGATGGCGTCAGCAACAGAATTCTGCCTCCACTCTTGCAAAGTCATATGTGTCCCGTTCCAGTAACAACGTCCGTTTGAAGACTAATCACGCCAATCCAACACGATGTTGACGACGGTCCGCCCGTCATGGCTCTACACAAGGTAATAAACTGGGAAAAAAAACCATTAAAAAAAACTAGAAACAGTAGCGCTAATAGACATCGCCGGCGGAAGTTTCCGCCTTTCTTTTGTTCGTTGCCTTGCTTATCTCCTGGAGACGCATCATCGACAAATCCCCAAGCTATGCCCTCGCCGCCGGAGCCTCGGTACTCTAGATATATTAGTTGTTAGGAGGATTATGAGTGTTACCTTGTACCACTTATGCAGTTGGCTTATGGCCACACTATTTACACTTGCAAACTCCATCGCGCACCACGTCACTTACTTACTTTCCTTTTCTATGAAAAAAAAAGTGGAAGGGTAGAAAATCGTCGAAACGTCGAAACATCGAAAGCTCTGCTCGGAAATAAGGACTTAAGCTGCTGTCCAAGCAAGCATAGGCAACAACTTAGGATTTTAGCTTCCAGCCTGATGAGTTGCTTGACGTCGGCGACGTCCTCTACATCATGGCCTTTGTAGATATAAAACGACCGTCTGTCCTGTACTTTAGAGCAGTGAGAATTTTCCAGATATCTTGAACAGCTTCAAAGCGACCTATCAACCGTTAAACACACACACCTTCAAACAACGTATATCTTAACAGACTCATCCTTCACTCACACACAAACGCACACACACGCACAATGTCTTCTCCCCAAAAGTTCCAGGGCTGGCTGGGTCTTGACGCCAACAGTGTCAACGGCCAGATGAAATGGGGCGAGTTTGAGCCCAAGAAGTGGGAGGAGAGCGATGTCGACATCCGGGTCTCGCACTGCGGCATCTGCGGCTCCGATCTGCACACGCTCCGGTCCGGCTGGGGTGAGACACCATTCCGTAAGTCCATGTATCTATGCATCCAGGCGCAGCAGACAAATTCTTTCCCGCCATCCATGTTCGGTTACTAACACTGGCTCTCCCCCTCCTCCTCAGCTTGTGTCGTAGGACATGAAATCGTTGGCAAGGCCGTCCGCGTCGGCAAGGACGTCAAGCACATCAAGGTGGGTGACAACGTCGGCGTTGGCGCCCAGGGCCGGTCGTGCCTGGAAAAGGACTGCCCCGAGTGCTCTGCAGGCCTGGAATCCTACTGCGGGCGCGTCAACGTCGGCACCTACGGCGGCATCCACCCAAACGACATTGGCAAGTCGTACGGCGGCTACGCGACGTACAACCGCTCCAACGGCCACTTTGTCTTTAAGATCCCCGACTCCATCAAGCCGGAGCATGCCGCGCCCATGCTCTGCGGCGGCATCACCGTGTACTCGCCCCTCAAGCGCTACGGCGCGGGGCCGGGCAAGACGGTGGGCATTGTCGGCGTCGGCGGTCTCGGCCACTTTGGCGTGCTCTTTGCCAAGGCGCTCGGCGCTGACCGCATCGTCGCCCTGTCGCGCAAGTCCGACAAGCGCGCGGACGCGATGGCCTTGGGCGCCGACGAGTACATTGCCACGGACGAGGACGCGGACTGGCCCGCCAAGCACGCCCGCACCGTGGACCTGATTGTGTCCACGATTTCGTCAGACAAGATGCCCATGGCGGACTACCTCAAGCTGCTCACGGTGCACGGCACGCTCGTCCAGGTCGGCGCGCCCGACGGCGGCAACTTGCCGCCCATCAACGCGTTTGCGCTCATTGGCAGCGGCATCCAGGTGGGCGGCAGCCTCATTGGCGCGCCCGACGAGATCCGCGAGATGCTGCAGCTGGCGGCCGACAAGAAGATCAAGCCGTGGGTGCAGCTGCGGCCGATGAAGGACGCGAATGCGGCCGTCGTAGACTTGGCCAATGGCGATGCGCGGTATCGTTACGTGTTAGAGGCGTAAACGACACGAAGTGTGGCATTACGGGAAATGGATTGGCGTTGGCGTTATAGAGAATAGACTCCGCTCATAGAATTAAACAAACACAAATTGGTAATATATAAGCAAGATCATAATTGAGGCCTGGGAAAGTGAAGCAAAAAAGCAATAAAATCATCAAAGCAGCACCGGCAAACCGAGCAAATTTGCCGTACAACGAATCCACCGACAAAAATGTGATCGATCTCGGGATCGAACCGAGGACCTACGCCGTGTTAAGGCGTCGTCATAACCAACTAGACCAATCGACCGTGTATTGCCCTGCTGTCCACAGCGAAGTGGATTGGTTTGTGGAGTCGCAGCATTGTTGTTCGTCGTTAAGTAGCCTGCCTAGAAAGCAATTGGAAAAGTGTGTAGCCTCGTTAAGGTAGAGTAGACACAGCCAAAGATCGACGGGGTACGACGTATTGGTGCCCAAAGGAAAGCCAAATAAGCTGTTCTGGCCGCGACGGAGAAGGGCGAAAAGCACATCGAATCAGAGCCCACGGATTCGACCCCTGTCGCGCTCGCTGTCGGTTCCCGTAGGGGTAGGGTTGCATCTCATTGTCGGACGCTCGTGAATGGCTGCGGGCGGCTGCAGGCGTCTCCCAATGGAGTCGTTTTTGGACGTGCAGCTGACCCGATGCCAGCTGAAAAAGGGACGAAAATGAGAGAAAGGTGTGATATACGGAGTACTGTCTACAGGATATAAAGGCGAGCTGCTGAGGTCATTTCATCTTAAGAAAAATAAATCAAAATAACACAAAAAGCACAATCTCAAAACCCTATTTAATATGCCTGGAAGCTTTTCCAAATTGTCTGGCCCTTTGTACTCGGCCATTCGAGCCCGTCTCAACCCCAAGCCCAGTCCAAGTGCCGCCGCTGAACCCGTCACCGCCCCAGCCGACGAAGCCGTCGCGCCCCTCAAGACACTGAGCAACCTCCCGAGCGTGCCCCTTGATGTCTCTTGCTATGGCGACGCGCTGTGCGAGACATGCACGCAAATCAACGTGTCCAAACGCCGCTTCTTTGTCCTGCCAGATGACCCCGAGCATGGTGCGGAGGACCAAGCGGACAGCGAGCCCCGCGACCTGGGCCCTCTGGTCGACATGGCCAAGCGCACGTCCTGCCCTCTGTGCCGCCTGATCTACGTCACAGTGGGCGGCGATCGCCTGCCAACTAAAGAGCGGGGCCTAGCCGTGCACGTTAGCTGCAGCTGGGGCACGACCGGCCCACAGGACCCGGCCGCGCCGTGGGTGCGCACGCCGGCCGTGCGGGTGCTCCAGCTGTCGGCGCAGACGTCGGACCAGAAATACCTCCAGGAGATGGGCATGTTCTTCCCCGAGATCACCATGCTGGCAGCCGACATGCCGGCCACGCCGTACGCGGGGACGCATCCCGACGCCGCCAACCACCTTGTGCGTCTGCGCAAACCCGGCCGCATTGACTTTGACCGCGTGCGGCAGTGGCTCGCGCTCTGCCGGGCGCACCACGGCAAAAAGTGTCGCGTCAACCCGCTGCTCGCGCTCAACGCGCTGGGGCGCGACCACACGCACCCGGCCGACGCGGTGCCCGAGTTCCGGTGCGTCGACGTCGAGCGCATGTGCCTGGCACGCGTGCCGGCGGGCACGGCATACACGGCCCTCAGCTACGTGTGGGGCCGGCGGGCGTTTTACTGCACGAAGCGGGCGGCCGTGGCCGAGCTGGAGCAGCCGGGCGCGCTGGCGCTGCTGGGCGACCACCTGCCGCCGACGATCCGGGACGCGCTGCACGCGGCGCGCGAGCTGGGGCTGGCGTACCTGTGGATCGACACGCTGTGCATTGTGCAGGACGACGCCGACATCAAGATGGCGACGATTGGCAAGATGGACCTGGTGTACTGCGCGGCCGAGCTCGTGCTCATTGCGGCGGGGGCGCGGGATGCGTACGCGGGCTTGGCCGGCGTCGGCGGCAGTGGCGGCCGGCCGCGCCAGGCCATTGAGCAGATGGCGCCCGGGTTCCGTTTGGCGGCCAACGCACGCTGGCAAGACTTCATCAGCGACTCGCTGTACTACACACGCGGCTGGACGCTGCAGGAGGACCATTTTGCCACGCGGTCGCTAGTCTTCATTGGCGGCACGGCCGTCTTCCGCTGCCGCACCGCGGATGCGTGGCAGGAGCATGTGTTTGAGCCCGCGGACGAGCTTCGCACGCAGGACGGCCGGAATGATGACGACAACAGCGACGACGACGACGACGACCTCAACGACATTGGGACCATGGAAGAGTTTATGAACTCGTACTCGGAGCGCCAGCTGTCGTTTGGCGCGGACCTGTACCACGCCTTTGCCGGCATGGCGCGGCAGCTCGTGGTGCAGTACAACACGGACCTGTGCCACGGCCTGCCCACGCGCTTCTTCGACTGGCATCTGCTGTGGGACGGCGGCAGCCACACGCACCATGTTCGGTGCCTGGGCGGCGGCGGCGACACCCGGGGCCCCAGCTGGTCGTGGTCAGGCTGGACGGGCGGCCGCATCTTTGCGCACATCTGGGACTGGTACACGCGGGACATTGGCATGGTCGACGAGGCCATCGGCACGCGGACGTGGATTGTGTGGTACCACCGCGTGGCCCACGACTCGACCGAGTGTGTTCCGCTGGTCAGGCACATGCAGGGCAGCGCTGGCTCGGATGGCGAGGAAGAGAGTGGCAGCGGCAGCGGCCCAGCAGCGCCTTACCACGCGTGCAACCTCTACGGCAGCGCGACGCAGACTGACCGCCGCTTCTCGGGGCTGGACTGCGTGCAGACACAGCCGACACCGATGCAGCTGTCGGCGGCGTATCCCACCTACGTCAGTGATACGCTGAGCGAGAATCCGGGCTCGGGATTTTTGCAGTTCTGGACAGTGTCGGTTCTGCTCACAATTGATGATCCAGACAATGTACAGAGGTCAGAAACGGAGCCTGATATGCTCGACGGGCAGCACCGGCGCCTTGGTGTGTTTGGGAAGAGCGGCACGCAGCTGGGTACCGTCGTCGTCGAACCGGACTGGCTCGCGAGCCAAGAGGCGGCAAACGGCGGCGGGACGCTGCCCCAGACCCGCGAGTTTATTCTCCTCTGCGAGGCGCGTGACGAGCGGGCCCCCGGAAACGGTAATCCTGACCGGCACACGGCTGGCTGGCGGTTCAAAACGATGATGCTCGAGTGGGTGACGTTGGGCGGGGACGAAACGCAGGACTCGTATACCTACAAGCGGTGGGCACAGGGCCAAATCAACGCGCAGGTGGAGGGCACCGATTCGGATAGCGCTAGTGCGGCGTATGCCGAGCGAGTGTCTCTTTCGTCGATTGGCTTTGATGCCCTGGATGAAGCGCTCGGTGATGGGCCGAAGTGGAAGGAGGTTATTTTGGGATGAGTCTGCAGGACGTAAACGAAGCGCAAAAGATGCAAGTCTTGGACAACTGCTGCTACTGACCGTACATATGAAACAACGGAGTACGTATCAGAAAATATCAAGGCACACCATCGATTAGGGGCGCTGCGCTGCAAGATGACAGTCGTCAAACTCAAATGGACAATAAAAGAAACAAAGCGTGAAAAGGGGGCAAGAAAAAGAAAATAAAGCAACCTTCTTGAGCGTTTCCGGTCGACGGAAACACAAGATGCGCCTGATACCCTGTATCCTCGGCGTCCTCGACGTGTCACTCCTGGCCGAAGTCCTTACGCAACTGGTCTAAAAGTACGACATGCCTGAAAGGGCCAAGCACGGGCGCTGTGCTGTCTGGCACAGTAAAAGGCGATCAAGGATAAGTGTCTTTTGGTGACTCTGTTCTCTGATTGTTTTCGGTTCATCGTAAAGGGTGGATTTCTATTTTAAGGGCGGGAATTGCTGCCAAAATGGGTGGCAGCTAACCCCCTACCTGACCAGCCATCGAAATTGTTTGCATCTGATAATGTGACAGCGGTCCACGACAGTTGCGGTCGAATGCCGAAAACGGCTAGCCCTGGTCCCCTGAGGACGGTTGACGGCGCAGTAAACGAAAACTGGGACTTCCCGCTGAACGGTGGGTCTTTGAAGGACCCCTGTCGAGGCCAGCAGCCGTCGATCTTGAAACAAGACAGTGCGGGCTTATGGCGTTTCGTGCTTATCAGGGGAGCACGGTCTGCTTCTAGATTATTCGAATGAACCACTGTTTCCGTTTCCTGGGACGGTTTCACACGTATGCTTTTGGAAGAACTCGGTACCTAAAAGAGAAACGTCTCCGGAGCACGACATACCTCGTGGAGGCCGGGGTTTTAATGGGACTATTCGGCCAGGACTCGAAACTTCCCCAGCTCAAAAAAGGGGCTGCCCTAATCCTTTCGCCCGAACGAAGCGCTTCATTTGACCCCCGTCCTAAACGTTACGAGCCCCTAACAAGACTCAGGGCGATCAAAGCTTGTGTCAAAACCACCCCATGTCGTGATCCTAAAACGTGGCTCTTTGTGGCACAGTAACATTAAAAATGAGAAGCCTTGCGATGAGCGCGGCTATTCGGCAAGCCTGCCTAGGAGTCGAGGAGTTTTGGACTTGCAGAACTTGAGGTGCCTCACCTCCTCCTTGATACCATGTCTGTTCTCTTCGAATCCATGCAGGGGAATTTCGAAGCCGCAAGTCTGGCGGTACCCCATTCCAGCCATCCTCATCACCTGTGCCACCATGCTTTGATCTGGGTAGTCCGTCCATTGTTGAAGGTGTATATAAACAGCAGAAGAGGTCGTCATATTCAGTCTTCTGATTTTTATTTTTCCAAATCAAAACCATTCACAATCTGGCCCGAATAAGCAAACAACCAACCTACAAAGCCAATCAAAACGAATTCAAAAACTCCTTTCCATGGACGAGATACAGCCGCCGATTCTCGATAGAATCAGAGAGCTCATCTCTCCATTCACCTTTGCAGAATTAGAACATGATTTTTTATTCGACGTTAAAGACCGTCAGTGTTTTGGCAAGACCAAGTCCTCGGACGGCGAACGATGCTACAATCTGCTGCCGAAAACAGGCGAACGAGGCTCGAAGCTCATGAGTAGCGTTTCCAAGTTGAAAGTGCTGGCCAAGGCCTACGAGGAGAGCTGGGATGATAATGAAGGACACGGAACTTTCCCAGTTGACAAGTTCTGTGCACGTCTCGTTACGTGCATCGATCTCCAGTATTGTCGCCTCCACAAGAGCAAGCCAATAGCAGCGGTGGAGGCATTGCAGAAGAGGTTGCATGCGTTCTATCAAAACCGAGCGCAAAGCAAAGACTCTGATGGCGACACTGATGACGACGCTTCTTCGGTAAAGTCCGCCGCCGGTGATGATTTGCGCCGCCTGACGGAAACACCGACCCGTTCGTCCACTGTCACGCCGAATACCACGCCTCAGTCGAGGAGGGTCAAAAAGGTCACATTTCCACCCAAGAGCACGCGTGGCGCAGAAAGCCATGAGGGCGGCATGAGTCACGCGCTGGAAGGGGTAGAGGACGATGATCCCGCCCCTCCTTCAACACCAACTCCTAGCCACAGGCAGCGGAAAATATCTGTGACAGCTTCACGTTTGCAGCTGAATTCCGATCAAACGAAGCGACAGACACCGCAAAGGCAAGAGAAGCAAGAGAAGCAGAAGGCACAGCAGCAGGAGCAGGGGACACAGAAACCGCAGGAGGAGTTACTCCATGAGCATCCACCAGCATTGGATGGATCAAATATTGCCAACGAGAGACAAGAACCCCAGGGTGAATCAAGTGTCCCGGCACCCAACCAGTTATCTCCTGTTGTGGCTGCGCCGAGCGAATTCGAATTGCTCGCGGAAAAGGTCGAAGACATTTTGACAGTTTCTTCTTCTCCTCTCCAGCAGGCGGATTATCTGCCGCTGCATCCCGACCACATGTGCTGCAGAAGCAAGGACATTCGACCGGAAAACTACGAGGACTGCTACATCGGAACCAACTACATCAACATCATCAGGAACATGCAGACTGGGTACGCACACTACAAAAAATGTTTCGGTCGGATCTATGTGCTCCGCAGCGCTTCGCGGTGCGGCCTCTTCAAGATTGGCTTCTCGGAGAGAGACGACTTAATGAAGCGCTGGGAGGAGGTACCTTGCAGCTGGGAGGCAGTCATGGACGGTCGGGGGGCCGTGTTTGTGAGCGAGACTGCGTTTCCAGGTGCCCATAAGGTCGAAACCCTCGTGAAAGCATCTCTTCGACATCGGCAGATGAGCGGTCCGTGCGACTCGTGCCACAGCTATCACTGCGAATGGTTCCGCGTCGAAGAGGATGTCATCCTTGCCTGGGTGCATGCATGGACGGCGTACGTGACATCCGAAATCTACAGCGCGACAGGACACCCAACAGGGGCGTACGACGAATTTGCCCACCAGCTGTGGTGTATCACACCAAAACGCATCCATGCGATGGTTGACAACATACCGCCACCGCTACCACAACCACGGGCAGACGCTGAGGCGACGACACCCAACTCGGTTACCGCTCCGGGCGCACCGCCTGATAATGGCAGCGGCATCGGCAGCGGGCGCCGCCGCACAAACGAAGCGCCGCTGCAGCCCAAGCCAATGCCAATGGTGGTAGCAGCAAAAACCGTTAAGCGAGTCGTGCGCAAAGCCATGACCTGGGATTCGGCGAAGAGCTCCCCTTCAACGATGGGGTGGGAGGAAGAAGGACAAGGCTTTACTGTGGTGGTCGAGGAGGTAGAAGAGCTCGGGGATCCAGACGTTACGGATGGCCGTCGACGTAGCATCCGCAAAACGCAAAATGCGTCGCAGGTTGCTTCACAAGTGACGTCCCAGATCCAGTCGAGCATTTCTGGGATTGTGAATTGGAGAGGGTGGACGTCGAAGCGGTCGTAGACGCGCAGGAGGAACGACGCGTGTGACTGTGTACGATTATTGTTGTTCTTGTTGTTCTTGTTGTTCTTGTTGTTCTTGTTGTTCTTGTTGTTCTTGTTGTTCTTGTTGTTCTTGTTGTTCTTGTTGTTCTTGTTGTTCTTGTTGTTCTTGTTGTTCTTGTTGTTCTTGTTGTTCTTGTTGTTCTTGTTGTTCTTGTTGTTCTTGTTGTTCTTGTTGTCGTTTTAGTCGATTTTATCTGCGACGAGTTGTATATTATTTTGTGACATAGCGTTTTATAGACGTTTTGTTAATGATTAAATCTTAAGACTCCTCTCACCGTTTACATAGTACAGTGTGTAGCATGTACTGGTTTTTATCGGAGGTAACGAGCAATACGCGGGGCGTGGCCTTGTGTTGAAGGAAGACGAAGTATGTTTTGGGCGAGATGATATGCGAGACCGAAGGCTTGTTACGGAAGAGCAAGTTGTCAACTGTCGACCTGTTCAAAGGCTGGACCAGACTGCCTCTAGACAGGCCGTAAGCGATATTTTTCGTTGGGCGGCAACGGAGATGGAGGCATTCGGAGACTACATATACCGACACCCATGGGTATGTGCCCATCTCGATTTAAGTATGGGCGGGAACGATGAAATTGAGGCCAGTAGCAGTTCAACGAAGCCCAAGACAGACAAAAAGCGTTTTGTTGAAGAGTGGCTAGCAAAACGAAATCAACGTCACCTACGCCGTCGCCATCACCGCCATCCCAACGGACGTGTACGTTTAACTTTGTAGTTTTAAGAGTAACAGAGTACGAGGTCACAGCTTTCTGTCCAGACTTGTCAAGTACTCTCATCTAGGCAGCCACTCTGATTCCTAGGAGCGGGGAATCGAGCGTGTGTAAAAGGCTCCAACCACATCTCCCGTCACAGAGGGGTGATAAAATAGCCGAAATTTTCTTTTCTTCCGAACCACGCCTGGATCTTAACGACTGGCTGATAAAATTGGGTACTTAGATGTCTTACTTGTATGACGGCTTTTAGGTCTTTTGTTTTATTTCGGTTGGCGTATAAGGGTGTATAATATAAAAAAAAAAAATTAATTTAAATAAATAGTATAAACAGTTTCATTGTAACATTATATTTTACGTAATAAGTATAATTTTACACGAGATACATGTTAATATTTTTTTATAATAAAATAAAAAGCAAATGTCCACCACGGGTGGCTTATCTACACGCTACACACTCTCTACCTCCCGGTCTGGATTATTAACTGGGTCACTAGTTATTTAACGGGCCGGACGACGGAGCTCGCCTTCGACGGGAAGACAACGCCGGCACGCCATGTCACCGCCGGCGTCCCGCAAGGGTCCCCGCTATCACCGATCCTATTTATTCTCTTTACCTCATCTCTCTACCAAGCCCTACGCCGCCACTACGGGATTATTACTATCGGGTTCGCCGACGACACCAATCTCCTCGCCATTGGCCGCACGCCAGGCGTCTGCTGCCACTACCTACAGGATGCGTGGACCACGGTCAAGGCGTGGGCACGGCCGAGAGGCGTTATATTCGAGCCGGCGAAGAGCGAGCTCCTCCACTTTTCCCGCACACACGCGGCCCCGACGACGACGCTTACGTTCGACCGGGATACCGTCCTTAAGCCCCGACAGTCGGCCCGCTTCCTCGGTATCTGGCTCGACAGGAAGCTCCTTTTCTCGGCACACCTCCGGTAAATAAAACGCCGTCTCACCACACAGAGCTATGCCCTTACGAGACTCACCGGGAAGACGTAGGGCTGCACGCTCCCGTGGGCCCGTACGATCTATACGGTAGTACTCCGGAGCATAGTAACTTACGGCGCGAGTGTCTTCCTCCCGGAAAAGGACAACCGTCGGTCAACGAGTTCCCTGGACACTATCTTTCACGGTTACCTCCGTACCGTCCTGGGGGCCTACCGGTCTACACCTATCCACCTCCTCCACTCCGAGGCAGGTATACCACCATTAAACCTCTACTTAACTTACCGCCGCGCCGTCTTCTTGTCCCGGCCAGACTACCAAACGAAAGCCCAAACTATCCGGAGCGCGGTTCACCGCCCCCGGCCGTTCACTAATTATTACCCGCCTATCCCCGCCCCGTCCCTGCCGTCTAGGCCCGAAGAGACGGACTAGACTACCGTTACCGGCCGTTGGAAGGCCCTTTAACAACAAGACGCCGGTAACGGCCACTTTGCGGGATCCCTCGCGGTACGAACACTATACTGGACGGCAAAGGCCGTACGGCGCCGTCACCTCCACTTAACCAAGGCCGAGAGTAGCCTCCTTACGCAGATCCGCACGGGCCATATCGGCCTCCGGGCGTACCTCCACTGGAGAGACGCCGTGGGCTCCCCGACATGTATATGCGGCACTGTAGACGAGACCCCGGCCCACGTCCTCTTATCTTGCACAGCAACACCCCAAAAACCGCCAGACTGGCCACAAACACTAACGGACCTGGACCGCCGCCTACAGACGGGCCTCACGGCCCGTCCACTTCTCCGCTGGCTTATTCGGAGCGGGAGGCTCCCGGAGTACAGCCTAGCTAAGGAGCTAGAACGGACGCCGTCGCCGGTGTAACACAACACACCCACATCTGCACATTGTTCCTTTGTTTTATTTGTTTTGTTTTTATTTGTTTTATTTTATTTGTCTACTTGTTAAAAGTGACCACTCGGGCCACTACACGCACCTGTACCATAGAAACACCACCCACTTAGATCTGTGACAGTTTTTTCCCCATGAGGGTTCTGTCTAGCTAGTCGCCAATAGCCAGGACTGGCTGAGGAAGGCGGATAATAATAATAATAATAAAAAGCAAATAACACGAAATTAACCAATACTAACCGTATAAAATCTTTTATTTTCTTACAACAGCAATAGACTTTTATACTACATGCCTTATACGCCCACTATAATAAAATACAAGACAATTACGCCACTGTATCTAATTCTAGACCTAGTTTTCAACGCCGTCTACAACAAGCCGGAATTGTACTTTTGAAAGCCATGTCCTAACTTGGCCCTCTTTGCAGAGTACTCAGCTTCCTCGCTGTCGTCGTCATGGGACGGGTGCTTCAACATTACCGTTTCCGAATCGGACGGGGTAACCGGGTTATCAGGGTCGGATTTTGCATGCGACCGCGTGTAGGTCTCAACATCCGCGAGAACGCTTGGCGACAGATGCTGCCGAATGACTGATCTGGCCATGAGCGGAGAAATCACAGCCGCCGGCAGACGCAGCTCGACTGCCATGCGAATCATCTTTTCCACAAACGCAACCGTTGCCACCCGGTCTGCCTCTGACACGGCTCTGGGCGGAAATGCTTCCCACGTCCGGATATAGCGCAGAATGTCTTTCACCTGGAATCTGTTGTTGTCAGCAGACGTGTCGAGGAAGACGTCGACAAGTTCAAAAACGGTGCGGAGCTCCAGTCTGTTATTGGGGCTCTGGGGTGCCTCGGGCCTCGACGGGGTGGCGCGGACGCTGAGGTTGGCATCTAGGAAGCGGTAGACGACACAGCGGTAGACGACACAGCTATAGACTGTGTCACTCACTCTGACGATCGGTGCTCGACTTGCGCCGTGCCGCAAAAAGAGAGCGAGCACGCTGGCCCCAGCACAGCTGGAGAGACCTAGTCCCAATTCCGTATCCAAGGAAGCGAGCACAGAGTTCCACGGTGAAGTCGTGGCGTTCCACGACAAGACATTCCACGGCGACATCGTAGCATGCCCCGAGAGGATGCGTTCATTCGGGTCGCAACCCGCCTCGAGGAAAACGGTCACCAAGCGTGCATCGATCCACCCGAGATGACGAACCGCCGTGCCCAAGAGGGATACACCGCTGGCATCGAAGTAGGCTGGGTTGCTTCGCAGCTTTGCGACGACATACGGCGTGACATGTGGATCCAGAAATGCGTGGCGCAGCCCGCGGGATGGCAGCATGGGTTCTTTGGCTATACGCGCCTTTGGCCCGGAACTGGGCGATGGATCATCTACATCGGCTTTGAAAAAGACACGGTTATTGGCGATCATTTCAACGGCCACCTGCAAAGTAGAGGACGTTCCAAACGGCTCCTCTTGCTGCACATTTGACATGGCATCCAACAGGCGCGTTGTTGTTTTTTCGTCTTCGGTCCATGCAAGACCGGCGTAGGTGAGACTTTGAAGGGACAGCTGTTCCATGTACGTAACGTCCGCGATGTAGATGGATGTAGCAACCATGCGCGCTGCACATCGAAAGAGAAAGGAGACGGCTTTGAGTATGGCCACGGTGGGAGCGAAGCCCGGCATCGCCTTGCTCTCGAGATAGTCGCGCATTGCGCGTGTCTTGAGAAAGTCGTAGACGGTGCGGTGGATAAACTGGACGTGCAAATTGACGCAGTGTAAGAGGCCCCCACAGCGGGCGTTCACCCTGCGTCGGCACGCGTCGGCGAGATCGAGACGCGACTCAAACCGCGCAATGTCAGAATCCGCTGGCCAAGTCAGCGCGTAGTTGGGGTCGTCAAGCTCGTACTCCAGAACGTGATACACCCTGAGCCCCAAGGTGGAGTCGTCTGCATCCACGGCCGCCAGCAGTGCATGTGCCATGTACGTGTGGTGAACCGCATCGACACGGCCTAGCATGTGTTTAAAAAAGGGCTCCAATTCGGTCGGCATGGCCTTCAAGCGCCGCTTGATGTCGTCAAAGGTGTCGCCGTCGATGACGCCGTCTCGGAGTGACTTTGAGACGAGAAATGCCCACAAAAAGACGCCCTGGGCGTTCTCTGCAATGTACTTGACGAGGGTCGCGACCTGGCCATCGTTGATGCCCATGGCTTTCCACCGGGCGATGCTTTGCAGGCGACTCTCGGTGAACTGGAGAATGTCGTTGTATGTGAGCGTGTGCACTTGAAGGAACATGGGATTTGGTCCGCTGTTCCTACCAAATGCGTCCTCAAAGACATTCCATGGCCGGCTCGACACGCAGCACTGGATGCTGTCGGATGTCGCGAGGCTTTTGATAATTTGACACAGCTCGAGGTGGTACCCGGAGTTTTCGTCGCCGCAATACTCGTCCAAGCCGTCAATGAAGAAGCAGCAGCGGATCGGCATCGCAGGATGCTGGGCAATCTGTAGTAGCCCTTGGCGCAGCTCACGGATGGTCCACTCGTCGTCCGCAGACATGGACGTGTAGCTCGTGTTGCTCGACCAAGGCGCCGCAGTCGACTTTGACAGACGGTGTGGGAACACGTTCGGCGCCAGCTCAGGGCAGTGGCTCAAAACATCAAGCAGTAGTTGCTGCAAAAGACCCTTGAATGATCTCTGCATCTCTGTCCCGGCATGCCAAAAGTAGTGTGATGCAACAATCAGCCGTTTCCCCGCGGCCTGGGTTTGAAGTAACTCTCGCGTCCTCGGATGGTCTGCAATAAACTTTATCAGCGTCGACTTGCCAGAGCCGGGCTTGCCGCTGATCCAGAATATGCCTCGGCCAGACTCCAGCCAGGTCGTAAAACTGTCTGAAGCAGCCCTGTTATCAGAGTCTTCCAAGACGGCTGGGCCAGTCGAAACGCTGCCCGGATCGACATGTGGTTTACCCGTGTTTCTTTCGCCGGAAAAGATCCATTCGAAAGTAGCTTTGTGGGCGTCGGGTATGGCTTCGTGTCGATGCTTGCGTGCTTTGAAATGGAGGCTTCTGAGGAGATCTTGTACCCGTACTGCCAAAGTAATGTCATCTTCTGCAAGACTAAGGCCGTTTACAATGTCAGAAAGGCCTTCGACGTCCGTTGGGCGGAAAAGTTGTGGTTTGGATTTGTGTCGCGTCTGTATGGAGACGTCCTGCGCTGTCTTGTCTGTTGAATGTGTCGACAGAGCTTGGATCTTGTGGAGCAAAACGTCAAGCTGGCCGGCTATGTCTTTGAATCCGTTTGACTGCTGCGTTTCCAGCCAAGTATTCTGGGTGTGTAGGGCTGCGACAACCCGTGTCATGTACGTTTGTCGTTCACTGTGTCTGACGTTAGTAATGAATGGCGACGATGAAAAAAAGAAAAAAATAAAAAAATAAATAAATAAATAAATAAAAGAATAAAAGGAAAACGAAAAAAAGGAAGAGGCAGAAACAGGAAGTGAATAGAACGTGGGAGACCGACTTGAGGAGGGGCAGAAAATGCAGAGCAAGGAGCTCCTGAAACCGCCGCAGTCGTTCCTCGAGGCTTTTGATTTTCTTCTCGCTCCAGACCATCCTCACAGCCGCAGCAACGCTCTTGAGACGACGTTTGGACGAGCCTGGATCCACGCGCAGGCCGCGCACAACACGCAGAAGCTGGTGACACACATCCTGGCAGTCCGCCGCGATGCCCTCGATGGCGGCAATGTGCGGTCGGATCGCCTTGGCATGCGCCTTGCCGAGTGTGTCCACCGCGGCACCGCCGTTGGATTGTGGCCGATCGGATGTACCGTCATCCGTGAACTGGAGGTCGGACGCAAAGTTGCAGAGTGTCGTGTACGCGTGTTCGAGTTCGAGGTTTAAGGAGGTCGCGCCCTTTGCTGACTGTGCAATCTCAATCGATGTGCTGAATAGTTTGAGCCCAAAGTCCACAAACTGGACAATGTTGGTAGCAAGACCCAACGCCGTCAGTGGGTCCAACATTGTTGGTCAGAGGTGCCGGGCGTCAGCCGGCGTGCAAGGGAGGGGAAAAGCAGGCCTGTATGTCGTATTGTAACAGGGTCAGGAAGCGAGGGACAGTAGGTTCATTTTATGTTGTGTCGGGGTGCGGGGAAATGTTCCATACAAATACGGCATGCGATAAGGGCTTCGACGGTCTTTGCGCAGTCAGCCAAAGCTGTGGCTGAATTCCACAAGGCCGAATGGCACCCCTGTAGGGCAGAGGGGCTATGCTGCGTCTCTTTGTCCAGCATGCTGACCTGATGAACCAGCGTGGAAAGTCGAATATGAGGCGGTGAGAATCGCAGCTTTGTTCTGCACCCCCACCGAATCTGTCAAAACGGTGCTTTTCTTGTCCAAGCCCTGGGCCAGGGTCCTTCAGTGGAAAAAAGGCGAGCAAACGCCAAGTTGCCTCTCATCGTGCTGGTGTGCAGTTTAGCGGGGTATCTACAGTGGATTTAGGCCCAGACTAACCAGGGGTTTAGGCGTCGTCCGCACGCGGCCAGAGCCGCTTGGCCCGCATTTAGTGGATTCCTACCGGGATTAGTGGCACTGTTAGTGAACGCCAAATCGTAAAAGCGATAACAACTGCTTAGCAAAACGAGAGCAGGTGACAATAGGCAGGGTAGTTGCAGTCCGTCATTTAGTATCTATGGCTAGTCTGGGGCAATGTGCAGAGCGCCCAAGCCCATGGTGATTATTCCAGACCATAGAAGGAGACCAACACCACGCTTCACGAGGTCCATCTCTCTTACCTTGACGAGCAAAAGTCATTCCACTCTTCTTCGGTGGCATTGTTCAAATTGTGGAGAAGAGGAAATTGTTCCTTCAGTGCCTCGACCCAGCCTCTGCGGTCTGCCACGGCCTTTCTGAATGCTCGTGCGCCAAAAGCCGGGTCGTACAAATACCCAAAATAGGACTCGTTAATTACGATACTAGGCCCGTCCATGGAGAGCTGGAACGATATGAAGGGCGTGTTGGGCACTTTTGTATCGTCAACGGTGCGCTGCATGGCAAATTTGCCGCGTTCAAACACGGTCGAAAGGTCGCAGAGCAAAGTCAAGTCCGCGCCGTCATGCGCTGCGAGATGGGCAAAACGGCACGCAATATCGTGGCAGTTCCAGTATACAGCTCGATATGGCGCTGTAGTTTGCTCAATTCCCACTCTGAGTATGTCTTGCACTAACAGATGTATGCCCCGAGGTCGGCCTTTCAACTCCTTAGTCCTTTATGGCATTGTTTGCATTGTGGTCGTGTTAAACTGACTCAAACCATACATGACACTCACACAGTACATTCAGCTCAGCATCGGTTTTGGCCGTGGAAGCAATATATGTCATGGACACGATGCGGCGCGCAAATTCGGCGTTTGGCTGCCGGCCAGGTTGATCCGTGGCCATTCCCGGGCCTTGGTGCTCATAAATACGGCATCGCTGCAGCTTCGCATGCAACGAGAGGGTTGGGTCGGCACACACGCCGTCGTCAATAACAAGAATGCCAAGGTGACTGCAAAAATGGAACTTGTCGTTGGGTGAGAGTCGGGGAATAACCGTGGTTTGGCGTAGATTTTGTCTCGCTTGACTGAGCTCGCTTTCAATCGCATATGGGACGGCATCCTCATGGAAAACGCCACCGAGGAGAGCGAAGCCAGCCGTCCCTTTACGCACCACGTGTCGGTGACCGTGACGGCAGCCGAGCTGGACCTCGAAAGATTGCTAAGCGTATTCGGTAAAAAGGAAACGATGGTCGAACTCCGTACGTTGTGCTGATGTGCAGTTCAGCGGTAATATCTGTTGTGCATTTAGGCATATGTGCTTCGTAAACGTCACTCTCCAGTACGGTCCGCTCGCGGCAAGCGGGATCGCCCATCGCCCGTATTTAGTGGGCTATCGGCGGTTTAAGTTACATTTAGTGGGTTGTTAGTGTGATAACCGGTGCTGAAGGGATCGCAGCTGACGTCACTAATCGAGCCGACAAGGGTGCTATGAGAACGATCCTCGTTGTCAGCATATCGACGTTGCGGTGAGCAACGGACAGCAAAACACGTTGCTGAGCCTACCCAGGGGCCAAGTTTCAAGGCGACGCGGAATACAGTACCAAAATCGGCATAGGGCCAATCCTCTAGAACCGGGGTTGGTCTTCACCCAAAGGGAAAGGAAAGTGCACTTTACGCGGTCGAGGCTTAGACAACAGTTAGACTGCTCGATTTGGTCTAGCCAGACAGCATTGCCTTCATTGGAGCTTTTCTGGTCTTCGACGAGACTGGCAAGCCTGTATGTACGACAATGTCCCATGTTTGTCCGTCCTGTAACACTGTTCTGGGCACTCTCTCTAGAGTTGTGTCCGCCGTGCCTCTGGTCTAGATCGGGGCAGACTTGTGATGTTCGATGTGGGCTCATTGGGATCGGACTCGTCGCCCTTAGTCGTGGCGCAAAGATCATCGTCTTCATAGCGCCGTTTGCGAATACAATTTCCCGGTCCACACACGGCTCGAGCCGCACATTCTAGCACACAGGCCGCGATCACAGCGGAGCTCAGTGGAGCACAACGGGAGCTAGGATGACACACCCACCGAGCAGGCTGCTTCAGGGACGGCACAGGTGCTTCCCCAAAGAAGGAAGCGCCTCGTCGGATTTTTGGGTCACGTTGACTGGACTTTTGCTCAGTAAACAGCCATTCATTCTGTGTCTTTCAACATCCGCACCGCTTGGGTATCAAAGCCGATTGGCCTAGTAGTCGACCAGGTCGGTTGAACGGCACACTTCGTCGTACCCAGAGATATCTTTGCGAAACAAGAGTGGAGCATGGCGTACTGAAATGTCGACATTGTTTCAAAGAGAAGGAGACCTATTGGCGAGGCCATTAGTGTGATACTTTGGCACCCTTGCTTTATTTTGTTTGCCGTTATTCCTGGCGATCTGTTTACCAACTGTGGAACGTCGTAAACGGACCAGGTTCAACAAACGACCGCCCCACTAAGCCGGACGCTGCGTCGTATTTTGAAACGTGACGGCGACCATGCAGCGCGACCTGGAGCATTCTTCCCGTGTAAGATGTATGGCGTAGGGTATGCTCCACACTGTGTCGTACAAATTACATGGGTCTCTTTTCATTTGCGGTCATGTCGACCGGGGTTAGATATGCTCTATGAGTACTACGTTCTCCGTACGAGACTGTGGCAATACGTGAGATCACATCAACGCAGGGCATTGTTGGGATATTTCCTTATTTCCCGTTAGTGAGCTTTTTAATCTGAGCATGGCCTCGGACACAAGATGTCAGTTGCGTGTTTGACGGCGGCCTCCTGGGCCACATGGCTACATGTTTAGTGGTTTCAAGGAGGCCAATTTGGGGGCCAAAATCCGACGATGTTTGCAGGCGACCCCTTTTTCTTGCAGCCCACACTGATGGTATGCCTATGCTACCAGGTTCGGGCCTGGCCGTCAAGCTCCTGTGTTTGTGATGGTTTTTAGGCAGCCACCTCTCGTACTACTTAAGAATGCTTTGCGTCCATAGTTGTCACTAAATTATTTTGTCTAACTTCATACTTTTTCTTTTCTCCTTTTGTCTCAGATATTTCAGAAAAAGAAAACAAAAAGAAGTCGAAAAAAAAAAAAATAAACTACTTTTTCATCCCATCAGACCACGTACTCTCAACCAACATTGTCTCACACAGACGTGGTATCAACATGGTTTTAATCACTGTACGTACACGCACAGCCGTCAATAACTCTCCAAGTCACTATTTGCTAATACAAGATGCCAAGATGCAGCCCTCCGTCGTGACAACAGATGCTTTCGCGTCTCCGTCCGTTTCCCATTCCCGTTCCCGCCTGGTCACGCCGGACAGCAGCGCCGGCGTGGCAGCGAGTCTTAGCAACGGCCTCGACAATGTCCATCTCTCCTCGCCAGCACCAGCGCCATCGACCATCCGACGCGATGCCTTGAACATGTCGGCCCTTGCTGCTGCTGTAGAGGGCGTCGAACAAGGTGGGAACGGGCAAAATGCACCCCCGGGTACGCCGCCCATGGCGCATGGGGCACTGCGACCGCCAGACACCTTGACCCCGCCGGCCCGGCCCAGCTCGCGCAGACAAAGCAATCGCCGGGCATCCAACCTGTTGGCCGCGTACGATTTTGACAAGGAAGAGCTGCCGTCCCACCGGCTGTACAGCCAAGAGGTGCAGCAAGCTCTCCAGAAAAGCAAGTCCCTCCTGGAAAGCCTATCTGCGGCACTTGGCAGCAGCGCCAGCCGCATGCACGAGGACCAGGGCTCAACCATCCACGGTCTGCACAAGCAAGCCGCTGCCCTCGCCAACTTCCGGCTGCCGCCGTCCTGGACTGTTGGTTTTGTGGGAGAGACTGGTTCAGGTAAGGTTGTGCCGACGCGGGCAGCTTTTCCTTTTCTTCTCCTCTTTCTTGCTCTCCTTTTTGTGGCCCTGCTATTTAGATTCTTTTGCCTTTTTTTTTTTCATTGTTTCTGTCGACCATTTGTTTTCTTTTGCCATTGTTTTGTCTCGTCTCCGGTACCCTCTTTGCTAATCTGCACGCTCACATGCAGGGAAAAGTAGCCTTTTGAACTCCCTCTTGCATCAGAACAATTTAGCCACGGAAGTAAGTCCAACAGCATATCATCTCACAAAACCAGTCAATATAGACTGACCTTTTTTTCCCTTCACTTCCTGTAGAGTAGCGGTGGAAGAGCATGCACGTCTGTTGTGACCGAGTACCGCTACCGCGCCGGCAGCCACTTTACCATTGAAGTCGAGCTGTTCGGCGAAAACGAGCTCGTGGAACAGCTGGCCGGTATTGTTCGCACGTACCGCAACTACCATATGCGGGGCCGTAGTACTCTGTCCACAGACACATCCAGAGGCGCGCGCAACTCTGGTGCGGCTGAAGCAGATACGACGACCCAAGACAACGCGCGAGTCGACGCCAAGGATGCCCTCTCTATGCTCTGGACCTTGTTTGGCGAAAAAATCAACGAGCATATGCGGCTCCTCTTGGCCGACGACGAGGACCATGTCCTGGCCGTCCTTTTGAGCGATCTCCTTGACAATCGGTGGGCGCTGCCCGCAGAGCCAGCGGTGTTTGACAACGCCAAGGACTGTTCCCGTCGGCTAATGGAGCTTACGGTGGATCGCCGTCGGAACGAAGACGAAAGGCCGCCAAAAGAGCCGGTCAAGTGGCCCTACATTCGCGCAATCAACGTCTATTTGGATTCGCGCATCTTGAGCAAGGGTCTCGTGCTTGTTGATCTGCCAGGACTCGGCGACCGAAATGCGGCACGCGAAGCCGCGACGGAGAGCTACTTGGTGCGGTGCAACGAAATATTTGCAGTCAGCCACATTCACCGTGTCGTATCCAGCGCCAGTGTGCAGCGCGTCGTCGACCTTGCTCGGCAGGGCCAGGTCGAAAATGTCGGAATCATTTGTACACACGCAGAGGTACATCCATTCTCTTCGGTCTCCCGCCAATCGAAACAGAATCACTCACAGTGTCGCAGGACTTTGGCAAGGGCGTTGATGAAATTGCCTCCAGAACGCGTGCATCCGAGATTCGGCAGCTCTCTGAACGGGTGGAACAGCTGCAAGAACAAATCCACGAGTTCGAGGGCGACCTTCGCGCCTTGAAACACGACAACGACTGTGCGATCGAAGAGATGAGCAGAGCCGCCTTGGTGGACATTCTTAATTTGCAGTCTGCCATCGAACGAAAAATGTAGTGTTATCCTTACCGCCTCTCGTTCCCTTTGTTTGATCTTGGCGTTCCTTGACGTGAGGTGCTGTTTCTCCCCAGTTCGATTTCGGAGACAACCCTGCTGACAGTCGTACTTTTGCTTTTAGACGTGAAAAAGAGAACTGCGGTTTCAAGTAAGGACGTTGCTCTTTCTGTTTCCAGTTGTCTTGACGAAAAGGCTATAAGATCCGCCGAGCAACATGACATGCTAACACGCAATTGCAACAGCATTACCCGGCTGCAGATGGAGGACCGCAACAAATCAGTCCAGAGAGAATTGACGTCCACGTACAGGAATAGGCTACCCGGCGGCATCCAGAACGTGTTTTGCGTCGATAATAAGCAGTACTGGGAACTATGGACGAAGGAAGGGTTTGTACAACACCTCCCTGTGACGGGAATTCCCCGGCTCCGCACGCATTGCCTTGGTAAGGTGGCCGAGAGTCGGCTCAAGCTCGCTGCGAAGCACGTCAGGGACAGCATCCCGGCGCTTCTGGCCGAGGTGGAGTTGTGGGTGGAGTCTGGCGCACGAGGCTCAGAAGCGGAGCAGAAAAAGATCATCGTCGAGGCCCTGGACCGGGCCGAGGCTGATTTGGAAAAGGTGAGTTTTGTCTTACTCTGGCTACGCATCGCATGATGTTCATATTCACATAACCTTCGCTTCACTGCCTTTAGACACTTGTACACCGGAATGTGGCCACCGCTGCCATATCGACATCGTCGATGCGAAACACGTTCGATGACAAAATCTATAAAAGTAAGTGGATACGTGTTGCTCTATTTTATTCTGGTTTGCCTATTCAGACTCTGCAGTCAAAACCTATTTCCTTCTATGCGTTGTCTCGTCCAGCTGGCTGACGCTTTTTACCTGTAGACCGCGATTGCAATCGGCCAGTAGAATGGGCAGAGGAAGCACTCAGATCTGCAGGCCGATGGAGTGTAAGTTGAGTCGTCCCTTGCTTGAGGCAGCATTGTAGTTTGGGATCACTAACGTTGTGAGGTCACCAGGCGTGGAGTTCCCGTAAGTCTAAGCTCTGAAGCCGAAACATACCTGGTGATCAACCGACTGACTTTGTAAATCTCTCTGCCATAGTAACCTACATTGCATTCTGCAGAAACTATGGCACGCACACGACAGAGGCAGTTGGCTACCACAGCTGGAACGAAGAAGCCATTAAGTGCATGGTTGACGACTTGAAGCAACCATGGAGCGACGTACTCAAGACTCTCCGTGACGTACTCAAGACTCTCTGTGACGAGCATTCTCAAAGTCTACGATGGATTGAAAGAAACATTGGTACGTGCAGTGAGAAGAACGTACGCCGCAGCCAAAATGGTGCGCCAGTATTTTGTTTTGGACCGACTCTAATCAGCCAACCCGACAACAAACAGACAGGAGGGTGAATCAGCTGGAAATGAAACCGTCGACTCCTTCGGCCCTTTTGAAGACAATCCAAACCCGCAATGATGTCTTCATGTCAGACGTTGAAAAATGTGTGACGGCCATGGAATCGGCCCTCCGCACATTGGGGATAAAAGCCTTTTCAGGACTTCGCACCGGCTTGTTTGGAATGGCTATGGAACACACCTACTCTTCTGCCATGCTCATGAGGGGTGAGTAAACAGCCGATGGTCATTCAATCTCCTTGCTTTTGGCTCCTATTTGCTACATATTAACAGTCCACAGGGAGGGGATGTACGCAGAGAAAAATTAGTGCCATCAACGCCACGCTCGGCGACCCAAATACCTTCGCAGGGGTCATAAAGGCGTTCCGAGACGAGTTTCTCAAAGTTGCACAGCGCTTGGAACAAGACGTGCAAGGCGCCATCGACAACTACCTTAGTGCCGTCAGAACGGCCTTTGACATAGTCCGCACGGAGAACGCCGCCAAGGAGAGCGAATCCGACCGTCCTTTTACAGACCGCGTGTCGGCGAGCGTGACAGCAGCCAAGCGGGACCTCGAAAGATTGCAAAGCGTATTCGGTCAAAGGTAGACGACTTTGGTGGAAGATGTTTTAATTCGAACTGAAGAAGACCATCGTGTGTTTTTGATTTGTCTTTTGTCTGTAGTTTCGTCTCTAGCTTTGTCTTTAGTGTCTCTTCCGGTTGTAATCAGTTTTGCCTGCGTTGATTTCAGACTTTTTGGCACGCGTTGAACAAACTGAAGTGGATACGCAGGTCTTGTAGGTGCTGCTACTGGTCTAAAATTCTATGTCTTTGCTGAGCGTCGCCGTTTGTGGCAGTGGCGGCAGAAAATGGACAAAGCCTGGGCCCGACATGGTCTGTGTTCCACTGCAGAGGAATGGGAATGGTCATTGGAGACGGCCTTGGAGGCGCGAAAATCGAGCGAGTTCACGTGCGGCACAAATACAAAAATGCTACGACTGCCAGTCGATCACGACGGAAGAGCGGAGACTGCAAGTGAAGAAAACGGCTCGGAGCAGCGCGCAATGCGCCAGCAAAAACGCCGGTCGTGCACGGTTTGCTGCAAGACAGCAGCAATTCACTCACGGCGGCCTATGATTCGGGGCGTCCGGGCGGCGGCCGGGCCATTGGTATCGCCTTTTCGATTTTCGTCTTACATTTCGATTTAGTATGCAACTCTACATGGGCTGTCTTCCAAATGCAGACACCGCTCCTGGCTCTGCGCATGGCCACGACGAAAATGATGGTGCGGAATGGGCCTTGGCGCCCCTCAAATGGTAGGCAGCCACAGCGGACTGATTGACAATTGTTTGTCATTCCCCAGTCCGGAACGACGACGGTTGGCGGCTTGCCCAAAAGGGACATCGTTGCCACCACGCTTACTCAACCTGTCTTTGGGCCGGCGTGTGCATGGACGTTCCGAACCCGAAACTTTCCTTGATCAGCGCGAATACGCGAACACACGAATATACGCTCACGACGTCACAGACATAGGAACAATCACATCTACATCTTCTGCTCAATTGTTACGTCAACCACTTCTATAAATACGGCATCAACCAGCCCTAAATTTACTCGAAAATGCTTCTGCAGTGCCTTCTTGCGAATCACAACAACCAGCCGGCAAGCTAAATAGACTACATTCTTTTTATTGATTTGCCAGACGTTACCAGCCCTTGAAATGGCTGCTTTTTCTCTTCCCGCTGGCCTACCTGAAACGGTCAAGGCCGTCTTGCAGCCCGACATCCAGACGACTGACCTCGTCCTCACCACGATCCCGCTGCCCAAGCCCACACACCCAGACGATGTCCTCGTCCGTGTCCATGCCTCCGCGCCGTGCAACGGGGAGCTGCTGTGGGCCAAGAACTACCCAGCCATGATCCCCGCGGGCAAGCTGGCCGTGGTCGGCCAGGACATGGCGGGCACTGTTGTTGCGGCACCCGCTGCCTCGGGCTTCACAGCCGGCGACGAGGTGTTCTGCCGCATCGACGCGTCGCGGCCCGGCAGTGCGAGCGAATACACGCTGGCACGAGCCAGCGAGCTGGCGCGGAAGCCCAGGACGCTGGGCTGGGTGGACGCGGCGTCGGTGCCGCTGAGCGCGCTGACGGCGTGGCAGGCCGTGTTTGAGCAGGGGTCGCTGGAGGCGGCCGGGCTCCGGGGCGACGCGGCGGCGCGTCAGCGCAACGGCGCCAAGCGCGTGCTCGTGACGGGCGCGTCCGGCAGCGTCGGCCGCTGGGCCGTGCAGCTGGCGGCGCTTGCGGGCGCGGGCGCTGTCGTGGCGCTCGCGGGCGCGGCCCAGGGCCCCGGGGCCGACGCCGTGCGCGCCCTGGGCGCGACCGAGGTGGTCAGCTACCGCGAGACGACGCTCGCCGACTGGGTGGCTGTAGACCGGGCGGCGCGCGAGTGCGATCTCGTCGTGGACATGGTCGGCGGGTCTACGCTCGCCGGCTGCTGGAGCGTCGCCAAGGCCGGCAGCGGCGAGCTCATCAGCGTCAACACGCCGCCGGACATGGTCAAGCCCGAGGCGCTGGGCAGCAAAACACTGGGCAAGAGCCTCTTCTTCATTGTCAGCCCGCGCGGCAGCGACCTGGCCCAGATTGCCGAGCTCATTGATGCCGGCAAGCTCAAGCCCGCGGTGGACCGAGCCTACGCCATGGAGGACTTTGCGGCGGCGTTTGACCGGGTCGAGAGCGGAAAGGCACAGGGCAAAGTGATTATCAAGATCAGCGACGAGGCATGAGCCATCCGCTTTGTGATCACGTCAGCGGCTATCGCGAATTGGGACGACAAAAACTCCTCTCCGTATAGAACCCGAAAATGTACTTGACAACACATGGCTTTGACGTTGCATCTGTGCCCCTGTGCTATATTTCGTAGAATATTCCGCGTATTACCCTTGGAGAAGTGACACAAATGATCGAGGCAAATAGGGCGTTTGACGTGGTGGCCATTGCCTTGCCGTTTCTTTATTGCCTTGCAGACGACCATGTCCTCCTTCAGTACGTCGCACAAGTCCTTCCATCACATGTATAATATATCTTGGCATCCAATGACACTCAACCTTCCCCTGGTGAGCTTTTGGGCTCCCGTTAGCACTCCATGAGTGTGGCAGTTAGCATGGCAGATGACTGTCACGTGGTGCTGACCCAGGTAAAGCGACGAATCCGAAAGCAGTACGAATGTAGGATTAGCGTTTATTTCGCATCCCCCTACCAAATAACATGGCCGCCGCACCAAAACGACATAGCGCGAACATGCCCATGTGGACCAACCCCGTGCGGAGAGACGAATCCGGGGTCCTCGTACTTTATCCGCGATCTCCTCATCTCGTTATGATTACGAGCAGTCGGACGATACCAACCAACGCAGTCGCGATCATGGCGTCGCGGGAAGAAAGGCAGCAGCCACCTCATCGGCGCAACGACACTGGCAGCGACAATGGCAACGACGTCCGCAACGACGGCTGCCGCTTTGCCTGCACGGCATGCGGCCGCTCGTTCAAACGGCTCGAGCACCTGGGCCGCCACCGCCAGAGCCACCAGGCCGTCAAGCGGTATGCCTGCCCGGTGTGCCTCAAGCGGTTTGCGCGCAGCGACATTCTGCTGCGCCATACACTGCTGCACCGGCCGGCGGCAGGGCCGGCGGAGCCACGCGCAGCAGCGAGCAGCGGCCGCCCACACCCATCTGCCGCGCCCGGTCGTCCGCGAAAGGAGCGCCGACGGGCCTGCCAGGCGTGTGCCAAGGCGCACGAGAGCTGCTCCAAGGGCGCGCCGTGCCAGCGGTGTCTAGTGCGGTCCGTGCAGTGTGTCTACAGCACGAGCACGAGCACGAGCACGATGGACGGCGGAGGGCAGGGTGGGCAGGACGGGCGTGGTGCATCCTCTGCGGCCGAGCCCGTGCCGGCAACGACGGCTGCTACGACGTCGTTCTTTTCGGGGACGACGGCGGCAGTCGACCAAGCACGCGCGCCGTTTGTCGACGTGCCCTTCCAGGACAGCACGGCGGAAGCAGTGACGTTGCTGCTCGACATGCAAACGGATATGCAAACGGATATGCAAACGGATATGCAGACGTCGATGCAATCCGGGATGCAAACAGGGATGCCTGCGGGCGACCAACTGCTGCCTGCCTACCACAACTGGGCCGCGCAGGGTCTCAGCCTGCCGCCGGACGGCCCCACACTCAACTTTTCCATCAACTGGCTGCCGGAGAACCTGCACTCGGATCTCGACTATGTCTCCATTCTAGGCCCGAGTCTGCATCTCATGTCGTCCGATCTGGTGACGTCGCAACTTGAACAGCCATCGTCGTCGTTTCCCTTCCAGCAGATGCATCTGCCAGTCGAACAGGCGCCGCTCCATGCTGATCTCACGCTCAACAACGCCATGCCGCCGCTGCTTCACAACAGCGGAGACCGACTCGGCAGTTCGGCGTCGACCTCGCCGGTGGCATCGCCTGTGACGGAATCGGGCCATACCCCCCCGGGAACCAACCGCACAGCGCGACACCTGTACACGAACGGTGCCAATGGCGTTCGCGCCCCCTGCACGGTCCGTGACACGCGAGACTATGTGCCGATTCCCGGGACGAAACCGCTGCCGGCGATCTCGGCTGGCATGGGAGGCGGCGTCTCGGAGGCCACACGCAACCGAGGCAGAGTCACCAGTGCTCCCAGATTACCCTCCCTCAGCCACATCTCGGTTGCGCATGTGCTGCCTGCTGGTGCCAACGCACACATCCACATCTGGCCGTCGACCTACGAACGCATTCGACACGGCATACGCCAGGCGTCCGGTGCCGGCAACGGCGAGAGTGCCTTGGACGACAATGCCATCCCCACGCTCGAGCAGACCAACTACTTTGCCCACCTGTACTTTGAAAAGTGCAACCCGGTGCTGCCCATTCTGCACGACCACGTCGGCGCGCTCAACGAGTCGTGGCTGCTGGCCCTGGCGGTCGCCACGGTGGGCGCGCAATACACGTTTACAGAGGAGTTTACCGACTGTGCAGCGACATTGCACGAGATCCTCCAGCGGGCCCTGCAGATGGAGCTGGACGATGACGACACGGGCCACGGCACATGTAGTCTTGCCACCGTCCAAGCCCTCTTCCTGTCGCAAGTCGGCTTGCTGTACCACGGGCCGTCGCGTCTCATGCGGCGTACAAAAGTCAACCACAGCATCCTCGTGGACATGCTGCGCTGTCACCAGCTGCTGGAACCGTCCACGCCCCGGCAGACGACCGCCTCGGCCTCTGTCGAACACCAATGGCGCCAGTGGGTGCACGACGAGTCGCGACGGCGGCTTGGCTATGCCATTTGGGTGCGTTTCATGCGCCTTTTTTTTGTTATTGTTAAAAATTGTTCCGTTACTAATACTGCTACTATAGCTGCTCGACTGTATGATGGTCTTTCACATGGGCCTCCGGGCTCTCCTGTCCCTGTCCGACGCACACGCCCCTCTTCCGCATGACGGACTGTGGGCCGCGCCGACAGCAGAGACGTGGTCCGCCATGGTGAAGCAAACGGAAGGTGAGTGTCTCGGCCATTTGTTCTTCGTGTTCTCGTGTCCTTTCCATCACACTAACTCGCAAGCCAACCCCACGCTCCCGTCGGCGACCCAGCAGCTGTTTGTCGACAAACTCATCAAGCCCGACGTCGGCGAGTTCAGCCGCATCCTGCTGCTGCACGGTGTTTACCAGGAAATCTGGCTGGTCAAGCGCTACTGCGACCGGCCGCTGGTCAGCTGGGAGGCGGTGCCGGACCGGGTCGTCGATCGGGCAGTCGATCGGTCTGTTGCCCGTCTGGAGCCATCCGCGTCAGCGCCAGCGTCGTCGGCTACCTCTGTGGCACCGTCGCCACCGCCGTCCACGGACACAGCCTCCGGGGACGGCGACACCGCCGCCGCCACCTACTCCAACTGGCGCAATGCCGCGTGCGACTGCATCGACGCCCTCCACTGGGCCGCCAACAGCACGATTGCCCAGCGGGCCGGACGCGAGCACACGACCGTGTTTCACCTGCACTTTTCGCGCGTGGTCCTGCTGACGCCCTACGAGGCCATCCAGACGCTGGCCCGGTACCTGGCGTCTGTCGGCGCCAGCCCCAGCCACCAGTCCGCCAGCAGCAGCGTGCCGTCGCCGTCGCCGTGGCCGTCCCGCGCCGAGGGCCTGGCGGCCGAGCGGCGCGTGCTGGCCTGGGCGCAGCAGGACGAGCACAAGGCGCGGCTGGCGGTGCTGCACTGCGGCTGTCTCTTTTGGCACGTGCGGCGCTACAGCACGAACGCGTGGTACGAGCCGGTCGCCGTGTACATGGCGGCGCTGGCGCTCTGGGCCTACAGCTCGTATGCGCGGCAGGGGGTGCGGCCGTCCGACGGCGACGACGGCGACGACACCGACGACCGCCCCGACAACCTCGGTGACAACCTCCCCGACGACCAGTTCCCCTCCTTCATCCACCTGGACCGCCCCAACGACGACGAAATGGTCATGCTGTTTGTCCGCAGCGGCCGGCCGTCGGTGATGCGCGCGTACATTAGCGGCATCGGCGACATTGGCGCGCCGCCGGCGCCCGTGCGCATCTTGCAGGAGGGGACCAAGGTCCTGGCTAAGGTGTCCATGGCTTGGGGACGGACGGACCGCTTCCTCTACGTGTTGACGGGCATGCGCGCCGCCCTGACAAAGGCGGCCGAGTGATGATGCAGGGTGCGGATGCAGGATCCATAGTGCCAGGTTTTACAGAAAACAGTCTAGTGTACAAGGATATGTATTGACAAACAACCTGTAGCAGTACGGAATCAAACGGTGCCATATCTACGCCACCTCGTCAATGTGTTCGACGCCGGCCTTTTCACCGACCGCGGACTGATGGGCGAATTCTGAGAGGGTTAGTAAGACACAAACAGCAAGCACAAGCAGCAAGAAATAAGAAAACAGAGAGCGACGCACCATCCACTTTGGTATACTTGAACTTGCGCGCCGAGACCTTGTTCTCAAACAGCACGTCAATCTCGCCAAAGGTGCGGTCCTTGGTCTCGGGCAGGCGGAACCAGCACCAAATGAGACACAGCAGGTTGGTGCCGGCGTAAAAGAGGCCGCTCTTGGCGCCCCAGTTCCAGGACAGCGCCGACAGCATGCGGGGCGTGACGGAGTTGTTGAAGATGCCCGTCAGGTTGTAGACGAAGCGGCCGATGACAATGGTCTTGTAGCGCAGGCGGGCGGACGGCGTCTCAGAGACGATGGGGTAGCAGACGGGGCCGGTGGTGATCATGTTGCAGAGGGTCGAGATGACGAGCAGGACGCCGACGGCGATGTTGGCGTTGGGGTTGCTGGAGAAGCCGAGGCCGCCAATGGCCAGCAGGCAGACGAGCATGAAAAGCATGCCGGCCATGTAGATGGTGGCGCGGCCAAAGTGCGGGAAGAGCAGCCAGCAGATGACGCCGCCGACAATGTAGCAGGCGGACAGGGAGATGTTGAGGTCGAACGCCTGCAGCTCGTTGAAGCCGGCGGCCTCGAGAAACTCGACCGAGTAGCCGAGGATGGCGTTGCCGCAGAGGATCTGGGCGGCCCAGACGACGCAGTTGATCTCGGTGCGCCGCAAGTTCGTGCCGCGGAAGCAGTCCAGAAACGTCGCGCCCTCGGTCGCGGCCGCCTCGAGGCGGATCGTGTGCACAATCAGCGCGAGCGCCGCGTCGACCTCGCGCTCGCGGTCGGGCGTGTCCTGCCGCAGGCGCCGCAGGCTGCGCCGCGCCTCGTCGTCCTTGTGCCGGCGCACGGAGCTCCACGGCGACTCGGGCGCAAAGTACGTCCCGATGATAATGGGCACGGGCCACACCCACTGGATCACAAACGGCAGCCGCCAGCCCCAGTCGCCGTCGATGCCCGCGACGGCGCGCACGACGCCCGACGACAGCAGGATGCCGGCGCCCCAGCACATGCACACGTAGCCCGTCACGTAGGGCCGCACAATGGGCGGCACCACCTCGCAGGCGTAGGCCGTCGACAGCGTCTGGAACACGCCCCAGCCGATGCCGCACATGGCCTCGCCAAAGGCCAGCACCGACAGCGACGGCGCAAAGACGGGGATGAAGACGGCGGCCACCATCCACACCATAAAGGCCATCATCGTATGCCGGTTGCCGAAGCGGTCCTGCGCGTACGCGTTCAGCAGCAGCCCCGCCAGCTGGCCCACCATGGACGAGTTGCTGAGGCCCGACTGCCACTCGGCCGTGATGAGCTTCTTGCCCGTGGACGGGTCGACGGTGCCGAACCGCTGCTGGAACTGGCTCTGGCCGTAGAAGGAGGTGATCTACTCTGTTAGGGCGATGGACATGAAGGATGGAGGGCACAAGGGGGCTGGGGGCTGGGGACATACAATCACCAAGTCGTAGCCTTCCATGATCAGGCTGGTGGACAGAAACATGGCCCAGAAGCACGCCTTCTTGTACTTGAGGACGGCCTCCCACAGCGAGAGCTTGGCGTCGGCGTCATAGCTGTCGCGGGCATGCTGGATGAGTTCGACCGTCTGGGGATCGTCGAGGTTGAAGGCCTTGAGCTCTTCTTCGGTGGGGACGACTTTTTCCATGATGTTTGTGTGGGGGGTGTTGATAAAAGGACAGGTTGTAGAAACGGAAACAACATGACAGAACGCCTCTATATATCCTCACATGGCTCTCTCTCCGCACTCGTCGTGAACAACGCCGGCACATGGCGTCTGGACGCTGATCGTCGGCAGTGCAGCCGTGTTGATTTTACCCCGACCCCATGGCACAAATAATGGGTCGTGCATCGTGCGTCGTGCTTACAAAACTCCGGTGGGATGCGGCGATCGCGCTGCCTCTTGTGGGTCGTCCAGGGTCGCATCTCCCACCGGAGTCGTGTCGTTCACTGGCACGCAGTGCTTCCCCGCTTCCCCGCAAGAAGTGACAGGCCTTGGGGCAATGGGGACGAATGGGGGAAAATGCGGAGCCGGGCGTCATCGTCTCCCACCTTTGGCCTGCATCTGACGCTGTATGAAGTCCTGTCATCCATCCCACCGGAGTTGCAAGTGGATCGAGGGATGCAAACGTCCGCGACAGAGGTTGGGAACAGATCATCTGACGTTTGTTTGTTTGTTTGTTCCTTGTTGTTACGACTGTCTAGCGCTTTCCGGCTTAAAGTGCCAATGTTGCATTTCGGCCGGAGCGAAGCTGGAGCTCACCTTGGATGGAGTACCTGACTCTCGCTCCCACCGGATTCTCCAACACGACATCGGTCGGCAATGTGTTTGAATCGCGGTATATTCTCCGTTCGCGTTCGAATATCGTGACAATTTAAGATCCGGGTTCCCTAATTCGGTCATTTTGGTCATTTTGTCTCACCAAATAAACGCCGCCCTTTTGCTGCCATCTTCGACCATGGCCTACCCCCAAACGTCCTTTGGGAACACCGAGTTCCACGGCCCGTCGCTGCTCCAGACGCGCCGCACCACCGTCCGCACCGTGACCCTGCAGGCGCAGCTGGCGATGCTCAAGAGCACCGGCCGCTTCGATGCCTTCAAGCTGCAGTGGCACCCCATCTACGACGACACGTCGCAGTGGCCGGTGCCCAAGCACCTGTTCTGGGACAGCGACTGCGCCAAGTGGATCGAGGCGGCCTGCTACGCCCTGGCCGACACGTACGACGCCGAGATCGACGCCGCCGTCCAGGCGCTGGTCGAGATGATCCGCGGCGCGCAGCAGCCGGACGGCTACCTCAACATCCACTACACCGTGGTCGCGCCGGGCCAGCGCTGGACCAATCTGCGAGACATGCACGAGCTGTACAACGCCGGCCATCTGATCGAGGCCGCGCTGGCGCACCGCGCCTACTACAAAAACGACCGGCTGATGGAGCCCATGCACAAGTACGTGCGGCACATCCACGACACCTTTGGCCCGGACGCGCACAAGCGCCACGGCTACTGCGGCCACCCGGAGATTGAGCTGGCCCTCGTGCGCATGCACCGGGCCACGGGCAGCCAGGAGGCGTACGACCTGGCCGCGTATTTTGTCCAGGAGCGCGGCAACCCGACCGGCCAGGACGGCCGCCACTACTACGACGTCGAGGGCGACGCGCGCGGCGAGAGCCCCTGGATGCGGCCCGACCCGTACCCGGTCCAGCGCGCCTACTGGTACAACCAGGCGCACGCGCCGCTCCTGCAGCAGGCGACCATCGAGGGCCACTCCGTGCGCGCCGTCTACCTCTTGACGGCCGTGGCCGACCTGCTGGTCGACTACGTCGCCCGGTCCAAGCATGACCACGACGCAACGGCGCGTCCCACGACGACCGCCACCACACTGGCCAACGTCGACGGCTGGTTTGAGACCGTCACCCGCCTCTGGAACAACATGGCCGACAAAAAGATGTACCTGACGGGCGGCATCGGCGCCATCCCCGCGTGGGAGGGCTTCGGGCGGGACTACTTTCTGCCGCAGGGCACGGACGACGGCGGCGGCTATGCCGAGACCTGTGCGTCGATCGGCGCCATCATGCTGGCCGAGCGGCTGCTGCACCTGGACCTCGACAGCCGCTACGCCGACGTGCTCGAGCTGTCGCTCTACAACGTCGTCATGACGGCCATGGACCTGCCGGGCCGCGCCTTTACATACGACAACCAGCTGGCCAGCTCCGCCGAGAAGCCGAGCCGCCGCGAAGAGTGGTTCGAGTGCGCCTGCTGCCCGCCGAATGTGAGTCGCCTGTACGGCAGCCTGGGCGGCTATCTGTGGGATTTTGGGTCGGACGGCGCCGGCGCCGCACATGTCAACGTCCACCTCTACACGACCGCCCGGCTGTCCTATGCCGTCGACGGCCAGCCCCTTGTCCTGGAGCAGACGTCCGACTGGCCGTGGAGCGGCAAGGTCGACTTTCGCCTCGACAACCCGGCGAAAACAAAGACGACGCTGCGGCTTCGCATCCCCGCGTGGGCCAAGGGACAGTTTATGGTGCGTTCGTGTCCCCCTATCCCCTTTGATGGACCAAAGATAACCCGCTAACCTCCGCAGCTCACCCCCGACCTCCCTGGCGCAGTGGTCGAAAGAGGCTACGTGGTCCTGCCGCCCGCCTACCTCGCGACCAACACCGCCTTCGCCCTCGACATCCACGGCTTCCGCCCGCGCTTCCTCGCGCAGCACCCCTACACACACCAGCGCACCCTGACGCTCGCACGCGGGCCCCTCGTCTACTGCGTCGAGGACGCCGACAACCCCTGGGAGACGAACCACTTCAAAGACGTGGCCGTCTCCGCCGACAACAACGTCGAGGAAGAAGAGCGCGTCGACGCGGCCACGGGCGAACGCTACATTGCCCTGCGCACCACTGGCTACGTCTTGGCGGACGAACGGGCCAAGTGGGCCGACAAAGTGCCCGGCGGTCTTCCGGGCATGGAGGTGGCGAGAGATGCCGAAGGCGCGGGGGCCAAAGCGGCGGCTAAGACGGAACGGACACTCGTCTTCATCCCCTACTACTATCGCGCCAACCGCGGCGGCCACGGCCACATGCGCGTGGGACTGAATGCGGTCTGATAAAGGAGACAATATGACGGCGACAGTCAAGACTTGCGGATAGAGATGAAGTAGACAGTAGACGGTAAAATAGAAAAGGTTAAATAACAGAACTGGGAGTGACAATTTCATATTCTCAATACTAACTGAACTGGTAAGAAGGGGAATATGGTGACTACGAACAGACTAGATCGGTAGACGACGCAAAATAGCAACATAAACAGACATCAACTAAGATACATTCACAAATTCACAACTCAACAACTCCACATTCGTTGCTGCAGCTTGTTGTGACCTCGTCTACGACCCACCACCGCCACAACCGCCGCCGCCGCCGCCACAGCCTCCACCACCGCCACCACATCCGCCGCCACCTCCACCACATCCTCCACCACCGCCCCCGCACCCGGCGCCGCCGGCACAGCCGCCCGAAATGGATCCGCAGCTGCCGCACCCGCCCGGCCCGCCACACGCGCCGGCCGCCACACCGTTGCCACCGCCGCAGCTGCCGTTGGCGCAGTTGGCCCACTCGCCGCCGCCGACGGGCACGAAGCCGGGGGCCGCGTAGTAGTAGGCAGGGCTAAAGTACAGCGGGTAGACGAAGGGCGAGTACATAAAGTAGGAGTAACCCCAGTGGTCGTAGTACTGCTCGCGGGGCGGCAGGGTGCGGCCGTTCTTGGCGGCGCGCTTGACGGCCTTGTTGTAGTTGCTGTCGAGGCGGGCGCGCTGGGCGGCGCGGATCTGGCGGGTGACCTTGGCGCGGACGTCGTTTTCGGCAAAGAGCACGGCGTTGTGGGCGGAGACGTGGGCGGCGCGGTCGGCGGGCGGGCACTGGGCGGCGGCGCCGCTGCTGTGGAAGGCGTCGGCGACGCCGCCCTGCTTGGAGAGGCCGAGCTTGGCGCCGACGGACGAGACGTGCGCGGCGCGGACGGCCTCGCAGTACCAGCAGGTGCACGCGCTGTAGACCTCGCCGTACTTGTCCTGGTAGGCCTTGCTCGTGAACTCAAAGGCCAGGTGCAGCTTGTCCTCGTCCATCTTGTCGTCGTGGTCGACAAACTTGCGCAGCGTGCGCCGCACGCTCGTGTGGTAGTAGGCCGGCGGGGACAGCTGGTGCGTGTGCCACCCGAGATCGACGTCCAGCGTGGGCACGCACACCTGCAGCGGGTGGTCCGCCAGCAGACCAAAGAACCGCTGGTACTTTTCGAGCACGCGCGCCATGGTCGCGCGGGCCGCCGGGCTGTGCAGCCAGTCAATCGCCTGCATCTTGTCGATGAAAATGCCCTGCCGCAGCACCGCGCCCGTCAGGTCCAGCGCAAACACGCTCGCATTGTCCCAGTACCGGCTCATCATCTTGCGCACCGCCAGGCGCGCCGCCGGCAGCGGCCGGTACCGGTAGCGGCCGGGCCAGTCGTCGACGGCCTTGAGCTTGTCGCTGTCGCGCAGAATGTCTTCGAGGCGCGCCCGCACCGTGTCCATGGACGTGGTCCGCGCGGGCGCGGTCAGATCGACCATGGGCACGGCCTGTGCGGAGGACGCCGTCTCGCCGTTTCCAGCGCTGCCGACAATCGCGGCCACCAGTCCGCCCCGCTGGATCAGTCGGTTCGGGAACGTGAGCGGGTCCGGGCGCTGGGCGGCCGACATGCGTACAGGAAGGGTGTCTGCGCGGCCCGTCTTGGGTTCCAAGATGGTGCCCGGCATGGGCTGGCCGACGCGGATCAGCTCCATGCAGTCACGCACAAACTTGCCCACGGCCAGCGACTTGCGGTCAATCAAAAAAGGGCACGACGCGCACTGGACCTCAAACGCGTCACCGCCATCACCATAGCCCGCGCCCACCAGGTTGCCCGCACCGCCTTCGCCGCCGCACGTCGTCCAGGGCGCGCGCGTGAGCTGGGAACAGGCCGGGCACGGCACCGCCTTGAAGGCGTCGTCGTCGACATTGTCCCAGGCGCGCTGCGTCGTGGCCGTCCACGCTGTCTTGGCGGCCTCGGTCACCCGGCTGAACGTGCCCTGCTCGGGGTCAATGGCCGCGCTGATGGCCGCCCACGGCATGCCGGCGGCCCACACGTTGCGCGCGCCCGCACGGATGCAGTCCTCCAGAAAGGCGCGCGGGTTCAGCATGTGCGCGTGCAGGACCATCCACACGTCGAGCGGCAGCAGGTTGTCCGCCGTCCAGGCCAGCGTGCCCTTGGGCAGGTCCACGTTCACAAAGCCGTTGTACGCCGGGTGCAGCGGCACGACCATGTCGTCCTCCCGGAGGCGCATGTTGTCCCGCGTCACCTGCAGCCACCAGGCCTCGTAGCGGTCGACGGCGCGCGCGACGTACAGCGCCCAGCGCTTCTCCCGCACCTTGCTGAGCCGCGCGCGGTACAGGTCCTCGGGGGTCTGGGGCGCCGCCTGCCCCTCGGGCAGGTTCAGCGGGATCTGCACCACACTCTCGGGCGCCGCGGCCAGGGCGTCGTGCAGCCCAAAAATGCCGTCCGTGTAGCCCACCTCCTCTTTGAGCGCGTGCACCGCCGCCAGAAACTGCAGGTGGGCCAGCGCCTCGTCGGCCGTCGGCCACGCATACTGGCTCTCGTCGCCCATGTTGCTCGACGGCGCCGGGATCGGCCGCGGCGTTGTCGGCAGCTTGAGGTTGGCCAGCACGTCCGTCAGCGCGGCGAGGTCGGCCGCGGTCGGTGGTTCTTGGGGCGGCTGTGCTTGAGACGGCGGTGCCTGGGCCGAGTAGGCAGGCAGCGCTTCGTCGGAGGACGTGGCAGCCTGGGTGCCATTCACGCCTTTCGCGCCCTTCTGTTGTTTCTCGGCGAGGGCCTCCTTTTCCTTGTCGACCTTGGCCGCAGCCGCATCGCTCTTCTTCCTCGACCACGGTGCCATCGTGCGTTGTGACGACGAGGAGAGCAGGTTATGAGAGTGTTGATGTGTTGTGCTGTTCGTCTCCCTTGTTTTGCTGCCTGGTTTCGTTTGCCAGCCTTGGAGGTCAGACTGAAGGGAAAGTCAGTCTCTGTCGTTCTCTCCTCGTCTCGTCCGACTTGCTCGCAATATATGGACGACGGACCGTTATCTCAACGTCGTTCCGCTGCACTGTGCTCGGTTCTCGATCAGGAATCGGACCGGTCGCCCGCGGGCGTTCTGGTAGGCTGGCTCGGGCACGATTCAGGATGTTGGCTCAGCCTCTCGATGCAGCCAATCAGGCGAGGTATAGGGCGTTGTTTGTGTGTCTTTACGCAGGTGGTGGTCTGGGGAAGTAGAGTAAAGCGGGGTTGGTGACGCCCTAACGTTAAAGGGTGGGGCGGCCTTGGGGCGGCAAGGACGGCAGGAACGGTCCTGTCGACGTCGCCACGTTCGCTACTTCCAAGATTGCTTGCCAAAGCTTAGCACAGATACCAAGTCACCATCTGAAACAATATGGCAAACGAAAGCTTAATAGCCTAGACAGCCTTCTACGGCGCCTTCTATGAAGCCTTCTAGAACGCCTTGTCGTATGGACGGCCATGAGACCCGCAGTACGCGGCATGCAAAGTAATCAATCCGACCTCGTATGGACAATCTAAAGAAGGCAGTGAACGAAGGCGGTGACCGAAGGCAGTGCTGGTCAGATGATGATCCAACTCGACGTCATCGAGGGGCAAGTGAGTGGGATTGTCCTGGGTCGTTACATTGCGGATTATGCTGAGAGCATGTTTTCGTACGTACGTAGAGCACATTTGTTGGCTGCTTTAATCGGATATCCGCACTGTGGCGCTCACTCACGTGAATCAGCACGTGGTCTTCATATTCGCGTTCTTTTGCAAGCATGGCTGTTCTGCTCACGAATTGTACTTTCTTATTGATGTGACTTGAAGGCAACCGTTTCTGCGTTGGGCCTCATTTTTAATTTTTTTACACGGGATGAAATTACCGAGAAAAGTTTCCTGAAAAATAAAAATTACAAACAGACAAATGCCAAAAAATTTTTGGAGTTATTTTATGTCAAATTTATTCTTCAGCACTGAATAATACATGGGTTGACAGGTTTGAAGTCAATTGAAAATAGCAAGTGAGGATAAAATGACAAGAAAAGGCTTTCTCAAATAGTATTGAAGCTACTCTTCCTGGACTACTCCTACATTGCTCACGAGCTTAATTACATGCCTCCTCTTCAGCAGCCTCGACTTCCTCCCACAAGAGACCAAGTATGTACGCCATCTGCGTGTCTGTGAAGAAAGGTGCTCTTTCCCCGCACAGAGGGCCGATCAGGGTCTTCCAATACGTGCTTCCGAGACACGGCGTTGGATTATATCATCCGACATCTCCGATGTATTCTCCGTGTCCGCGCTGAACGCGTAATTTGTGCAGCCCGCGGTACCGGCCTTCGGACCTTTTTTAACTTGTCCTTTCGGATCTTTCCTCTCAATTATAAATCGGATTTTGACGTTTTCGACGTTTGTCACGTATTCTCTCCGTAGCTCGCGTATTGCGGGGGGACACCCGCTCCAACTGAGTTGACACCATCAAAGGCGCGACCCAGTAGCCGTTGACGCCATCGCTGGGAGGGGGGTCAGCTCAAGAGGTGGACAGCCATAACGCACCATACGTGGGCAAGGCGCGGGTTGCGCCGGCAAGACGTGGGACGCGTTCACACTTGCAGAGCGATATAAGAGGCGTTTGATGGTCGTGATGCAATAGTCGTCAATCGTTTTTGTATAATACCTTTGTACCTCGTACCTCGTACACACATACATCTACACCTGCACAATCCTCCACCTGACGCAGACACCGCAACGATGCCGACCGAATTCATCTCCCTCACATTCCCCAACGACAGCAATGAGCTTGCGCCCAAGGTCGGCGCGCCGGCAGACCCGGCGTTCTTGACGCGGTACGCGCGCACGCTCGACGACTACGGCTTCAAGTACACGCTGCTGCCATACGATGCGGGCGGATTCGACCCGTGGACGCAGAGCGCGTACATTGCGTCCGTGACCAAAAACCTCAAGGTCATCGTGGCCCTGCGGCCCAACACGGTGTACCCGACGGTGGCGGCCAAGGCGCTGGCGACGCTGGACCAGCTGAGCAACGGGCGCGCGGTGGTGCACTTTATCGCGGGCGGCAGCGACGCGGAGCAGGCGCGGGAGGGGGACTTTCTGACCAAGGAGCAGCGGTACGGGCGGCTGGAGGAGTACATCAAGATTCTGCGGCGGGCGTGGGCGAGCGCGGCACCGTTTGACTGGGACGGCACGTACTACCAGTTCAAGAACTACAGCAACCGCGTGCGGCCGGCCAACGGCAAGACGACGATCCCCGTGTCGGTGGGCGGGTCGTCGCCCGAGGCGTACCGGGTGGGCGGGTCGCTGGCGGACATCTTTGGGCTCTGGGGCGAGCCGCTCAAGGACACCAAGGAGCAGATTGATAAGATTTATGCCGAGGCCGCCAAGGCCGGCCGCACGGACCGCCCGCGCATCTGGGTGACGTTCCGGCCCATCGTGGCCGAGACGGAGGAGCTCGCGTGGGCCAAGGCGCACCGCACGCTCGACGTGCTCAACGGCAACCAGGAGGCCTTCCGCAAGACGTTCCCCAACTTTGCGCCGGGCGGCCAAGGGCCGCAGAACGTCGGCTCGCAGCGCCTGCTCGAGATTGCCAAGCGCGGCGACGTGCAGGACCGCGCGCTGTGGTACCCGACCGTCACGGCCACCAACGCGCGCGGCGCGTCCACGGCGCTCGTGGGCTCGTACGACACCGTGGCCGAGGCCATCCTCGACTACGTCGATCTGGGCGCCGAGCTCATCTCCATCCGCGGCTACGACAACTACCACGACGCCGTCGACTACGGGCGCTACATTCTGCCGCGCGTGTACCAGGGCATTGCCGACAGGGAGAAGGCCAAGCAGGCCACAGAGACGACAACGGCGCAGACGACAGAGACGACAGAGACGACAACGGCGCAGACGACAAACGGCGACTCCCAGGCGGTTGCGGCGAGTGCATGAGGGCGGGCATGAAAGTGCGTTAGAGTGCGGCAGGGACGTTGTGCCCGGGGTGCCCCAAGTTCGTGGCGGGAACCCCGCTTAGTCACCCTGTAGCGTACCCCTGTAGCGGCGTTCCAGCCGTGTTAGTCGTGTTAGTGCGTTGTTAGCGAATCACGTCATGCGATGTCGACATTGTTGCGACATCTGAAGGATCCATGCAGACGCCTGACAAACGTGACAAGTGCGTGTAAAAACAGCTCGAGCGGGCAAATGGAGTGCCTAAAACACTGATGTGGACGGGCGGAAATGCGCAAAACGACACCATTTGGAGAACGCCGTCTTGAACGCCGTCTCCGTCGATGGCGCCTTGCTGACGACGACCTGCCTGTGGAATACGGGCAAAGAAGGGAGAAAACGTATGACAGCATCGAATGTCCCGTCGTGCGCACGTATTTGCGTTGAGGGGAGGGGATAAATACAGGACGGTCCGTTGAGCTGTTGGGTTTGCGGTTCTACGAGTTCATCGTCTTCATCTTCTTCATCGCCATCTTAAATCGCAAGTCTGGTTAAGATCTTTGGTTAAGATCTCTGGTTAAGATATCGTATTGCAACTACGCTCAACAAATAACATTGCGTATTGCCAGCCTCAGGTTGACACATCCCACCACTTCCATCACATCCCACGTCCCCGCAATGGCACCCGGTGCTCTCGTGGCCGAGGCCACCTCGCCCTCCTCGACCCCCACGCCCTCCCTCCCAAAGCAGACACCATCCCAATCACAGAAGCGTCGCAATGACCAGGCACCACGAGACATCTTCCCCGACGGCATCCGCACTTCGGGCCAGCACAACCCGCTGTACGACCAGCTCAAGCCGTACGCGGCGTTTCCCAAAGAGATCACAGGCCCGACGGTCTGGCGCAAAGAAGACTACGAGGGCCAGCCCGAGCGGTGGGTGCACCGGTTCAGCGAGGCTGAGATTGACGAGCTCAGCGCGGCGGCGGACGCCTTCATCGCGAGCGGCACGCCGCTGACGGGCATTGCCCAGCACAACTTCCCCCTGCCGCGGCTGGCCCAGGCGCTCGGGCGCGTCCGCAGCGACCTGCTTGACGGCAAGGGGTTTGTACTCTTCAAGGGCTTCCCGGCGGACCGGTGGTCGCCGCTCAAGAACGCCGCGGCGTACATGGGCCTGGGGACGTACCTGGGCTACTTTGTGTCGCAGAATGGGCGCGGCCACGTGCTGGGGCACGTCAAGGACGTCGGCGACGACCCGACGCAGATCCACAAGGTGCGCATCTACCGCACGACGGCACGCCAGTTCTTCCACGCCGACGACGGCGACCTCGTGGGCCTGCTCTGCGTGCACCGCGCGCTCGCGGGCGGCGAGAGCGACATTGTCAGCATGCACCACGTGTGGAACACGCTGCAGCGCGAGCACCCGGACGTCGCCGCGCTCCTGACGCAGCCCATCTGGTACTTTGACCGCAAGGGCGAGGTGTCCGCCGGCGACGACCCCTACACGCGCCAGCCCGTCTTCTACCTCGAGCCCGGCGGCCGCGGCCGCGTCTACAGCAAGTGGGACCCCTACTACGTGCGGTCGCTGACGCGCTACTCGGACGCCGGCGTCATCCCGCCGCTCAGCGACGCGCAGCAGCACGCCATGCAGGTCCTCGAGGACACCTGCCAGCGGCTGGCGCTGCACATGGTGCTCGAGGTCGGCGACATCCAGTTTGTCAGCAACTGCCACCTGCTGCACGCCCGCACCGCCTACAAAGACTACCCGGCGCCCGCCCCGCGGCGCCATCTGCTGCGGCTGTGGCTGTCGACGCCCGAGACCGAAGGCGGCTGGACGCTGCCGTTCCCCGACAGCCAGGAGCTGAAGCGCGGCGGCATCCAGGTGGACGACACCCCACCGGTTTGCCCCTTGGATGCGGAATAGCGGCCGGGAGGTGCAAGGGAAAGTAAAAGGAGGGCAAGTACATAATAATGACCTAGTTACGATAGTTTTGGATTTGTTTTGATATATATTGTTCATTTATGATTGGAAATGGAATTCATGCCAACAAGTTGCTCAATTGCGAGCAAATGCACAGTTTGAGATACGAACGGGTGACGCAAGTGATGATACGAATGTACACGATATACACAACGTTCACGACGTACTCGATGTACGATGTGTGCATGTACGAGAGCAACGAGCTAACGACCACTCAAACGACTCATGTTCTCGGCCGAGACGAGGTTGTCGAGGCAAGGGTAGGACAGGATACAAATCAGGGTCCACATGTACGATTATCGTTATCAGATCAAAGAAGGGTGAGCTTGAACGGTAGAAAACGCCCGTATTGTCAGTAGGAAACGGAACGAGAGGATGACAAAGACAAATGTCGTCAGGAACAAACCCTCCGCGAGACACCCGAGCTGCGCGAGCCGAGTACGGAGGGAAGAGAAGGGCAGGACGAGAAAAGGTCAAGAAAAAGGGACGGACGGGCACAAAAACGTTTTGTGCCGAGATGCACAGCCGGAACAAACTCAACAAGCACAAGCGTTATGCAACGCTCTTTGCAGCTGTCGCCATCCTAGCGAGAATGGCGCAGGCCCCACAGACACCGGGATCCACGGGGCCAAACGACGGGCCGGATGGGGCAATTCGGGAGTGCAGTGGCGACAACATACAGTGGATTAAGGAACGATTAGTGGGCAGGGTGCTGTAAAAGTGGCGAAGTGAGCCTTTACAGTGACTGCAGTGACTGCAGTGACTGCAGTGACTACAGTGCTACAGTGACTACAGGACTTCAGTGGGCTACGGTGGGCTACAGTAGTTTGTCGTGAGTTGGTACTGCCAAGTTCGTCTCTCAACACTCGGCGACTAACCTCCACTTCGCTTTTATCCATTGGCACTTTGTTGAAGACGCCATCGACATCGTCTTGACTTGCTGCCAACATTTCATCCTGGCCAAGTGTGGGGGTTGTTCATGTTCCTGTACAGTTGCGTTTGCCGAGGTATCATCGCTATCGAAAACATGTATGTCGTTCTCTGGACGTCTCACGGAATTATGAGACGCCATAGTTCGAGTGCAGATCGGAGATGCTGCACCATTTTACTCTTCGACGACCGAGACCGACAAGACGGAAGAGGGCAAAGACATGCCGAGCAGGTAGAAAATACACTGTAGCTTGCCAAATCCTATGTCGGGCCGCCCTGTATTCTTGTCAACCTGCACTACGTTCACTGTTTTGCTCGGATGGTTTTCATCACATTTTCATCACATACTGGCCTGTTCATTTGTTGACTAATTGTTCTTTTATTGTGTTATACTCTTGTGTAAATTTCTTGTTTATTCGATTTGTGACTCCATCTTTAATTGTGGTTTACTTTCATTTTGCATTTTGTATGTCACTTGTTTCCAGAGCGCTTTCCCTTCCATCTCAGCGCCCCAGCAGGACTTGTTGACATGTTTTGATTTCATTTCACTCCCATTGATTTTGGATGTTGTCTGTTACTTTTATCGTCTTTCGCACTCCCTTGTCCACATCATAGAAGAATCGTATGTTGTCCGTGACACATCCATCAACAACCATCAGCCAACATCACAACTGCACAACTGCACAAAAGCACAACCACCACATTCACCATGTCCACCAGCAACCCACTCGCCAACACAGACAAGGCCGCCCACGAGATCCCCCCGTCCCAACGAGTCTTGCTTCTTCACGGCCCTCGTCAGCCGTACCACGTGACGCACGACTATGCCGTTCCGCAGCTGCACCACGACCGCGAGATCCTGGTGCGGACGGCCGTCATTGGTCTCAACCCCATCGACTGGAAATCGCCCGACTTCAACTTTGCCATCCCCGAGCTGCCGTACATTGCGGGACGGGAGTGTGCCGGGGAGGTTGTGCAGCTAAAGACGAGAGCCGAAACGAGCAGTGTCCACGGCCTGAGCGAGGCAAGTGAGGCAGATGGCTTGCTGTCACCAGAGGTCCCATCCGCCGCGGAAGATGCAGAGGCGGACGTTGTCGTCGACGTTACAGACAATGTGGCATCCACCACCATCAGCAGCAACGACACGGCCATCCCGGCCGTGGAGCCCATCATCCACACCTTTCTGACCAACGACGCCTCGGCCGCGAAGAGAGTGTCTGTTGTCGACGCTGTCGAGGTGGACGACAAGACAGACGTTCCCCTTGGTCGTTCCCCCAGCACATCCACGTCTGGCCGCATCACCACGGGCGACCGCGTCTTGGCCATCTCGACCGACTACCGCGACCTCCGCAAGGGCGCGTACCAAGAGTACGTCGTCGTGTGGGACTACAACACGGTCCGGCTGCCGCCGCACGTGTCCTGCGAGGCCGGTGCCACCATGGGCGTGGCCTTTGTGGCGGCCGTGCTGGCCCTCGGCGTCAACCTCGGCGTCGACTTTTCGTCCGTCGCGGGCGGGCCCGACCTGCTGTCCATTGTCCGGCGGCTGCCCCCGGCGGCGCTGGCCGCAGACATTCGCGACGAGTGCCTGCGCGGCATCGGCGCCTCCGACAAGGACCAGGACCATGACCGCGCCCGGGCCGGCGACTGGCTCGCCATCTGGGGCGCGTCGTCGACGTCGGCGCACATGGCCATCCAGCTGGCGCGGCTGGCGGGGCTGCGCGTGGCCGCCGTCGTGGACACAGCCAAGCACGGGTGGCGGCTGGCGCGGAAAGACGGCGACAAAGAAGACGAAGAAACGGACAAGGGCTGGTGGCAGCCGGACTGGGTGGTGGACAGCCACGACCCGGCACGGGCGGTCGCGGTGCTGCGGGCCAACCTCGGCAGCCGCCTGCGGTTCGGCTTCGACACGCGCGGCCGGGACACGGCGACGTGGCTGCTGCAGGCCCTGGCCGGGGGTGACCCGGCCGCCGCAAGTAACAAGAAAGCAACGGCGTCTACGTCGAACTCGGCCTCGGGCCGCACCACCCCCCGGAGCAGCCCGCCGTCGCCGCCGGCCACGCCACGCGGGGACAACGGCGTGGTGGCCCCCATTTCCGACATGGCCGACACGGACGATCTTCCTGTGGAACAGGCCCCGGCCCCGAAAAGCCACCTGGTGGGGCTGACCGGCCTACCCAAGGGCACGCCGCCCCCACACGCCGTCTTCCACAGCGTGCCCATCAAACTCTTCCACGAAGTGCCGGCGGTGGGCGAGGCCCTGTCGTCCTGGCTGGAGCGCCTGCTGGCCTCCAAGAAGCTGGTTCCGCCCGTGGTGGCGGGCGTCGAGGACGGTCTCGAGCGCGTCAATGCAGGCCTGGACCGCCTGCGTGCCGGCGAGATCAGCGGGGGCCGGCTGGTGGTGCGGCTCGAAGGGCGTACATAACAGTGAGGCGTCTACGGTGGCGACGGTGACGACGGTGACGACGGTGACGACGCGGACGAAAGTGATGACACATCGTACATGCAAATATACAATCTAGAATATGGGTTCATAATTCATCGGCTTGCTTCAGTACCTGCTCCATCTGCTACTCCACGTCATGTAGGTCCTTCAACGGCACCGTCCCCGGAATGTGTAGATACGACACCAGATCCGCCGTGGGATCCGTCTCCTTCTTGGTCCAGCCGTTGCCAAAGTACCAAGCAAATCGGTTCACGTGGCCGCTGTCGTCCGCTGGCCCCAGGTACGTGTACTCGTAGTCCTCCCACCGCGGCGCCCGCCGGATCGTCGCCAAATGCGCCATGCTGCCTGGCCACATCCCGCTGATGTAGCCGCCCGGCTGGCCGGCGTTGTACCACGAGCGGCAGGGCTCGGACAAGACGGTCGTCTGGAAAAACGCCGTGGCCCAGGCTTCAAAGTCGAGCGCGGCCTGGCGCGAGGGCACAATGGAGCGGATGCCCTCGGCCGAGACCTTGCGCAGGATCCGGGCGAGGTGGGTCACCTGCGTCTCGACCGAGTAGGGGACCGTGCCCGAGGGACCCGAGCCGTGGGGACCCAGCACGAAGAACAGATTGGGAAACCCAGGCGCAGCCGTGCCCAGGTACGTGTGCGGGTGCCCGTGGGCGGTCCACACGTCGCTCAGCGACTTGGTGGACCCGGCCACGGTGATGGGAAACGGCGGCGCCGGCCCCGGCCCCGACTTGGACGCGTCGGCCCCCGTGGCGCAGATGATGGCGTCGACCTCGCGCACGACGCCGTCCTCCGTCTCGATGCCCGTGGCGGTGAACCGCCGGATCGGCGTCCGCACGTAGTCGACGTTGTCTTCGGCCAGGGCCTCGAGGTAGCCCGGCCCGGGAGTCAGGCGCCGGCAGTTGGGCGAGAAGTCGGGGATGAGGTCGTGGAGGAGTGCCGGCTTCTTCTGCACGCGCTCCCGCATGCTGGCCGTGAACTGCTCCCGGAGTGTGTCGTTCGCCGGCGCGTTCTTAAAGACGGTGCCAAACCGGTGCCAGTACTTGATCTCGAGCGCCTTGCGGAACGCCAGGTAGGCCTCTGGGTCGGCGGCGCGCGCGGCGCGCTGCTTCTCCGTGTACGGCTGCGGGATGGCCTTGCGCTCGTGGTGGAAGATGTCGCTCCCGAGGTCGCCGGGCTCGCGGGGTGCGCCTTGTCCGTCCTCTTGCGTCGTGACCGTCGCCTCGTCAGTTTTCTCTCCATTCGCTGCAAACGACGACGCAATCCAGGTCCGATGGCGCACGTAGTGGTCGAGCCGTGCCACCGTCTTTTGCAGGTTCGTCGTCAGCTGGATCCCGCTGGCGCCGTTGCCAATCACGGCCACTCGTTTTCCCGCGGGGTCAAACGACGCATCCCAGTTCTGTGCGTGCCGCAGGTGGCCCTGGAAGTCGGCGAGGCCGGGGTAGTCGGGCAGCGCCCAGTTGTCGAAGATGCCGACGGCGGTGATGAGAATGTCAAAGACGTGGACGTGCGTGGCCCCAGTGGCCACGTCGCTGACGGTGACGGTCCACTCGCCGGCTTCCTGCGACCACTCGGCCGCGTCGACACGTCGTCCGAGCTGCACGTGGTCATACACACCGTGTTGTCTGGCGACACCCTGCCAGTAGTCCCGGATCTCGCCGCCAAACGAAAACGCATCTGTCCACTGCGGGTTCGGCGCAAACGTCGACTGGTATGCGTGCGAGGGGATGTCGCAGCGCACGCCGGGGTAGCGGTTGGTCAGCCAGGTGCCGGACAGCTCATTGTTCTTTTCGAAAATGGTGAGCTGGATGCCGGGCACTTTGGCCGGCAGGAGAATGCCCGCGGTGATGCCCGAGAGGCCGCCGCCCACAACGGCCACGCGCAGTGAACGCGGCTCGTCAATAAAACGATCGACAAGCTGGACGCCGCCCAGCGGGGTCGCCGTGCTGTCGACAGAGCCCATGACGTGGTGGTGGTGGTGGCGAGTGACGAACGACGAGTGACGAGATACCGAAAGTTGAGGAGGGTTGACAAAATGACCGGTTCGAGGTGATACCACAGGAAAGGAGTACGTTGGAGAACGAAAGCTTAAACCAACTCGACAATGCTACCGCTGCCAAGCGCGATCGATGTTGACGTCTCGACTTGAACAAGATCGAAGAACGCTCAGAGTGATTCAGAGACCGTGAATATGAACGGCAACTGACGAACTGGAACGCCGTCTGCTGTCGTTGCTCAGGCTCCGAGTACGCAACGAAAGCATTGCATCATTCTGCTGCAGACGCACGACTGCGCGGCAGACAATGCAGCGGACCAAAAGAGACCACTCTGCGGCGTGCAGTGGAGAGTGGAGAGTGGCCTGCAGCGGACCGCTGTAGTGCTGCCGTGATGGTGCAGGAGACCCACAATAGCAGTGTTTGTGGGTGCGCACTCCCAACTGCAAATTGTGTCATTGGGAAGGGGCGGTTGCTAATACGTCTCATTGCCCAATTGGGAAGGTGTGCCGGGATGGTGCGTGGAAGGCGCGAAGAACAACGTCGAGGGTGGACAACAAATAACAAGTTGCACAACGGTGACGATAAGGCCGTGTCATTCATGCCCAAGAAGAATATTCTCTCGGCCGAGATGGACTTTGTGGCCTTGCCAAGACATTTATTTGCCGTTGCCGTTGCGCATCGGTGGCCGGGGGGCTCTAAACCTTGAGATCCTCGCGTCGACAAGACGAAGCCGGCGAGATTGGAAAGTTTTCAAACAAAACAAGCAAAACCTTTCGTTGGAGAGTTTTTCCTTTTGTTTTCAAAGAACTCTGTCCCCATCTCGATCGCAAGGTAGTGCGACGGACGCCCGTCGTACTCGCCCAGCGGAGTCTGAAGTTGTCTCTGTCGCCGTCGACAATGGAGTGAATGCTTTGCACCGGCCGCGGTTGGTGCAATCACGCATGAGAAGGCGTTGTTGTTGCCTAGGGAATCAGTGATTGGCTGAGATTGTGGCTTGTAGCAGTGTAGGACTGACCTGGTAGCATCGCCATTGTCAGTGACTCTGACAATTGAGTGTCACGGCCAAGTCACAGCCAAAAGGCCACGCCAATGATCGATCTCGTTGGCGATTGACAATTGACAATTGACCGCCCCGGCGGCCACCCATGCTACAATATAAAAGAGATCTTTTCCCGCATCAGTGTTCATCGTGTACCATCTGCCGCCTCAATCTTCCACTCTGACTCTGCAGGCTGATCCAACCTCGGGCGAAAGAGACAGTCTCGAGCCCCAGCACTTTCATCACCTTCACCTCACTCCGCAACAGTAGGCCAAAAGAATCAAGAATTGAACTCGGGTATGACAAACGACGACGTTCATACCAATCCTCCCCGCCTTGCCAGCCATTCCAGCCTCGCCATTGCTAGACAGTGCATTATTTGCGGCATCCAGTATGACGACTCCGGGCATGGCCTGCGCAAAGGGCATCGCCAACGCAATGAGCGCAGTGAAGTTCACGCTCATGGTCGATATCAAAAGCGGCAAGATATGGAGATGGTGTCGGCGGTTGGAAATACGGCCAGACTCTCCAAATGACCACCTGAGACAAAAATGAGTCACTTGTGATATTTGAACTGTGACGCATGATGCGTTGTTATTGTTATTGTTTGCAAGAGGAAGGAACGATGCGGCGAAACTGGAAGCTTACCTAACCACAGCTCCTGCCATAAACGACAACAGAACCTCACCATGAGGCTCCGGTATTTTACCTTCTCTTCCGAAAATAATTTACGAAACTTTCACCTTCTTCTTTCTTCCTTCTTCCACATCCTCTTCTTTTGTCATCGCCGTCGAAGATCTCCAACGTCAACGCATCAAATATCTCGCGGTACACAACGCCTTCTGCCTCGAACGAAGCCATGGCATCGTCCTCCTCTGCTGGCATCAGCTGGGATCTCTATCCCAAATCTGGTAGGATTCAACCTCATGAGCCTCTTGAGGGCTACACTCTGGGCGGCTTTCACCCAGTCACCCTGGGCGACGCTCTTTGCAACGGACGATATATCATCCGTCACAAACTCGGCTTTGGGCATCAGTCCACCGTCTGGCTAGCTTGGGACAACGAGCATGCCAACATCAGCAACGCACGCCCTTGGGTGGCTGTAAAAATCAAGACGGCCACTGCCTCCGCCGACAGCCTCTTCCACGACGGCGAAGTGGGCGTTCTCGGCATCCTGGAGCGTCACTACCGCGGCACCAACCAGCAGGGCCCGCGCACGTTCCTCCTGCTTCTCGACGCCTTCCGCCATGTCGGTCCCAATGGAATACATAATTGCATTGTGACTGAAGTGCTCGGCCACACCATGCAGGATCTCTTCAGCAGCTACCCCGCCGACGGTGACTTGCTGCCCCCCGACTTGGTGCTTCGTTACTCCCAGCAACTTTTGCAGGGGCTTGACATGGTGCACCGCCTTGGCATTGCCCACGGTGGTAGGTCTCCATTGTCCCTCTCGTTTCTGACGTAAACCGGAAAACTGACAACAGCTGCTCACTCTGACAGACATTTCTCCCGCCAACATTGCCTTGACTTGCGACCAGGCCCAGGAAAACCCCGACACCTTCCTTGCCACAGTCGGGGCCAACCCACGCACCGTTGCCTACGAGAGTGATGCTCCCCGTCCCGCCGGCCTCCCCAAGCAGCTCATTGCATGCGCCGTCTGGGACGCCTGGTGTGTGGACCGCGAGACGGATGTCCGCATCTTGGACTGGGGCTCCGCGTTCCACATGGCCGAAAATGTGACGCGCCCGACCCAGCCCGCCAAACTTCGCCCGCCAGAGACCTTTTTCGGGCACCACATCAACTTCACTCATGATCTGTGGATGGCTGGTAGCGTGGTGCGTTGCTGATGCACAGTGTGTGAACAACACCTTGTCACTTCCCAGTCCCATTTGCTAACGCAGCCAGATCTACTCCATGGTTTTCCAGGCAGCACCGGTTACCAGTGTCACAGCACCTGACCACGCCATTGTTCATGAACTTGTCGCCAAGTTTGGCCCCTTGCCGGCGGCCTAGAATGTCCGCTTGCAGGAGATGAAGGCCAATCTCAAGAAGGAAGACGAAAATGGTTGGTGAATTGCATTGATTTGGACCTTCTTCTTCCTTTTCCTTTTCACAGTTGTTCTGCTAACAAGACTGTCGCTGTGCAGCCGCCGCCCCACGCCAGGAGCTGCTTGAGGACTCTTTCGAAGCCCGCCGCCAGGAGATGATCCGCCAGTGCGCTGGCCTTGCCTCTGAGGTCTATGAAAAAGACCAATTCACCGAGTACGATCTCTGGGCCGTCAAGTTCCTGCTCTGGCCCCTTCAGGGCTTGCTGCGCCACGATCCCGCGCACCGTCTCTCAGCAAAGGAAGCCGCCGCCAGCATTGCCTGGACCGATTACCGCAGAGACACCTAGCTCCAGTGGCAACAACGGCTGTGGCATCTCTTTCCTGGGCAGGCCAGCGCTTCTATTTACCCCATTCAGCACCCCTTACAGCTCCTCCATCCCGACGCCGGCGGACTTGGGCTTGGGCTTGAGGTTGTTGGGAATGGTCGACTCCCAGTGGTCGGGGTCCTTGTACTTGATCAACGGGCATTTCAATGTGAACCACACCTCCTGTGAATTGTCAGTACAACGGTGCGGCGACGAGTCACATTTGAGATTTTCTTTTGCTTTTCTCATCGTTCTTACCCTCGCAAACATGGCATAGCTGTCGGCGTTGTACAGCGCCTTACTCCTTTCAGCACCCTTGACGAGCTTCTGCGTGTAGTAGCTGTCGTACGCGAGGACGGTTTTGCCATCGGTGTCTTTGAAGGACTCGTCGAAGATGCCGCTTTCCAGGCCCTTTGGTCTGCGTGTGTTAGTGCTTGTTTTCGTATTCGTTTTTAGTTTTAGGTGGATGCAGAATCTCAATCTTACCGGTCTTTAATCTGCGAGGTTCGATGACTGGACAATGGTTAATGATCGAGAACAAATGATGCAAGGCAATAACTACAAACTGAAACGGCTCGTAACCTACATCAGCTCGTGCAGGATGAGCCCGCCGTAGGTGGCCATGCGTGCCGACGGCCAGCACTCCTTCTTGGCCGCGTTGGCACACGTCGCCTCGCACTGGATGTCGTGGATGGTGCGTGGGTAGCCCAGCTGCCAAACCACGGGGCACACAAAGATGAAGCTGGCCTTGTCGGCCGCGTGCGGCGACCACGGTGTCGTGTACAGGGCAATGGTGCCCGGCGGCACCGGGTCGCCGGGCCGGACGGCATCGCAGGCGGCCTGCGGGTCGATGTTGCCAAAGTGGATCGCCTGGAGCCGGTCGCTGCCCGAGGTGCTGTCCGACAGCAGGGACTGGAAGACGCCCAGCACGGTCTCGACGTCCTCCGCCCGAAAGTACTTTTTGAAGATCTTGGAGTTCTTGTTGACCTGGCTCTTCCCCGGCGGCAGCAGCTCCCACCGCGCGTACTTGGCCAGGTCAATGGCCTCGTCAAAGCCAATGTCCAGCAGGTGGCGCTGCTCCGCGGTCCAGTCGGGCAGCTTGTCGAGGTACTGGAGGCTGGTCACGCTGCGGGGCACGACGTCGGTTGCCTCGCTGCTGGGACGTGGATGGCCGCTGGCCGGGGACACGGGCCCCAGAGCCAACAAAGCAAAAAGGGCAGGGCGCATGTTTAAAGAGAGATCTGAAAGCCGTGTTTTGTCACAACGACCGTACTGTCAGCGTGAGTTGGTACTTGTAGAAAGAGTTGTGTTGGACATGCGTTGGCGGTGGATGGGAGGCACCCCAGGTCCTAATATGTCTCTTCTCAGGACCTGTGCCTGTTTCAGTCTATGAAGCGCACATGCTGCACATACCGGTGCCGTGAACAACCGACGGCGGAGACAGCTCGACGGTGTGGCGCCAAGAACAATGAGTCCAAGTTTGGCCGCTGTTCTCCGCATTGGTGAAGAACACCCCGCTAGCTCGACGGTTGTTGCCGTAACAGGACGGGACGTCCCGTTCTGGACTCATTCCTCACATTGCATTTGGCTGGTTCTGTCCAATTGGCTGCCTCCAACACGGTGGCTGGCATCGTGACCTGTCTTTGGCGTGCCAATGGGTTCAGTTCCCTTTTGATCCCTTTGCATTGTTTCGACTTATTAGCAGTCACGTCAACGCGTGACATTGGGGACTCGTCTCCTTTAGGCGTGATCGCATCCTAAAACAGACACAACGACCAGAATGGGAACGATAAACCAATATTTGGATACATTGGTCTCGTTGTTCTCCAGCCAGCAGCTGAGGAGGGCCGTGTGATAGAAACTAAAGAGAATCATCGATCGATAAAATCAGAACATAAAATGCAAAACGTTAGAAACTAAAGTTTCATTTGGACGCCACGGCGCTTACATGGAGAGTGAGATGTGAATGCAGTTCGCGTCGACATGTCCAAGATCGGTTGTGCTGTGCAGGTCATGAGCAACCGAATTGGACAATGGCATAGCGATTCTCCTTTCCACGTGTCTACGCAGCATATACAAAAAAAAAAAAAAAAAAAAAAAAAAACAAAGTCGACTTTGCTGATATTTCAGCGCATAGATATAAAGGCAACTTCGTTGCCCGCGAGTCGTCGCTGGTAACTGTACGAGTCCAGAGCCAAGTATTCAGTCGTACTTTTTGTTCTGCCATCTCTGCCTTCCACCGTCCACAATGCCGTCGTCCATTCCCTATGACCCCAGCCTGGTGCTAGCGAACATTGTCACACCGGCAACCCTCACGATCGTCCAAGACATCTCCGTCGCCCAGGCCGATGTTGACTCGGCCGAAGAGGAGCTCAATGCGCTTCTGTCGACAAAGCGCAGCCTCGGTCCGTCGTGAGCCCCTTCTCCTTTCTCCCTTCTCCCTTATTTTGTTGTGCTTTATGCCGCAGCCTGCTGACACTCGCCGTCCCAGAAAGCACGCGGCTCGAGATTTCCAATCTGGGATTTGGCAAGGACGACATCGGCGCCATGGTTGGGCCGCTGGACGCCGCCATTGACGGCCTGCTCCCCGACATCAAGACGGCGGCGGTCAACTACGCCAACGCCAAGATCGAGGCGGAGAAGAAGATCCGGCCGCTGCGGGCCAAGCTGCACGCGGTGCACACGCAGGCTGAGAGCCCTGTGGACTACAACAAGACGCAGGTCAAGGCGATGCAGCTCGCGTCCGACTCGATGAACATGAACGTGCAGTTTTTCAGCGTCGACAAGAACGACCAGCACGGCACGGCGCACGCCAGCAACGTGGCAGCCTTTGTGTCGTCCTCGCTGGACATTTTCGGGAGCAAGTTCCAGCAGCAGGCCAGCGGCACGGCGCAGAGCCAGACGGCCAACCAGTACGCGCAGCACAAGATTGCGGGCACGCTCGTCATCTCGGCGTCGTGCACGCACAAGAACGCGTCGGTGCTGGCGCCGTGCATCCTCAACGTGGACAAGGGCATCCGCGCGTGGAACCGCATCTTTCCGGACGCGGCGGACCGCATCACGCCTACCAGCCTCAAGGGCATGAAGGCGCTCATCGACGGGCCGTCCGGCGACGCGGGCCAAGACAAGCACTTTTCGGTGCTCACGGGCATGACGTACGGGTCCAGCTTCGTCGGCATGGTGCACATTGTCAACACCAAGTCGGACGACGTTACGCACCGCCTGTCGTCCATGGTCGATTCGCTGCAGGAGCAGATGACGGCGGGCGCCTGGTTCGAGGACGCGTCGGGCGGCTTCGGCGTCAACGCGTCCTTTGGCGACGAGGTCAAGAGCCTGCTGAGCGCGCAGAACATAACCTCGCACGTGACCCTCATCTCCATGGGCATCATCCCCTCCATCAAGTCCAACAACATCGCCATGGGCGTCCGCGAGTTTGCCGACTTCGACCCCAAGTCCAGCATGGAGGCCCTCGCCAGCATCCAGAACGCCACCGCGGCCGGCCAGTCCACCATTGGCGAGGCCGCCGAGGCCGCGCGCCTCGGCCAGAAGATGCTGTCGCTCAAGTCCAGCGGCATCACGGCCTCGCTAGCGGCGCTCGGCGACATCGACAAGGCCGAGAACCAGGTCCTCGACATCAACTCGCTGATGACGGCGCTCGACGACTATGTGGCCAAGGTGGCCAGTGCCGAGTCGGGCGTCCCGCTCAACTACTATCTCACCGAGATCACAAAGAGCATGCTGGCCGAGATGTGGGTGGCCAAGTACTTTCCCAAGCAGAACACGCCGCAGAACGACGACACGGATCGGCCAGAGCCTGGCGAGTAAGGGACGATGGTCAATGGTGTCGACGATGGGAGGGAAGTGTATATGGTTGTGTGGACGAGTAGTGGAACCAGTGTAGGTTCTGGACTTGATTCGTGTCAATTCCAGCGTCACATGGGAACATATTTACCTGTGAAAAATAAAACCCTAATTTATGAAGATTTGTGTCATGGCACTACCAATGTACCTTTTCCATCCTTAGTTGACTGACGTCTGTGTAATGATAGATGTCGCTATGGTGTTTGATTCTGGTTAGACAAGCCACCCTCCTCATTCGGTGTTGTGATCATCCATATACCAGCCCGTATTCCGCCGCCCTCGACGCCAGTACCAACTTGGATCACTCGGCTTGCTTGCTTGGAGAACCGGCGAGTGTAACGCCCCGACCGAAGCGATAGTCGAACACACTCCCTTTGTCGTCTCGTTTGTTCGGCTGAGGAGCGGGCACTTCTTGCTCGGAGTCTTGTAGCTGAGTGTGTTTCATGTCCAAAGTGGTAAGTTTCTGGATCGACATTTGGAAGCTCTCGTCGCTTATCTGCCCACCGATGTTGCGAGACCGGCCGCTGAGATTGATTCGCCTGGCTGTCACGAGGTCTCCGACGGTCGAGACTGCGTAGTTGTAGGCATTATCCGCCAGTGTGATATCCTCGAAGATATTTCGTCGCTCGGTGACTGAGGCATTACCGGCACTCGAGACGATGTTTATGCACTGGTGGATGCTGTCCTTCGTTTCTCGTAGTCGGCTGAGCTCTGTCAGCGTGTCACTGGGCAGAGGAGCCGCAGACGCCTCAGACATCATAGCCGCCATCTGCTCCTCGATCTTGCTCTCATGACTGCGTAGCTGGGACACGAGGGTAGATATGGAGCCTTTCGTAGCGTCCAATCCAGACTTGATAAATTTGTGTGCGGAAGGCTTGTCAGAAAGATGGGGCGGCTCGTCGGGCACTGCTTCCAGGGTCTGGATCTGCGCGGAGAGCTGGGCAGCCATCCTGAGTCCCTGCTGTGTGTATTTCTTCTCATCTAACATCGCCTGCCATTCGTGGCTAGTCTGGCTGGAGCCCTGGACACCCTGACGAGACAGATCTTGGATTGCTTTTTCCAGCTTTTGCAGGCGCTCTCCCAGGTCTTCGTTCGCGTCTGAAATCAGGTCTTTATAATCCTCGAGTACTTGAGGAGTTATGGCGGCTACCTGACTGTAAGGGAGAAAATTAGTTAGAATGAAGAAGAGGGTAACGTAGATGCAATGAAACGCCAACGGGAGGGGTACATGCATATTCACACTAGCAAGGGCTATGTTTATCGTGGACTTATAGCCAGCTAGCATGTCCCTGAAGTCGGCGATGTCTCCTTGCAGATACTTCTGGTGGATCCAGTCTCGGCTGCTCGCGTGTGAGTCTGTGGAGTGTTTTGTGCACCGAGCAATAAGCTGCTCGTACTCATGGCAGGCCTTCCCGCAACGGAGTAGCGGACCTTTTAGAGCATCGAAGCCTATCTCTGCATGGTTCGTGATGGTCTCGAGCAGCGTCTGTAATACGCTCGATAAATCACCAACTTCTTCTTTTAGCGCACGTGCCTTTTTCTCTCTACTTTTGAAGTCGCGGACTGTGGTGTAGAGGTTGACACTGGCCGAAAGGGCAAACGTCACTAACGCAACGATACCAGATGATATGCTGAGAGGGTCTGCCATTTTTTAAAAGGCAAGCTCTATGAAGGGCAACTGTTTGAAGTTTGAAGTGGGGACAACTGGGTTATTGGGTGCGTAACGAATAATTCGTATGGTCCCTTTGCGAGGGCAGAGATGGTTGATTCTGTAGAATTGTCTGTCTGGTTTTATGATTTCCTGTTTCCTGACATATACGGGGGGACTTGGCCCAAAATCCCCACATTTCCTGGCACGGACGGACCGGACCTATCCAGTCACGTTAATCTGACAGCGCGGAATAGCTTTACTCCATTACCCCTCCTTCTATCATGAGGGGCGCCAATGCGTACTCTGGGAAGATCACGCGGCCGTTTCCATTTCCATAACGTGGTATGATCCTGGCAGAAGTTGGCAGCTGGCAGCTGTGTCGGATTCCGCGACGATGGTGTCCAAGCTGCAAACATGCACCCATAGTCGTGGACGTGCGCTACAACTGTTTCCATGTCTTTCGGGCGGGTGATAACCGCTTGGGACATGGAAGAGACGCAAGAGACGACAAGCGGATCGTCAACGAGGACGACCAGAACGATATCGTCCTCCTTGGTGAACTGTGGACACGTGGCGCCTGGCGCCGGCCGTGATCGAATGCGGCTCCGGTCCTCCTTGAGGACACTGGGCCGGCGTCGTTCGATGAGGTCGAGTCGGCACTGTTTGCTCGAAAGGTCGCTGTGACGGGGCTGTCCCGGTTGACGACTCTGCCGTCAGAGCGGACGTGTATCATCTATGCGCTATCGGTCGAGGTCTTGTTCTAGCGCTCAATCCGATGCCTTGGTGCCCGGGCGAAGCTGCAGCCAGACGATGCATTGTCCCGCACACACCCTCTGGAGGATATCGTCTTCTGGAAACGTGCGTATCCGACAATCTGACGGCGAGCTTTTGACTTTTGAAATTGTCGCGGGCTTGTCCTATTCTCCGAATGTGACTTGATTGACTAGGCATTGTCCAAATTGAGTGGCCGCATACGATGCACAAAAACAATCGTCAAACGACGTCGCGTTTGGCGTGGATTGTGGAAAATATATTCACGATCCTTGGTTTTTCAGATATACACGTCGAAAACAGGTTCGTTTTTCTGCTGTCTCTGACGTGTTTTGCTTCTTGTCATTATCGGCCCACGTCGACGAGCCCTAACAGCAGATTCCAAGAGAAATGGCCTTGTGCGGCTCGTATTGCCTTTAAAGCGTGACCGGTTTCTCATCTGGAATACACCTTCCCCCGTACCCGATGGCAGTAGGTCCTGTGGACTCATCTATACAGATCTGTTCCAGCGTGCCACACAACGTCAGCGTCACATTCCCAGCCAACCGTACGCCGTCGATATCAAACGCTGTTTTGACGTTCTTTTGCCTTGGCGGGAAAGTCTTTGAGGTGCATGTTCACAGGACCTCCAACGACGATGCGACAGCAACCTCTAGGCGCCTGGTCACTCGTGTTCGCCAATGTATGGTGTGGGTATTTGTGCGGATGTCGTACAGCGACCGCCTCGTTGTGATCTGGGCGTGTCGTAGCGAGATGGCGGGCAATAGGTCCCAGGAAGGGAAAACAATTAACCTTCCACGTGCTAGTTTCACATGAAGCTGGCCGGCGACTTGCTTGTTGGAAGCGGAATCAGAAACAGAGGCACGGCTCTGCTTTAGACCCACTATAAGAACGTGACTTTCGTGTACGGTGAACCGTGACAGAGACGAGAAATGGGAACCTCTATATTTTGCTGTACCCTGTCCCAGCCACTTCGGCCGCTAGCATAGGGTACCAAAATCAGGGCAATTCAGGAAAATAACAACTGTAGGTACATAGTACTTCGAATGGACAAACCGTCACTGCAGCGACTGTCAGAAGCGGCAGCCCGCGCCAGACAGAAGTGGCGACCACAACAGCGCTTTCTCGACTTTATTCTGTAGTTTGTAAAAGTGCGCAGAAAACTTACATTCTACAGTCTGGACTCCTATGTGCCGGATATGCCCAGCTGGTATTTTCTTGCTAATGGCATATGTGACGTAAGTCTATTTACAACAGTCTTTGCAAAGTGCAATGCCGGCTTTAGAAAATCATAAAACACTGACGAGCGTATCACGAGAATACGCGGCGTTTACTCTGACGTCGTACTCTTCTCTGTCACGTGCCAATGGTGAGAGGGTACTGAGGGTACTGTGATGCGCGAGTAGCGTCAACCTGATCCACCATTCCGTGCTCGACTTACACCATTTTGGTGCCCAATCAGGAAAGGACCCCACGCCAAGTGTGGCATCTCACTGACAAGGCGCAACCACAGAACACTCGCATCGCAATTCATCAACATCCTTGCACACACAAGGAAGCATGCTTTTGGCGCCCGTTTCCACTTGAACAGGGTCGGACACGTATGTTGCTGATCCTAGGAACCAGGAACCTGCATCGGCACTTGGTTCCTATCCTGGCAAATCTTCTCATCAGTGATCGTCCGAGACCGCCAAATAGATCGGCCATTGAGGTCACTTTGAAATAGAGCAACATAATGACGGAATCGAGCAGTTCGCGGCATTGAAAGGGCCGAAGGAAAGCTTGATAAAGCTCGACATACAGCGTCGACACACGGCGTCGACATACGGCGTTTAGATTCTCACTCTGTCCAGTACCTCATTCCACCCTGTCTTCGCATAGAACATCCTTCTTCCCCCCCTTCCATCCTTCCTCACCCCCACACTCCGAACAACATGGCCGACGCCACCACAACCCCCGCTGCCTCTGCCGGCCCCGGCGCCAAGAAGCAGATGATCCTCAATGCGTTCGTCATGAACACCCCGGGCCACCAGGCCGCCGGTCTGTGGCACCACCCGACCAACCGCACCGACGAGTACAACACGCTGGGCTTCTGGACCGACCTGGCCAAGCTGCTCGACGATGCCGGTTTCCACGCCATTTTCATTGCCGACACGCTGGGCGCCTACGACGTCTACCGCGGGCCGGGCAACTTCGTGCCCGCGCTCGCGTCCGGCGCCCAGTTCCCCGTCAGCGACCCGCTGTACCTCGTGCCCGCCCTGGCTGCCGCCACTAAGCACCTGATCATTGGCGTCACGGCGAGCGTCACGTACGAGCAGCCCTATGCGCTGGCCCGCCGCCTGTCGACGGTCGACCACTATGCCAACGGCCGCTTTGCGTGGAACATTGTCACCAGCTACCTGGACAGCGCAGCCAAGAACCACGGGCTCGACGAGCAGATCCCCCACGACGAGCGCTACGCGCGCGCGCACGAGTACCTCGAGGTGCTCTACAAGCTGTGGGAGGGCAGCTTCCGCGCGGACGCCGTGCTGGCCGACCGCACGACGGGCGTCTACATTGCCGACGACGCCGTGCAGAACATTGCGCACGAGGGCAAGTACTTCCGCGTGCCGGGGCCGCACTTTGTGGCGCCATCGCCGCAGCGCACGCCCTTTTTGTTCCAGGCCGGCACGTCCTCCGCCGGCAACGGCTTTGGCGGCAAGCACGGCGAGGCCATCTTCGTCAGCGCCCAGACGCCGCAGCTGCTGCGCCAGACGTCCGACAACATCCGCGCCGTGGCGGCCAAGGAGGGCCGCCACCCGGACCACATCAAGGTGATTGCCGGCGTGCACCTCATCGTGGGCAAGGACGACGCCGACGCCGCCGCCAAGGAGAAGGAGTTCCGGGCGTACTCCAACACCGAGGGCGCGCTGGCGCTCTTTGGCGGCTGGACCGGCGTCGACCTCAGCAAGTACGACGACGACCAGGACTTCCGGCTCGCCGGCGACAACCCGCGCATCCAGTCGCTGATTGCGCGGTGGTCGGCCACCGTGCCCGGCACCGACAACCAGCCGTGGACGAAGCGGGCCATTGTCGAGTTCCTGACCGTCGGCGGCCTCGGCATCAAGTTTGTCGGTGGGCCGCAGACCGTGGCCGATGCGCTCGAGCACTGGCTCGACGACGGCGGCATCGACGGGTTCAACCTGGCGCACGTCACGAACCCGGGCTCGTTTGAAGACATCATCGCCTACCTGCTGCCCGAACTGAGAAAACGGGGTCGGTTCCGCGGCGTCGACGAGCCGGTGCCGGGCACGTCGGCCCGCGAGGTGTTCTTGGGCAACACCGAGCACACGTCGCCCGTGTCGCCGGCACACCTGCCGCCGGACCACCCCGGCAGCAAGTACACGTGGCACAAAGGACAGCCCGCTCCCAAGTTGAACGAGATCAAGCCGTAGTATCATCGCGCAGTCACAGCCTAAATCAATGGTAGACAAGAGTCGTTGCAATGTAAAAACCAAAATTTTGAAACAAGAGTGAGTCATGATCATGGGTATCGAGCAATATGCAGTATGTAGCCACTTCTATTTTTGGGCTTTCCAGAATCCAAAAATGCGTTTCATGCGTTTCTCTACCAAAATGAAGCGCAAGCCGTCAAGTCGTACTGATGCCCACTTTACACTTCCGACTTCTTCTTCTTGCGCAGCCTGGTAATGTCCACCATCTCCAGAATCTCCTGCCACAGACCCGTAACCGGATCCGTCTCTTGCGCCTCATACGCCCTGATCGCCTCCGTCTCCCAGACCAGGTCCACCTCGTGCGGGCGGAGCCAGTGCGTGCGCTTGATCAGCTTCCAGCCGCAGAACAGGATCGGCGCGAGAATGACGAGCGTGTAGTAGGTGAAGAAGTTGTCCACGCTCCACGGGCGGAAAGCCGAGTAGCCGTAGAAAATCACCACGAAGGACATCCAGACAAAGCCAACGTAGGCACCGTACGGCTGGAACCAGCCAATGTAGGGCAGCCGCGAGCGGTCAAAGCCCTGGGCCTTCATCGCGCGGTAGAAGCAAATGTACGTCATCGTGATGACCACGTAGTTGATGATGCCGCCAGCCGTGATCAGGTTGACAAGCCACGTCAGCACGACGTTGGAGCCGCTGCTCACAGACAAAAACGACAACAGCGAGAAGCAGATGACAATGGCGAAGCAGAAGAGCGGGTTGCCGTTCCAGCACTTGGTCAGGACCCGCGGCGCGCGGCCCTCCAGGGCCAGGCCGTACAGACTGCGCGACGCACAATAGCAGTAGGTGTTGCCCGCCGAGAAGATGCTTGTGAACAAGAGGGCATTGACAACGTCAGGCAGGACGCGGATGCCGAGGTTGGTCATGGCGACGACGTAGGGCGATCCAGCGGCGGTACCGGAGCCGGCACCGGCCGACAGCAGCGGGTCGTTGTAGGCGACGACAATACCGACGCACAGCGAGCCCAAAATGAAGAAGGCGCCGAACCGCCAGAAGACCGTCTTAAAGGCCGTCTTGATGTAGACGCGCGGGTGCTTGGCCTCGGCAGCGGCCATGGAAATGTACTCGGGGCCGACGACCGTAAACGAGGCAGACCAGACAGCGGCCAGGAAGCCCTCGAAGCGGCCAATGTTGCCGTCGGACAAGTACGTGGCGAACGAGCCGGGATTCTTCCAGTAACGGAAGCCGTATGCATCGTGCTTGGGGTTGCCGCCGACCATGGTGATGAACGTGAAGAAGTAAAGGATGAAGATAAGAATCAGCTTGCCAATAGACAGCCAAAACTCTGCCTCACCGTAGGTTTTGACCGCAAAGATGTTGAGCAGACTACATTGTTAGCGCAAGTCGTAAAAAGAATAAATACGATGAAATAAGGTCGTGGGGCGAATTTTTTTTTTAAAAAAAAAAGGAAAAGGAAAAGAAATAAAACACTCACATGTAGGCGACGATAGCGGCGGCGCAAATGGCGGCCGGGGGGATATCGTCGCGCCAATAGGATAAAACCACCGATAGAGCCGAGATCTCAAACGGAATGAGCAGTGCTTCGTAGAGGAAAAAGTTCCAGCCGGCCATGAAGCCCCAGGCGTCGTCGACCCAGTGGCCCGCCAGACGGATGAAACCGCCGCTGACGGGCATGTACACGGTCATCTCGGCAATGCAGTTGTTCACCAGGCCCAGGATGCAGCTGTACATGGTATAGGCAATAAACAGACTGCCGGGGCCGCCGCGGATGAGACCGTTGCCGATGCTCAGGAACAGGGCCGTGCCAATGGAGCCGCCAATGGCCAGAAGCTGTATTTGGCGGTTCTTGAGGCGACGCTGCAGCTGGTTGCCGTGGTTCTCGACCAGGCGGTCGGCGGACGAGCCGCCCGACGAATTGCGGCGGATGTCGCCGACCGAGGGCGACGAGGGCCGGGGGCCGAGCTTCTCGTTGGTCTCCTTGCTGTCATTGAGGTCCGTTTCGCCGCCGCTGTTGCTGTAGACAGGCGCAATGACGTCGTTGTCGTTGGTCGGCACAGGGACCAGCCCGCCGTCGTCTTCGTACTTGGGAGGAGACATGGTTTTGAAGGTAAGAGGTAGAATGAGGGTGGTGAGGGTGAGGTGATTCAGGATGAGTGTGCTGTGACGAAGAATAAACAAGTCTGGTGGGGGAAGAAGCCTCTACGTTTCAAGGCTGTCGACGAGAGAAGCAGGACATGTGGACCAGTGCGTCGAAGTGGTGGATGTTGAACCTAAAAAGGGAATGAATGAAAACAAAAACAAGAGAAGGGAAGGAAAGACGACAGGAAAGAGAAGGAAAGGAGAAAAGAAGAAAGAAGGGGAAAAGAAGAAGGAACGAAGGAAACTCAAAAACGGAAAGGAAAGGGCAGATCCAAGATTAATACCAAAAGACGGAAAGAGCGACGCTCACAGAAACAGCCGTCCAAAGAAACGAGAGACAGCAGCGGCGCCGCCAGCGAGCAGAAGCGACAAAGAAGAGAGGCAAGGCCAAAGTGGAAGAAACGTCCAAAGAGGGTAAGAGCGAGCGGGAACGCACACGACCACCTGCCGCGACCGAGGATCTTGCCTCTTCGCAGTGCCTGTTTGAGATCACTGTTTTCATTCTTTCCTCTTCCGTGTAGCGCCATTTTGGCAGACGGCCCACTGTAGGAGACCGTTCAGTGCGCCGTAACCTACGGTGGTTGCGCCGCTGTAGGGTACGGTGGCCACCGTGGCGTAGACCGTAGCGTGCACCGTAGCGTGTACCGTAGCGTGAACCGCACCGCAGCCGTCCTTCACGGCGTACGCCGTCTTTGTCGTACCGCCCCAAGGCCACATTTCGCCCCCGGTCGTGCCTGCCTCCCATTGGTCGCAAGTACCCAGCCCTTGTTCCCTCCTACTCATCCGAGCCAATGGTGTTGCATTGGTCTTGCGCTTGCCAAGCCTTTAAAGTAAAAGACACCCCCATACTGGGCCTTGTATGTCGCACTAAAAGACAGAAGGCTAACTAGCTTTTCAGTTGACGTAGCGAGGCTCCAAGGCGGTATTCTGTACGAAGTAAAAACAACAAAAAAACAGGGAAGCGGGGCCATGTCCGCTGAAAGTGGTGTCAGTGGACCCCCCTGTGCTCCGGGCACCCATGCTCCATGCTTGCCCGCATATGCCAGCTGCGACCTACAGTTCCATGCAGCAGCTGCAGGTGTGTGCAGGCCTAGCAGGGGCCCGTGGGCGTAATGTTGGGAGTACAATCGCCGACGGATGCACAGCGGATTTCGAGGCATATCGAACAAGTCGCCGCCCGATGCTTCGGAGTGCCCTCGGGCACTGAACCGATGGGGCAGTTTGCTGCGAGTATGGGGAGGGTTGAGCCTTCTTCAGCACCAACGATTCCACATCCATCGCTTTCATAGTGCGTCACGTGAGGCTCGTGAGGCGATGTCGAAGACTTTTTGTGGTCTACTGTCAATATCGTACGATTCTGAAAGGCCCTGAGGCCCTAAAAGTCATTGACAGAAATTTCAGATGAAAAATAAGCGAAGAATAAAACAAAAATAAATAAAATGGAAAGACCTGCACAGGTCACTCCGAGAGGCTGAGCCATTCGCCCCAGCGGCGGACGGCGCTTTTGTGGTGGCTGTCAGTTGGACAGCTGTAGTTGGTTGCACCTTAACAAACCGGCGACAGGACCGCAGTAAAATAAATGGGTCACAAAGGACGCCGCGCCTACTAATGGTCTCTACCGTCTCCAAGGCCTAACGTCCTCTAATTTCACTCACTGACGCTGTCCACTTTTCTTCCTCGGCGTGGCCAAAATCCCCTGGAACCAGAAACGCGAAGGAGCAGTCTGGCAGGCTTTTGGTGAGATGGGATGCGAGTATGTTGTAGGTACCCCAGGGGCCTAAAAGTGTAGAGGTAGTGGAATACAGCGAACTTTTTGGTGGGAGGCAAGCCCACGCACTAAATCGTAAGCTGAAACAAAGGGAACAATTAAACACAAGAAACATCTCAGGAATCAATCGAAAAGTTGAAAAAGTGGAAATTTTGACAGAAAAGTCTTGCAGGTAAAGAAAACTCTGCACAACATACAACATACGAGTACAGAAATGAGGAATGCCGGAATGAAGCTCTTGTGTCTCATCCTGCGTCATCCGTCATGACTTTGTGTCTCTCCCCCACGCCTTCTTTGCCTCTTTCTGTCCTTCATCCTCGTTTTGCTCCTCTGCCCATGTGCTGTCGAATGAGACACTCAGCATTCCATCACAACACGTAATGGCAGTAACGAGGTTGCTCCGTATTTATTGTCGTATTGCTCTGTCCTTTCCATGCTGGTGGCAGACTGCCAAGAGGTGGGGCCCCGCTCAATGTCTTGGAAGTCGAGTTTTGCTCCTTTGTGGAAACAAGGTAAAAGTTTACAAGTACACAAGTATGGTTTTGTTCCTTTACTCTGTCATCTCGTTTCTGCTCCTGACTTGCGCAGATTTTGTTGTTGTATCCGCGACATGCGCTCGGCCTAACCGTAAGCGGGAGTCTACATCGTATCCTTTCAAGAGAATACGAAGGCTGGGGATGTCGCCTAAGTAAATCTCGCGGTTCCGCTCTCGACTTGTTCTCACAGGGAAATGGGACTTGGTCCAGGGGTCGCTGACTTTTAAATGTCGATGAATGTCGATCGGTACGGTGTCTTATCTCGTAGAATACGGAGCACATCTGTACGTTGGTGGGTGCGAGTACAATTGCCGCTCGTCGTATTTTATGTTTCTATCCCGTCTCTACTTCGTAGTGTTTTTGATGTCTATCCAGCTGACGATATCCTGCGACAACCGGCTATCGCGGAGAGCCTTAACAAGATTTGTATCTTACTTCTTTGCAGACGTTGTCAACGCGCGCGATATCTTATCGTCTTTGTGGTTCGCAGTGTCTCGGTGCCAGGTCGGTCCACTTGGTTGTCTTCGTGTGCTGCAGCGTTTCTGGGTCAGGGTTTTTCGACCCATGCACATCCTGGAGGTAAAAGTGGAGGATATCCTTGTACGGGGTGTGGGATGACCCATGTCAGATTCAGCGCCAAAGCGCGAGAGCGCGGATTTCGTACTCCGAGGGAAATACTGCTATGCAAGATGCGCCCGTCCCTTTGACATTCTCCGAAGTCAAACTCGTTCTAGATGTTACCCAACAGTCTTTGAACGGTGTATGCGTCTATCTACACACAGGACGGTGCACGACCTGGATGCCCTCCCTGATTCTCCGCCGGGAGTGTAAACCGAAAAAATGGCAATGCGCCATCCAAATGCCACTCCCTGCCACACCATCGCTGCAATACATTTTGGCTGCAGCTCAACAATAACAGCTCAACCATAACCCAATGGGGAAAGTGGAAGTGAATGGCAAAACCTAGGTCGAAAAATGTTAAAATCTGAGAAGTAGCGGGTTAAGGAACTGAAAATCTCACAAAGGGGGGAACGGGACCAAAGTAAAAGCCTCGGAGTGACGTCATAAGGGACGCCTCCCGGGGTGATGGCGTGGAAAATGGGTCACAATGGGTTGCACAAGGGGCGCCATTGGTAGCATTGGCACACCAAAACGAGGTGCGTAGTAACGAAACAAATAAGTTTAATTCGTCCGAGGTCTGAGAGGACAATAGAATTTGGCTCCGGCCACTACCTGTCTCCCGGTCAATACCAAGTGGAGGAAAATTCAAAAGCGACGGAGGTGGAGGGATGTGGAGAGATGCGGGTACTGGTGTGGAAAGGTGGATACGGTGCCAGGGGCGTTGAATGCAATGCGTATTCTGTATTTTGGCAGATGCAAACATCAGCTGATCAGGACATCGACCACCCACGTCCTCCACTCGCGCGTTCTACCCCTGGCCGATGACGACAACAGGACTCGTAGAAAATTCAAAAGAGACCCAGAGTCACCAGTACCACCTGAGCCATGAGCCAGGCCAGAAGCTTGGCCCGTAAACCCAAACCCACCCGTTGCATGACGGGTATGCTGACCGCAAGTGTGAATGTGCACGCAAATCATCATGTGCAGCCTCTTCTCTGCATCCAAATGCATCTCTGCGTGTACCTGACACGTACAGAGCACTCTGCCGAATATCAGAATAGTAAAATATTAAGCAGCTAAAAACTAGTTTTCTCTCCCCCAACCACTCTCTCAAGTCGGAGACGTTGTTGATCCCCTGAGAAGACGCTGTGCATGTTCCATATATTGTGTAAATATGTCTAGACCGGGTTGGATCGACGGGCGTCCCAGGGACAGACATTTCAAGGGAACATGGGCAGCTCAGGGACGGCCCGTGAAAAAATACGACGGGCCATACATATCTGCAAATAGAAATTCAGGACAATGGAGAACACGGAGACTGGTGACTGGGGACTCGGGACTGGGGACTGCTGGCTGCAGACCACGTCATACTACTCAGCCAAAGACACAAAGATCTACAACGATGGACCCTGAACGCAGATTTAGGTTTCTGGTCTATTGTTCCCGACGGCCATTCTTGACGATGCACAATGTCCTCCACTGATGCACAGCTTTTACGCAGATCCAGCAGAGTCTGTAGTGACAACCCGAAGAAGGGTGCCACGTCCAAGCACTTGCTTTCAAATATTTGCGTTCGACGCATATAATCGTCCCCGGCTATCATGATATTGCCAGATGCATGCCCCTTTACAAACCCATGACGAGAGCTGAGCCGCAAATGACTAGTCCCGCCAAAAGGTCTTCACGGCCCGGGCAGATCGGATGTGCACGATACGTGTTCCTACTGTCGACCTGTTATTTTTACTACGTACGGAGCTCATGCTTACTTTTGACTTAGTTCCATAGGCATCTTTCTGTGTGAACTATATATGACCCTGCTGCACAATCACTCGTACGTCTCACCCCAAGAGAACTGGGCACCAATTAGTTCCATCACCAAGATGCACACAATCGACTGGCGAGGGCATCATCAGTACGCCCATCACAAATGCAGTTGGCGATAACTGCTCTCTTGTCGGTTCCCAAGTTAGCCACAGACGGAAGACCGATTAGTGTAGGCCACACGATTCACTCCCGGCAACTTAAACATTGGTGTGCGGCCAATTGCTTCCATTGTGAGACGATGATGAACCATCACGTCGGTATTGGTGCCTCCGGTGTGGTGCCTATATTAATCTGCACGAAGAATTCTCTATAGCGCTTTAAATTTGTTCAGCATGCAATATTCAAAGCTACGGGGCCTAAACCATCATACGGTTCACCAAGACGATTCCAGCTCGTGGTGAGGCATAGAAAGGAAGCACAGCACCGAATATATGAATCATTGACAGTCGACAATGACAGCAATTGTCAAATATAAATGGAGCATAGCACGTTCGCATGATGCAGGTTCTACTACTTGACGGCCAAATAAATCCATCCCCGATATTGCACAGACATCCAAAGTTATGTCGACATTTATATGCAAAGGCACGTACAGCAATGCTATTCAAAGACTATGGCATGAGACAGACAAATAAACAAAAACATGGCAAGTATGAGTGAGGCCAGGTTTCTGCATCCAACCTTTATGGACTATCAATAACCTGCACGAACAAAACAGAATGCCACTTTGAGCATCCTCTTTTTACGATGTCGATCCGAGATAATGACGACAACGACAAATTCAACCTGTCCTTTCCACCCTCTCCCGATACCCGCGGAAACATACACGCACCGTTGTAAGACCTGCTTCAACCCTTGCTTATCGACAGTGCATCTACTTCTTTGCCGCAGCGGCCGCCGCCGCCTTCTTGTCCGTTTCCAGCAGGGCCTGGATGCCCGGCCGGCTGGTGACGCGGCCCCACCACGCCCGCACTGCCGGCCGGTCGGCCATGACGTGATCCCCGTATCCGGCGGCAAACAGGCGCGTCACCAGCGGAATGTAGTAAATGTCGACAAGCGTGAACGTGGTCCCCGCCATGTACTCCTGCTTCTGCAACAGCGTCTCGGCGACGTCAAAGTAGGCGAGGACGGCCTTGAGGGAGGCCGCCACGACAGCCTCGTCTGCCGGCAGGCCCATGAACCGCTTGGCCACCGTTTCAAAGTTAATGCGGCCCGCGGGCTCGGCGAAATACTGCATTTCGACGGACTGGGCCTGGTCAAAGAGCGCCGTGGCCGGCAGGTCCGTGGCCGCAGGCAGCAGCGGAAAGTTGTACTTGTGCGCCAGGAACTTGCAGATGGCGCGGCTTTCGTAGAGGACAAAGTCACTGTCCGGGAACGCAACGGCCGGCACTTTGCCCCATGGGTGGCGCTGCACGTGGTCCCGCGACTTCTGCTCACCCGTCGCGAGGTTCAGCAGGACAGTGTCGTAGTCGGTGAAGCCGGCGTCGGCGAGGGTCAGACGAACACGGTCGGTATTACTCGACCCGCGGGCGCCGTACAAAGTGAACTGGGGCATTGTGGACGAGGTGGAGAATGTTGTGCTGCGCAAAGGGGATGAGAAAACGTGAGATCTGGTGAGATTGGAATGTTCGAGAAAACTCGGCCGAAATCGAACCCTGGACAGTAAAATTATGGACATAAATCTTTGTTTTGAAATGCAAACGTAAGAATTTTTTTGTTTTGTTCTGCTTTTTTCAAAAGACAAGTAATTATTGCGAAAGATACAATCTAGAGAACACACATTTGCAATTCACCGTCAACTTAAATACCAAAGACAATCTACCATCTACAGTCGCGAATAACTTCATCTTGCCGTCCTCGGTCGTCGGCGTCGCTGTCGGGCATCGAAAGCATCGAAAGCATCTCGGCAGACGGAGGATTGAACGAGCTCCGAAGATGGCGAAGCTCCGACAAGAAAAAAAGTGGAGACGTAATGCGCAAACGACGAGAACGAAGGGAAGTGATTCGCCCGTTCGCTCCTTCTCCCAAGTATGGTTTAGCGCTGTTGCCTGCTTTCCCGCTGCAGCGTCAATGCCGACGTAAGCACGGCAGGTGCGATCGCCGTGTGATTCAGCTTGCTTTACTCAGCACTCAAACATTCACGCTCCCGCGCTTTCGTCCCTTGCAGATCCAACACCCGAAGACTCTACGACTCGTCCCGCGCAGGGCCTTGTCTTGAATGATTTGGTAATACAGCCCCAGCCACATTGACGCGAGGCCGGCAAGCGACGACCCGATTGACCTCTGATTCGCCGGCTCGGAATTGTTTCTGCATTTCGACCCCCTTTTGCACCATGGAGACTGTCATGGAATTCGCTCCAAAGACGGCCGGCCAGTCTCGTGCCTCGCGCCGCAAGGTCAAGACGGGCTGTGCTACGTGCCGGTAGGTAACACACCTGCTTACGCTGGCTGATGCATCGCTTGGATGCTTAGATGACTGATCCCCCCCGCAGAACGCGCAAAGTCAAGTGCGACGAGGGCCGGCCTGCGTGCCAAAAGTGTGTGTCGACAGGGCGCACTTGTGATGGGTATGCCTCGCCGTTTCGCGCCTGGGCCGGCGAGCACCAGAGCAACCCCCCAAAGGGGATGGCGCAGACGGCGCCTGCACTCACGGTCAAGGCACCGATCGCTCTGACGGTGTCTGACGGTCCATCGGGCGGCACCTCGGACGACATCTCGCCGGACCTGGACACGACGGCTTCGGAGATAACTGCCGCCGACATTGATGCCCTGCAGCGCTGCTTCTCCACTAAGACGCTCTTCCCCACCGTCACGCTCTCCTGCGACGACGAGGCCCGGCAGATCCTGCAGGCGAGCAAGACCGACCCCGCGGTGCGGCACGCCGTGTCGTCGCTGCGGGCCTTGCGCGCGGACTTGGAGGCGGCAGCACAGGCATCCTCGGAGAGGGCGGGCGCCGCACAGTCCACACTGCTAGCCCAAGCTACCTCGGCGTACGCGGTGGCCCCAGGCACCACGCCCAGCCGCGACTACGGATTGCAGCAGTATTGCTTGGCCCTGGGCGGGCTGGCCTCACATCTGTCTTTGTCATCCGCACGCTTGGGCCCAACACCTAGCGTCCGCTCGGCGCTGCTCTGCTGCCAAATCTTTATTAGCATCGAGCAGATGCGCGGAGACCTTGCCGCCATGGCACAGCACATTGTACAAGGCTTGCGCATTGTGTATGAGCACCAGCATCCAAACGCCGCCCACGCTCGTCCCCCTGCCTGTAAAGACGACGACGACGCCCATGACCTCCCGGCGCTGGATGTCTTTGTGATCAAACTGTTTGCGGCGCCGTGCAAATTCGCCGACATTACATTTGAAACGCCCTCAAGTCCCGGCACGACACCGTCGTCGGCCAGCACGGACGGCAGCGAGAGCGGTGGCTCCGCCAGCAGCTGGCGACTGCGTCCGCTGGCCCCCGACCTGAGCACGGAGCTGATTCGCCTCGCCCTGGAGTCGCTCTCGTTCCTGGAGGACGTCAGGGCGGGGGCACCCATCTCTAGTCTTTCGTCAAAGAAAGAGTATCTGCTGCGATCCCTCGCGACGTGGCACGCCAGACTGCAGCGTGAGCAACTCACCACGGCCCATGCAGAACTGCTGTCGATCCTCTTCTTGCGGTTCTTCCACCAGACGGTACGAGTGGTCATTCTCAGTGTATCGAGGGACGTCCCGGATGGCGCAGGCCTCGGATATACAGAAGGCAGTCGCTCGGAGATACTCGATGACGAGTTCAGGCAATTACAAAGCATTGCCAGCATCGTCGGCGAACGTGTGCGGTCTGATGGGCGTCAAGGCGGTGATTGGTAAAACAAAATTTCCCAGAACGGCGGCGGATTTAGCGTGGCCGAAACACGCTTTCCCCTTTTTGGACAGTTGAGCGAACGGGCCAATCGGAGGCCAGGGCTGGCCCGTCCCTTACACATGCACAACTTTGCGCATGGGACGTGCTTTGTGCCAGGCACCAGAACGCCAACGCCGACGATTGACGGTAACAACGGTGTCGTGAGGAATACCTTTTTTTTCGCACTTATAAGTATGGGACGGTGTCTTCCCACGAAAGAATAAGGAAAGCCGACAATTGTCTTCTCTCTCTTGACGTCAACAAAAGACACAACCCTCGCGACCAACACAACTTTGTCCTTTTCACACACAGACACACCATCTACCTTATCACTATGCATTTTCTTCTCCTCGGTTCCACGGGCCGCACTGGCCAGCTCGTCGTCAACGAGCTGCTGGCCCAGGGCCACACGGCCGTCTCGCTTGTCCGCAGCCCAGACAAGCTGAAGGCCCGCAAGGGCCTTACGATTGTCAAGGGCTCCACCCTCAACCGGGACGACATCGAAAAGGCCGTCACCGCCACGTCGACACCCCTGGATGGCTGCATCTTCACCCTCGGCAGCATCCGCACCTCGGACAGCCCCTTTGCCGCGCCGGTGTCGCCGCCCCGCTTCATGGCCGACTCGGCCGCCAATGCTGTGTCTGTGCTGGCGAACCACAATGTCAGCCGCATCGTCATCCAGTCCACGGCCGGCGTCGGTGACTCATGGGCCGGGTTCCCCACGTTCCTCAAGATGTTCATGGGCTGGACCAATGTGAAGTACACGCTGGCCGACCACAACCTGCTGGACGCCGAGCTTCCCAAGACGGCGGCGCAGTACACGCTGGTGCGGCCCATGCGCATCGTCTTTGACACGCGCAAGGAGACGCAGTTGGAGGTGCTGCCCAGCAACGGCGGCGGCAAACTGGGCGTGTCGAACGCTGCGCACTTGTTGAGCGTGGCCAAGTTCCTGGTCAAGGTGGCCGTCGAGGGACGGTATGTGCGCGAGACGATCCTCGTGCGTGACAAATAAGCGGTGATTGTTAGGGGAAAGCTGGGGGAGAGTTTGGGGGAGTGAATGTGAGGATGGTTAATATATTGTTTGGTGTTTTCTGACCGACGATCTCGCGTTTATTCGTCCGGTGTTTTTTTTTTTTGTTCGTTTTGGTTGCAATGGGCGACGTTTTGTTGTCTGGGATGCATCGTTACTTAGACTCTTACTTTTTCTCAAGTTGAACCCTAATTTTATTTCCTATTTTTCATAACACATTTAAGGATCTGACTTGCATTTTTGGTGTCGCAATGGCACTCAAAAGGATGACCCGAATGTTGCGGTTTGGTAAATCAGACCAGCTAAATCTACGTGTATCACCTAAGGAGCCATCAAATTGACTAGCAGTCAGGTACCATTAGCCCGGCTTACTTTAACTTTTGTTGACAAAAAGCAAGAATACGCAAAGCTCAAAACCTTATTGAGTGGAGACAAAATGAGGCTTGGACGTTTTTTGCCCGTACCACGCAATTTCCCGTCGCTCAGACACTCTGGGCGCTGTCTTCCCCTAGCGCTCCTTGTTTGATGAATGAAGGTTGGCTCGATTTGGCCCGAGCCACGACACCTCGTCGAATCCGAGAACCCGAGCTGGGATGCGAGATGCGGACCCGGTACGGTGGGACGCAAACCGAATCGGCTGCATCTAGCGTGGCGGGCCATAAAGTTGGGAAACCATTAAAGACTCAATAGACGTGAATAGCGAACAGGAACTCGTGGCGGGTTTGGAAGTGGCCGCGAGCAAAAACACAAGAACCTGCATGGCCTTGGTTGGAACACTCCGGGTCTCAGTCTGATGCTAGATTGATTCGGCGGCGAGTATCGACAATGTTGTTTGACTTCGAAACTGGAGCCAGGCCTCCCATCACCAGGCAGCCGTATAACAAACCGTCCCCAATCTACCGTCCAGATATGCCCCTGAATTAGTCAGGAACCACCCAATCAGTCAGACCAGTATACGCGTGACGCCTAACCGATCTCCACATGCGATGAATCCAAGAGCGAAATTGAAACTGGAATAAAAATAGAACAGGCCGAGAAACGAACCAAGACCAGGAAAGGGGCACGCAAAAATAAACTTTCAAGACGGGATTGAAAAATGGAGAGACGTGAAACTACGTTCGGAGAGTTCCGTACCCCGTATCGGGCGTATTCTATACGGCAGACCCAATGCCGTCGACTACAGGCTTTGACATGGTGGGCTCTAGGCGCTGTTACGGCCGAGCACGTTTTGAAGTTTTGCATTGGCGCCGGCCGTTGATTGTCTCTTGTTGTCATCGTGATGAATCTGGCCTGGAATATATAAACAATGGCCGCCATCTTTTCTCCATGTAGGTTTGGTGTCTGTTGCCTGGTCTCGTCTCGGCTGTGAATTGTCGGAACGCATCGATTTCTTCGCCCGAACTCTGTCGTTGAACGGCTTCCCTTCGACTCGATCTCTTTTTGTCATCCGCGTTCATTGTCCTCGCAATGGCGTCCAACTCCACCGACGGAGTGCACAACTTTGTGCTTTACAACTACAACCCGAGCAAAGCAGCAGCCTTCCTTTTTCTGATCTTGTTTGGCATCGCCACCATCGCTCATGTCTTTCTCATGGTCCGGCACCGCACGTGGTACTTTGTGCCGTTTGTCATCGGTCTAATTTGTGCGTTCTATCTACCGTTGTCGTCTTGTTACCGTTGGCCTCCTACTAATCCCCCGCCGCAGTCGAAGCCGTCGGCTATGTTGGCCGTGCCCTGTCGGCCGGCGAGACGCCCAACTGGACCACCGGCCCCTACATCCTGCAGAGCCTGACCCTCCTCCTCGGCCCCACCCTCCTCGCCGCGTCCATCTACATGACGCTGGGCCGCCTCGTCCGCTTCCTGCAGGCCGAACAGTACTCGCCCATCCGCACGACCTGGCTCACCAAGATTTTCGTGACCGGCGACGTCCTCTCCTTCCTCACACAGGGCGGCGGCGGCGGCATCATCGCCCAGGCCAAGACAGCCGACAAAGTCAGCCTCGGCGAAAACGTCATTCTCGGCGGTCTTATTCTCCAGATTCTGTTCTTCGGCGTCTTCATGGCGGTCACCGTCGTCGTGCACCGCCGCATTGCCGGCTTCGCCACGCGGCGACCGACGTTCTTTTACGTCTTGTACGGCGTCTCGGTCATGATCATGGTGCGGTCCATTTTCCGCGTCGCCGAGTACGCGGGCGGATCCGACGGCGCGCTGCAAAAGTCCGAGGTGTACATTTACGTCTTTGACGCCACGCTGATGCTCGTCGTGGCCATCCTGTTCGGCGTCTACCACCCGAGCAAGGTGATGGACCCGCGCTCCGTCGAGAGGAACAAGTCGACGCCGCTGTATGGGAGCAGTAGCTACCCGCTGCGGGACAGGACCGAGTCGATGGCGGCGTAGGCGGTGTGTCGGCGCAACTCTGCCAAACAAAAGGAGGATTGGCTAGAAGATTGGGTTTGGGTTGATGGTAGATACCGGACAGCGTACAGCAGACGGAAGGTTGTAGAATTTTTGTCGTCTTGCATCGTTTTTATTTTGTCCTATTTATGCGCCCACGGGTCATCAGTGAGCTTCTTGTTGGTTTTGTTCGTTTTCTTTCTTAGCTTGCGGTTGTCGAAATTTACGTTTGTCGAATTCCACATACTCGTTCACATGGACTCATTTCGACGGACGCGAATTACTGCATAAATGCAATAGACTAACTTGAAATTACGGGGCGCTTTGATTGTAAGCTAAAGTGACAAACGAACTACGTGCAGTTTCCTATTTGGAACAAAGGGCGGAAAGGGAAAGGTGTATCATCAAAGCACAGATGGGGAAAGAGCGTTCACGGTTTAGGTCGCACGTGATGTCACTCTCCGCACCAGACCTCATCGCGTCATCTCAAGGCGTCAGGGGCCAAAAACAAACAACAGTCAACATTGACGACTCGTTTTCAACCGGGACAATGCCGGCAAATCCACACCCTACATGGACAGCACAAGGACGACGCGACGGCAGACACGCACCCGCACGCGTACGGGATGCATGACCTGCCGGGCCCGCAAGATCAAGTGTGACGAGACGGCGACGACTTGCCGCAATTGCACAAGGGCACAACTCGACTGCTTGCGGCCGGACAGGACCAATGCCAGTCTGCATCAGACGGAGAGGGTGCAGTTGGCGGACCGCGCGGTCAGCGCGCACGACGGCGACCGCTTCACACAAGCCGGCCTTCAACGGCGACGCGCAAAACGGTCGTGCAATGCTTGCCGACGAACGAAGAAGCGCTGTGGCGGCGAGCGGCCGCAATGCATGCGATGCACCGACAAGGACGTGTGCTGTGTCTACGACGAGCCGGGGGAGATTCTTGCCCTCTCGCAAACGACGGCATCGCCGATCTCACCCTTGCCCTCGGTAGACCTCCTCGCAGACAAAGTGCTTGTGCACCGTCTCTGCGACGCCTTTTTCAACGAAGTCGCCCCTCTACGGTGCTTTGGTTTCTTGCACCGGCACACCTTTCTACAGGAGGTGGACGCGACGGACCACCCACGAGACGATCCTCTGCTGCTAGCCGTCTGTGCTCTGGCGACCAAGACGATTGCCATGAAGGAGTACGATCTGTGGGACGTCGGCAGCGGATGGGCCCGCGAGGCCCAGGCATCCGTCGTGGCGGCACTCGACGACATGAGCGTCCGCCGGCTTATGTGCCTGGTGCTGCTGTACGAGCACGCCGCGCGCACGGGCGAGACGCGCCAGTGTTTTCAGCTGTCGGCCCTGGCGTCGCGCATGACACAGGCGCTGAGTCTGAATCTGGAGCATGACGAAGACGTGCTCGACACGTCGCAGATGTCGGCCGTGTCCCGCGAGTCCCGCCGCCGACTAATGTGGGCGTGCTATCTGCTGGACACGATGCTGGCGTGCGGACTGCGGGACTTGCAGGTGCTGGAGACGGCGAGCCTGCGGATCCAGCTGCCGTGTGACGAGCGGCATTTTGTCTACAAGGTGGCTGTGCACACGGCCATGGTGGACACGACGTTTGCCCCCAGACGGAGCAGCCGGAAAGGGCCCCTGCTGTCCACCAACCAGGGCATCGACGCCTTCTCGGTACGCCTCTACCTCATCCGCGACCACGTCCTGCAGTACATCAATAGCGACACCGACAAGGACGACCCGTGGCGGCTGGTGGCGCTGATTGCCGATTTGGAGGCGTGGAAGGACGCGCTGACGCCCGAGCTGCAGTTTACGTCGGATGTCCTCGCCGTGCGGAAAGACGAGGGCCGGCTGGCGGCGCTGGTGTCGCTGCACGTCCTGTACCACCAAGTCAACTGCCTGCTGTACCGGTGCACGATTCCGAGCATGCTCTTCCCGGCCCGCACGCAGACCGGCCTCTCCGTCAAGGCGTCGCCCGATTTCTTGGCCGAAAGCCGCAAGGGCTGGTTCGGGCACGCGTGCGCCATGAGCGCCATCTTCGAAGTGTCCCTGCAGCACCAGCCGCTGTCGATGACGGACCCGGCGGTGGCGCCGTCGGCGTACAATGCCATCATCATCAAGTGGCTGTACCTGACCAACTTTGTCAGCACAGGGGACGAGAAGCAGCACCAGCTGAATGCCATACTGCCGCTCGTCGACATCGACCTCCAGTTCCTGCAAGCACTGGCCAGCTACCACCCGTCGGTCGGCACGATTGCGAGCGTCGCCGCGCGGCTAGTCGACGAGGCAAAACGAAGGATTGCTGCCAATCCGGTCGTCCGTCTCTCCGAAACCGGCATCCCCGACCAGATCCACAGCGCGACGTCCATTTCGCCCGACGTCCGCATGAACCAGCTGTCGACATTTGCCCGCATGCGCAAGACGATTCCAGACGTACACGCGCCAGACCGGGGCACGCCGACAACCTCGCCGGGCCTGAGTACATATAGCTCGCCACAGTCCGACTGGGCCGGCGAAGAGCGACTCTGGATGTGGAGTGAATGAGACGAACCAGACGCAATATATTCATTTTTCTACCTCTGTACTTTCACTATCTACCGTCTACCTGCTTCGCACTACGCACTCTTGTACAATGCTGTCACGCCATCCCGGCTGCCCGGGTTGTCGACGTCAAAGTCCCAGCGGTCGGGCATCTTCATACCGGCATCGATGTGGTTGTAGACGACGCGCGTCGAAATGCCGTCGCGGAAGTACCACGGATCCTCCGTGGCAAGCTGCCACTTTTCGAGGCGCCGGCGGCAGTCCAAAAGAATCTCCTTGTGGGCTTCGTCGTTGGCCAAATTGTGCACCTCGTCCGGGTCCGCCTCGAGGTCGAACAGCTCTTCCGGGCCGCGCCGGATGTAGTTGGCAATCGTGCGCTGGCCGATCTTGGCCGCCTCGGCATTGCGCATGCCCTCCCACGAGACGGCCCCGTACAAGTCTCCGGGGAAGGGGAAATCGAGCTGCCAGGCCACGTTGCGGTGGTACTTGTACCGGCGGGTGCGCAGGTAGCGCGTCGGGTAGTAGGCAGTGAGCTCGTGGAACGTGTGGGAGCCGAAGACGTGGTCCCAGCCGGGGAGAGCAGCAGACTCGCCCAGAATCGGCAAAAAGGACCGGCCCTGTCGTTTGCTGCCACCGCCACCGCCGCCATGGGCGTTCAGCTCCGGATGACCCGCCCAGTCCAAGAACGTCGGGAGAATGTCGACAAAAGACACCATGTTGGGATTGACGACGCCCGGCGTGCCACCCGGCGCGCGCACGATGAGGGGGAGGTGCACACCCGCGTCGTACAGCGTGCTCTTGGAGTTGACAAACGGCGGGCCATTGTCGCTCGTGAACAGGACGAGCGTGTCGTTGTCCAACCCGGCGGCCTCGAGCTCGCCTAGCAGCAGGGCCACGCCCTGGTCCATGCGCCAGACGGCGCTGTAGTACTCGGCCAGTTCCTGGCGGACTTCGGGGACGTCGGATAGAAAGGAGGGCACGGTGACGGACGCGGGGTCGTACGCCAGGTGGCTGACACGCCGGTAGTCCTCCGAGTTGCCGAACCCGCCGCGCGTGTGGTCGCGGTGCGGGTCGATGTAGCCGACCGTCAGAAAGAAGGGCTTCTTGTCGGCATCTGCATTGACGCTGGCAAAGAACGCCTTGGCGCGCTCGGCCGTCCACGCCACGTCCCGCGTCGCGCTCTCCTCGCGCCAGTGCCACGGGTAGACCGTGTCCGGGCCGACGTGCACCTTGTTGATGATGCCCGTGGTGTAGCCCAGGTCGTTGAACAGCTTGGGCGAGCTCTCGACGTGGTCAAACGTGGTGAAGTAGTGCAGCCCGTTGAACCCGCGCAGCAGCCCGATCTGGCCGTTCTCGTGCGTGTGCAGCCCCGTCTGGATCACCGACCGGCTGCCGCTGCACGACGCGGTGCTGGCAAAGGCCATGTCAAAATAGGTGCCCTGGGCGGCGAGCTTGTCGAGGTTGGGCGTCTTGACACAGGACTCGCCGCAGACGCCCAAGTTGCGGCCGAGATCGTCGGCGATGATGAGGAGGATGTTTTTCATGATGGGCAGACGTGGTCGGTTTGGTTTACTGTCCGAGAGGGGTGATTGAAGTGAAGCTATCGAGGAAATGATATGGGGACGAGAAAAGGAAGTTGCAGCTCCCAATAAACATCACTGTCAACGACAGACACAATATATAACTGCAACGGCAGATACTGCTCACACAGTCTGAGAGACCGATGCAGGCAACAAATCGTGTCAGACGACGTCGGGATCTTCATCGACCCGTGCAAGTTGGAGTAAATGACTCCATATTGCGCGAGTTGGGGAAAGGAACCAGGGATATTAACAGCATCTGTTGGCAGCCTGTCGAGGGACGGCAGACTACCACGAGAAGACCGCTTGAACCAGACAGCTACAACTTTGCCGATCACTGTCGGAGCGAGACCCGCAGTGCCATTGACACCAACACAACAAAAGCGGACCAAACGCGAAGCGACATCCGCCACTTTGACACTAAGGAGACTAACAAGTGGAGATGGTGTTGGTTTGGGCGACATCGACGTCCGATGCGGAATAGTGCGCTGTCAGAGTGGGTGTGGAGATTGGGTTTTCCACGCAACAAAAATCCGGGGAAGGCAACGGCAAGTCACTGGCACGACCACGTTCTCGACTTACGCTGGCGAGACATCTGGTGATGACATGGATCCTGGGGATTTGGGGATTTCGACATTCGTCCTGTCATTGACACCATCGACCCGGCGAGACGACCGTCGACATTGGCACGAGTATATGAGGACCTCGCGTCCGCCGCCGACACGACTCTTTCCAGCCGACTGCTCAACTCTCCCGCACATCTGCACATCTGCTCATCTTCACGTCCCTCATCATGTCTGACACCGAGAACCATCCTTCCAAAATGGCCAGCGCACAACAGCACTGGGTTGAGTCGACGACCAAGGCGGGCGTCGACCCAACATCCGACGCCACAGGCAGCCCAGCTCGCCCCCGCGACACGCTCGCGACGGATGCCCGCGCTGCGGCCGATGCTGAGCACAAAATGTCCCTCATGGACGGCATCCGGGCCTACCCGCGCGCCGTAGCCTGGTCGGTCGTCATCTCGACGGCCACGACCATGGACGGGTACGACACGGGCTTCCTGTCGTCCCTCTTGGGGCTGCCCGCCTTCCGCCAGCAGTTTGGCCATGCCCAGGGCAACGGCTATGTCATCTCGCCGGCGTGGCAGTCGGCCATTGGCAACTCGAGCAGCATCGGCATCTTTCTGGGCGTTCTGCTCAACGGCTGGCTGACGGACTACCTGGGCCACCGCCGCATTCTCATGAGCTGCTACGTTCTGATCACGGCGCTCGTCTTCATCCCCTTTTTTGCGCCCAGCGTCGGCGTCCTCGTGGCCGGCGAGATCTTGTGCGGCATCGTCTGGGGCCAGTTCAGCATCACGGGCGCCACGTACGCCTCGGAGGTGTGTCCGCTGCCGCTGCGCGCGTACCTGACGTCGTACATCAACATCACCTGGATCCTGGGGCAGTTCATTGCGGCCCTCGTGCTGCGCGGCGTGGCCAGCCTGCCGGACACGAACCCGTGGGCGTACCGCATCCCGTTTGCGGTGCAGTGGGTGTGGCCGATCCCGCTGTGCCTGGGGGCCTACCTGGCGCCCGAGTCGCCGTGGTGGCTGGTGCGGCAGGGCCGGCTCGACGAGGCCGAGGTGTCCCTGCGGCGGCTGTCGAGCAAGAAGGCGGCGCACCAGGTCTCGCCGCACCAGACGATGGCCATGATGGTGCACACGGACCAGCTTGAGCGGGCCTACGAGGAGGGCACGTCGTACCTCGACTGCTTCCGGGGCGTGAATCTGCGGCGGACGGAGATTGCCTGCATGGCCTGGTGCATCCAGGTCTTTTTTGGGCTGCCGCTCAACGGCTACGACACGTACTTTTTCGAGCAGGCGGGCCTGGACACCGTCTACGCGTTCGACCTGACCGTCGGCGACCGGCTCATTGCCCTGACCGGCACGGCCCTCTCGTGGCTCATGCTCACCTACTTTGGCCGCCGCACCATCTACCAGATTGGCATCACCTGCAACGTCATTCTCCTCATCACCATTGGCGGCGCCGCCTCGGCCCACAACAACGGCGGCGCCTGGGCCCAGTCCATCCTGCTCATGTGCTGGCCCTTTGTCACCAGCATGACCGTCGGCTCCGTCGCCTTTGCCATTGTCAGCGAGGTCGGCTCCACCCGCCTGCGCGCCAAGACCATCGCCATCGCGCGCAACACCTGGAACCTGCTCAACATCATCTTTGGCGTCGTCATGCCGTACCTCATCAACCCGGACGCCGCCGGGCTGCAGGGCAAAGCCGCCTTCATTTTCGTGTTTCTGGGCGCGCTAAGTCTCGTCTGGGTGGTCTTCCGCCTGCCCGAGACCAAGCACCGCACCTACGAGGAGCTCGACATTTTGTTCCTGCGCAAGGTCAAAGCCCGCGATTTCAAGAACACCGCCGTCGCCGCCTACCAGGAGGACATTCACAAAGCCGTGGGGCAATGAAAAGGAGGCGAGCGTGAGACGGATGCAGGGGGGACAGTAGAAGTGGCATTGGTTATGGAAGAACGCAGTTGTCGGCAGCTATATTTATATATATATGTATATCAATTGTCCTTCTACTATTTAATCATTTCCATTAAATAAGTTACCATGTCTATTCAATCTGCACTCGTAGATTCTATACATTTTGCTGCATCCAACGCCGGGCCTACAACTGGTATCGCAGCATCGTGTAAGAACACCGCTTGAAGACGACCTTCTTGTCCGTCGACAGTGACGAGCGCACAGGCACGATCTTGTCCTTGTCTTCAAACGAGTTGACGTCACCCGGCTCGCCCGAGACCACAATCTTTTCGAGGCCGGCCTTGATGTCCGCGTCGATACTGAGGTCGACCGCGACATCCTCGAGCTTGGCATTGACCACCGAGAGCGTGAGAACATTGTCCTCGCTGACGACCGCCGCCATGTCCAAATACTTTAGCTCGGGCAGCATGTCGTCAAACTGGGCGAGCTGGCCGGTGCGCTCGCCGGACCAGACGTCGGCGCTGTTGACGTGGGACGACACCGAGCGGCCGCCCCGCAAATACTGCGACATGAGCACGTACGGCCACCAGGTGGTCTGCTTGACGAGCTGCCCCTCCTGGGTGCGGAGGGGCGACAGCACGTTGACGCTCTGGGCGATGCAGGCGATTTCAACAATGTCGGCATGGCGCACAAAGACGTGGAGCCAGACGGCGACGCCCAGCATGTCGGACACGTTGTACACCATCTCGTGGCCCTCGTCGCCGGGGTACTCTTGCGTGTTCCAGACGTTCCACTCGTCGAAGCAGATCTTGACGGGCTTGGCCACGTGCTTGGCGTGCCGGGCGCGGTCAATCATGGCCTGCGTCCAGGCGATGCAGGTCTCGGCAATGCGCGGGCCAAAGACGGCCTGCTCGTGCGTCTTCTGGTCGGTGTACAGGTGGATCGAGTGGTAGTCGACCCACTCGACGCACTGCTGCAGCACGTACTCGTCCCAGTCGTTGTAGCCGTGCTGGCCGCACAGCACCAGCTTGACCGTCGGGTCCAGGAACCGGATCGCCTTGGCCCACTGCACGGCCTGCGCCGCGTACGCCTCCTTGCCGACCTGGGCGACCTGCCAGTCGCCGTACACCTCGTTGCCGAGGCACCAGTACTTGATGGCGTGCGGCTTCTCGATGCCGTGGCTGCGCCGCAGGTTGGCGTAGTACGAGTCCGCGTCGCTGTTGCAGTACTCGATCCACGCCAGCGCCTCGCGCAGGTCGCCCGTGCCCATGTTGAGGCACAGGAACGGCTCGCTGCCCGTCAGCCGGCACCACGCGACAAACTCGTTGGTGCCAAACGTGTTGGGCTCCGTGTTGTGCCACGCCAGGTCCAGCCGCTTCTTGCGCTCCGCCAAAGGCCCCACGCCGTCGCGCCAGTTGAAGTTGGCGCAGTAGTTGCCGCCCGGGTACCGCACCAGCGGCGGCTTGAGCTCGTCGCGGAACGTCTCGAGCACGTCTTTACGGTAGATGTCGACACATTCGTCCGTCTGGGACGCCTCGGGATACGACGCCGGCACCAGCCCGCCGTAGACGCATCGTCCCATGTGCTCGACAAAGCCCGAGAAGATCTTGCGGTCGACGGGCGCAATCGTGTGCTGTGTGGTGATGCTAAGCGTGGTCATGATGGGCGTGGTGGGCGTGGTGGGCGTGGTGGTCGTCGCGGTGCTGTCGTGAGGGCTGGAGTAGCTGTCTTTGGAGATGTTTGACAATGGGAATCCGAAAGATTGCACAACAAGACACGTTAAATATGCCGTCCTGCTCTGCTCCTTCCGCTTTCGGCCCTCGCACCGTCAGCTCCAAAGAGTTTTGTCCGCTCTGTCTCCCTTTCTGTGCTGCCGGGCCAGATGGAGCAGCTCTCCGCACTGCAGTCTCCCGCCGCAGCTATCTGCCAACGATTGCCGACTTTCTTCCAACACTTTTTCTGTGGGCACGCTGCCTACTGCACCGAGGCTCCCCGACATCCTCCGTTGTATTTCGTATTGAACGCTGTCTTGCTCCGTCGTCTGCACCTTCCCCGCGCTTTTGTGGGGCGCCATTGACTTTGCTCTTTCCCCTTTTTGGGGTTGTCGGGGCGGCGGACAATGACGCAAAATGGGAACGAGGAGGGAAGGTTCCCCGCTCAGGGACCCAGGCTCGCAGGGAAAGAACGATCCACTCGGGACCGTCGACCATTCAAAACGATCACAATGACCCTCAAAAGGACATTTTGGAGTGAGCAGTAGCCAACGCTAGGAGCAGCACCCAAGCATCAGCCGACCCAGATTCGGCGTGTCTGGCGGATGCCGCTTGCAGAGGCGGCGGACAAAGACGCTGCACATACGGGTTGGAGGTGCATGATGTTGCAATCGAGAGCTGTGCTGCTGTTTACCGGTCGTCGTCGAGGATCACGAACGATGATGCTCCGCAGCTCTCCAAAACTGAAAAATTACAAAAAGAGACAAGCCCCAACACCAACACAACCAGACCCTACCAGCCTCCCCAGGAAAGGGTGGGCCCAGCGAAGCGAGTTCCGACACGCTTTCTTGACAAGGATCCTCGAATCTCCAAGAGGCACGACCATGAGACGATCGTCAGCATTCCCACGCGACAATGCAAGACGACATTGTCGATGACAGTGTCGTGATGGCGGCAGGTGACGATGATGGGAGGCGCCGGTGATGGGAACCGGTGAGGAGACAAGTCCTCTTGGCGCGAGTATTTCAAGTCGTTGGCGGTCGTGATATTTTCTCGATGGGGAACCCTCGATACAATGAGATCAACGGCCTCGCATGGTCTCTTGTGTTTGCCGCACTCAGTTTTCCACAGTTGTTGACTTCATTGTTTCTTACGTCCCCTCCATTCCACACGACAACATGGTCAACGTCAACCGCGTTGTGCGCGCCCTCGGCCTCGCCTCCGTCTTCTTTCTTCGCGTGGCCGCCGACAGCCAGGGCTCCTTTCTCTGGGACCCGCCCGTCGACAACGAGGCCAACGTCTACGCTCGGGTGATTGAGCTGCAGCACGCGGCCGACCACAAGATCAATGGCCGCCTACTGGCCACCTGGGAGCACTGGTACACCACCGGCCCTGACACCGCGGTAGGCAACGGTACGGCGGGCGGTTTTATCATCCGCGCCAGTGACGATGGCGGCGATTCCTGGGCGACGTTGACGACCGTCGAGGACACGTTTTCTGGACCACAGCAGCCGCTGTCCCTCTTCTGGCAGCCGTTCCTGTTTGAGTTCCCCGTCGCTCTGGGCAAATATGCCGCCGGCACGCTCCTGCTGGTGGGCAACCTCGTGCCGCAGGACAAGAGCACGACCAACTTTTACACATGGCGGTCGACCGACCACGGCAAGTCGTGGAAAGCTGTGGGACACCGACCCTGGCAGACCGGCGGTCCTCCGAGCGCTGGCATCTGGGAGCCCTTCCTTTACCTCGACAAGCACAACCGACTGGTGGCCGTGTTTTCCGACGAGCGCCAGAACACGGCGCACAGCCAGATGCTGGTGCACGTCGTGTCGACGGACGGCGGCGACTCGTGGGGCGACGTGGTCGTGGACGTCGCCAGCGACGCCCAGAGCGACCGGCCCGGGATGGCCACCGTGGCGCGGTTGCCCAGCGGCCAGTATGCCATGAGCTACGAGGTGTGCGGCCGGCCGGGGTGCCCGGTGCATGTGAAGACGGGCGACGGCACCGAGTGGCGGGCCGCCGACATCGGGAGCCCCGTCGTGTCCGACCACATGTACGCGGGCTCCAGTCCGTACATGATCTGGGACCCCAGCTCCGAACAGCTCGTCCTGTCCAGCCATGCCATCTGGAACGACGCGACCGACACGCAGGCACCGCCGACCCGCCGGGCCGTGTTTACCAACAGCGACAAGAACGGTGCCGGCGCTTGGTCGTGGTCGCCGGCCCCCTGGGCGGCCAGCAATGCCTCGGCGGCGTGCAACGCCAATTACAGCCCACACCTTCTCCCGCTCCAAGGCGGGACGATCCGGTACACCACACCGTCCAGCGAGGGCGCCTCGGGCCTCTGCTCGGAACGCACAGGCGCCGCACCGGTTGGCGTCCTGCCGTACCGCGCCGACTTTGCGGCCCACGGACAGCTGGGGTGGTTCGACCTCGGCGGAAACTGGTCGGTCGACGGTGGCGCGTACTCGGTGGGGTCGGTGGGCAACATCGATGCCCGCGCCGTCACAGGCTCCTCGGGGTGGACCGACTACACGGTGGCGGCAGATGCCATGATTGTCGGCAGTTCGGGCGTCGTTGGGCTCAATGCCCGTGTCACGTCTCCGTGGAATGGCCTCAACGCCTTCAAGGGCTACACGGCTGCCATCAACAGCTTCACGGGCAACCTGACGCTCTCCCGCGAGGCGCACGCTATGGTGGTGCTGTCCAGTGTGGCCCACCCGGGCGGCATTGTCGGCAACACCTGGTACCACTTGTCACTGACCGTCCGTGGGTACGAGCTGACTGCCACTGTATCGTCTGCTACAGGGAAGACGACGACCACTGTAACCGCTGTGGACAACAGCTTCCCGCAGGGCATGGCAGGGCTGCTAGTCAACGATGGCGCGGGGAGTTTTAGCAATGTTCATATCAATAAGGTGTAGTGGGCAGAAGTAGGCAAGGAGTGATGGTAGCATTGGGTGGATCATTTTGGTCGTTTTGGCTAGATTGGTTCATTGTTTAAAAGAATATAAAGTTGTATGAATGGATTTGACCGTTATCTGAGTAACCATTGACCTTCCCCTGTGAAAGGTCATGCAAATATCTAAAGAAAAGGAGATGTGAAAACATGAGTTGGAAGAGCCTGGTCGTGTCGTGATCGTGTGTGTCCTCTCAGAGGGAAATCAAGTACATGAAACAAAATCCCTTCTCAACACCTGGCCACCCGGTCAAATCCCTTTTATTCTCCCGTGCATGAACCATCTCCATCTCTTGTTCTCACAGTTTTCCCTCTTGTGCTGTTGTCGCTTAGCAGGTGCGCGACGAGGGAACGCCGCAGATAGGGCCAAACTGGTCGTCTGCGAAGCAAAGGACGCCCGTGACATCGTCAATGTATGTGTCTAGAAAGGAAACATTGTCAGTATGTGGTGGGGAAAGTAAGACGGAGTTGAGAGTGTTGGGAGAACATACTGAGGTCTGCCGACACTTTGCCGCCGGAGCAGGTGCAGTCGATGGTACTGCCCGACATCGAGCAGAGGAAGCAAGGGACATTGTTGACCGAGAAGTCGCCACTGTGATATCGTCAGTCACGTTGAGCACGTCAGAGGAGAAAGGGGGGACATACTTTTCGGTGTACGTGAGGAATTCGGGCGAGCGGTAGCCGAGGATCTTGTTCAGATCCAGCTCGGCCCACTGGTACTGCTGGTCGTTGGGGTTGCCGTTGTTGCCACCCGAGATAAGGCACTCGGTGACGAGGATGTTGGAGCTGTCTGAAGCGATGCAGATGTTGCGGCACGAGTTGGTGAAGGTGGCCATGGCAGGGGCCGAGAAGAGGAGGCTGGCCAGAGCCGCAGTGGTGGTGGTGAGCTTGAAGGCAGGCATCGTGGCAGTCGGTTGCGAGTGGGAAGATTGTAGTAAGAAAGATGAATGAGAGTTGTGAAGAAAGACAGCCAGTGTCAAAGAAGTGAAGTTGAAAACAAGGAAACAGTGAAAGTCTTGGGCGAGTTGGATCTGTCAATTATCAAGAGAAAATAGAAGAGGAGAGAAGATGGAGGAGAGATTTTCAAAGGGGAGACAGCCTTCTTTTATACAAAACTGGCAGACTGGGCGGTGAAAGCACTTGCAAAGCTGGTAACTTTTTTGCACACTCGCACAGGCCACCTTTCGAATGGGCAGAATAAACGTGGTTTGATGTCATGGAGAAGGTGATGGAAGGTTGATACTGGTGATTTGGGGGAAAAAGGGAAGGAACGATGTGATTGTTAGTGGTGGTGACGAGTTGGGAAGGAGCGATTCACAGGAGGTGAGGAGAAGGTGAGAATATGTTGAGAAGATGTTGAGGACAGTCTAAAGGATGCGGGTTCTGGGGATGGAAAATTAAAGTCAAAGTCATTCACATCTGAGAACGGACATTACGATTACTAGGAGCTCATGGACATTGAATAAATCTACATATGACAGAATGGTGACGGTGAGGTCAGGACATCGTGAGGCTGCATTGACAAGGCAGCATGGACAATCATGGCCACAAGTGGTGTAACGACGTCAGTGAAGCTTACATGTTGGCATTTGGCATTGCAGTTATTGGTATTCACTACTCTGTACATGTATGTCGTCACGGCCACCGACACAATCTGCACATCGACCTATTGGCTGTTGTTTTTTCATCAGTGGCACCACCAATGGGTTTGTTTACAGCGTCAGGGGCTTCGTGCCCAGTCGCCATTTTGGTGCTCTACGGCACATTTTCTCTCTAGACACATTTTCACACGCCTCCAAGTGACGTAAATTAAAATAAATATAACTGAGCCAACATCACTCCAGTCAACGCCTCGTCTTGGGATTCCAGAATGCGAGGAAGGTGCCAGCTCTTGGCATAGCGGACCCACTTATGAGAGCAACAAGCGACCGCATATCTCAACAAGTCCATTTACCGTCAACATTAATGGTGTCGTGAGAAAGGATCTCTTTG